AACTGAGAATGGTCTGGTTTTAACCAGGCTAACAAAGGGTTACACTAATGCTCAATCCGTAACACCAATTTCTCCCAATTCCACTTGAAAATAACCAATGAAACACTGCTTTAGTCATCACCATCTTGGAAACTGTCAAATGATATTTCAAACTGAAGTTGAGGTTCAAAGTTGGGATCGATCCATTCTGACGTTAAAGGTTTAATGTTCGACCCCAGTCGCCATTCCAGTGGTTACGAGAGAATTCTGGTTTACTGAGGTCCGGATCCAAAAGTAAATTGTGAAAAGCGAGTGGAAGCAGAATGAACTTCAGGTTCAGACCAAGCATTTAAAACACTACAGGCTAGCCGTGCTAAATTAAACTTTCTTAAATGTGTCAACCTTACAAGTATTCTTGAAACACAAGTTCCTTTTCTTCAAAAATAAACTATTAGAGAAGTGAAACCATTTCAAAGCACAGACCTACATACAAACAAAACAAATGAACTAGTAGTCTAACCAGATAAAGTCAACAATTGAGATGTATTGGATTCAAGTTCTCAATTGTCATGTTTATATTACAGCATTTTTAGTCTGTTCCCAAAGGTGAAATGCGTTCTGAAAAACAGCAATAAATCTGAGCTATCTATCTCTGTGTACACACATCCCAGAGTGACAGACTTTCTGTAAACATTCAAGGTTTTGACATTTGAGGCAGCAGAGGCTGAATTCAAGCTAAAACATTTAGCCTAACAATCTCACATTTTATTCACAAGGAGATGCAAGCACAAAATTTGGTCTTCACAAGCGTTTTGTAAGTTAAGGTGTGGTCACATTAGAGAAATTTGGGCAAAAAAAAGTTTCAACAAGCAAAAAAAACAAAAGTGGAAGCACAGCTCAGGGATCACTTTCGAACCAAGCAGCTTTCTGTTTGTCAATGCGGTGAATTTGCATGACCAAATAGGAAGAGCAAAATCTGCATGGGTAATTTTTTCGACCTCAGACAAAAAACTCCCGATTCAAAAATAAATGACTAGATTTCGCCCATGATGTCACATTGCAAAATGTGACCACCTTTAGGCGGCTGTATTCAGTAGCCAACTTGGTTCTTATACACTACCAGTCAAAAGTTTGGGGTCGGTAAGATTTTAATGTTTTTAAAGTCTCTTATGCTCACCAAGGCTGCATTTACTTGATTCAAATTTCAAAATTAAATGTGAAGCTAAATGACTACCACTTTGACGCTTCAAAAAGATCATAAAGAGATCGTAAAACAAATCCATATCAGTTGTGGTAAACGGAAGCTCAGGCGTGTTTGCTTGACGTGCTGAGGTCCATTCCTGTGTTACACAGCACGTTTGAGCTTCAGCAAGAACCAATGAGGTTCATTCTTGTGTTCCGCAGCACGTTTGAGCTTCAGCAAGAACCAATGAGGTTCATTCTCGTGTTACGCAGCACGTTTGAGCTTCAGCAAGAACCAATGAGGTTCATTCTCGTGTTACGCAGCACGTTTGAGCTTCTGCAAGAACCACTATGGTTCATTCTCGTGTTACGCAGCACGTTTGAGCTTCTGCAAGAACCACTATGGTTCATTCTCGTGTTACACAGCACGTTTGAGCTTCAACAAGAACCAATGCGGTTCATTCTCGTGTTACGCAGCACGTTTGAGCTTCAGCAAGAACCAATGAGGTTCATTCTCGTGTTACGCAGCACGTTTGAGCTTCTGCAAGAACCAATGAGGTTCATTCTTGTGTTCCGCAGCACATTTGAGCTTCAACAAGAACCAATGAGGTTAATTCACGTGTTACGCTGCACATTTGAGCTTCAACAAGAACCAATGCGGTTCATTCTCGTGTTACGCTGCACATTTGAGCTTCAACAAGAACCAATGAGGTTCATTCACGTGTTACACAGCACGTTTGAGCTTCTGCAAGAACCAATGAGGTTCATTCTCCTGTTACGCAGCATGTTTGAGCTTCAGCAAGAACAAATGAGGTTTATTCTCGTGTTATGCAGCACGTTTGAGCTTCTGCAAGAACCAATGAGGTTCATTCTCGTGTTACGCAGCACATTTGAGCTTCAACAAGAACCAATGCGGTTCATTCTCGTGTTACGCAGCACATTTGAGCTTCAACAAGAACCAATGAGGTTCATTCACGTGTTACACAGCACATTTGAGCTTCAACAAGAACCAATGAGGTTCATTCACGTGTTACACAGCACATTTGAGCTTCTGCAAGAACCAATGAGGTTCATTCTCCTGTTACGCAGCATGTTTGAGCTTCAGCAAGAACAAATGAGGTTTATTCTCGTGTTACACAGCACATTTGAGCTTCTGCAAGAACCAATGAGGTTCATTCTCCTGTTACGCAGCATGTTTGAGCTTCTGCAAGAACCAATGAGGTTCATTCTCGTGTTACGCAGCATGTTTGAGCTTCTGCAAGAACAAATGAGGTTCATTCTCGTGTTACGCAGCATGTTTGAGCTTCTGCAAGAACAAATGAGGTTCATTCTCGTGTTACGCAGCATGTTTGAGCTTCTGCAAGAACAAATGAGGTTCATTCTCGTGTTACGCAGCATGTTTGAGCTTCTGCAAGAACAAATGAGGTTCATTCTCGTGTTACGCAGCATGTTTGAGCTTCTGCAAGAACCAATGAGGTTCATTCTCGTGTTATGCAGCATGTTTGAGCTTCTGCAAGAACAAATGAGGTTCATTCTCGTGTTACGCAGCACGTTTGAGCTTCAGCAAGAACCAATGAGGTTCATTCTCGTGTTACGCAGCATGTTTGAGCTTCTGAAAGAACCAATGAGGTTCATTCTCGTGTTACGCAGCATGTTTGAGCTTCTGCAAGAACCAATGAGGTTCATTCTCGTGTTACGCAGCATGTTTGAGCTTCAGCAAGAACCAATGAGGTTCATTCTCGTGTTACGCAGCATGTTTGAGCTTCAGCAAGAACCAATGAGGTTCATTCTCGTGTTACGCAGCATGTTTGAGCTTCAGCAAGAACCAATGAGGTTCATTCTCGTGTTACGCAGCACGTTTGAGCTTCAACAAGAACCAATGAGGTTCATTCTCGTGTTACACAGCACGTTTGAGCTTCCACAAGAACCAATGAGGTTCATTCTCGTGTTACGCAGCATGTTTGAGCTTCTGCAAGAACCAATGAGGTTCATTCTGGTGTTACGCAGCATGTTTGAGCTTCTGCAATAACCAATGAGGTTCATTCACGTGTTACGCAGCACGTTTGAGCTTCAACAAGAACCAATGAGGTTCATTCTCGTGTTACGCAGCACATTTGAGCTTCAACAAGAACCAATGAGGTTCATTCTCGTGTTACGCAGCACGTTTGAGCTTCAACAAGAACCAATGAGGTTCATTCTCGTGTTACGCAGCACGTTTGAGCTTCAACAAGAACCAATGAGGTTCATTCTCGTGTTACGCAGCACATTTGAGCTTCAACAAGAACCAATGAGGTTCATTCTCGTGTTACGCAGCACGTTTGAGCTTCAACAAGAACCAATGAGGTTCATTCTCGTGTTACGCAGCACGTTTGAGCTTCAACAAGGACCAATGAGGTTCATTCTCGTGTTACGCAGCACGTTTGAGCTTCAACAAGAACCAATGAGGTTCATTCACGTTACGCAGCACGTTTGAGCTTCAACAAGAACCAATGAGGTTCATTCTCGTGTTACGCAGCACATTTGAGCTTCAACAAGAACCAATGAGGTTCATTCTCGTGTTACGCAGCACGTTTGAGCTTCAACAAGAACCAATGAGATTCATTCTCGTGTTACGCAGCACGTTTGAGCTTCAACAAGAACCAATGAGGTTCATTCTCGTGTTACGCAGCACGTTTGAGCTTCAACAAGAACCAATGCGGTTCATTCTCGTGTTACGCAGCACGTTTGAGCTTCAACAAGAACCAATGAGGTTCATTCTCGTGTTACGCAGCACATTTGAGCTTCAACAAGAACCAATGAGGTTCATTCTCGTGTTACGCAGCGCGTTTGAGCTTCAACAAGAACCAATGAGGTTCATTCTCGTGTTACGCAGCACGTTTGAGCTTCTGCAAGAACAAATGAGGTTCATTCTCGTGTTACGCAGCATGTTTGAGCTTCAACAAGAACCAATGAGGTTCATTCTCGTGTTACGCAGCACGTTTGAGCTTCAACAAGAACCAATGAGGTTCATTCTCGTGTTACGCAGGACACGTTTGACGGTTTGAGCTTCCGCAAGAACCAATGAGGTTCATTCTCGTGTTACGCAGGACACGTTTGAGCTTCTGCAAGAAAAAATGAGGTTCATTCTCGTGTTACGCAGCATGTTTGAGCTTCTGCAAGAACCATTGTGGTTCATTCTCGTGTTACGCAGCATATTTGAGCTTCAGCAAGAACCAATGAGGTTCATTCTCGTGTTACGCAGCACGTTTGAGATTCTGCAAGAACAAATGAGGTTCATTCTCGTGTTACGCAACACGTTTGAGCTCCAGCAAGAACCGAGGAGGTTTGTTCTCTCGCGTCAAGCATGTTCGTTTGAGCTTCTGTCTATGTTTGCTGATTCTAAGCCTTAATTCACTCTATTCATCATATAAAGCGATCGAGTCTCTTCAGAAAATTTGGACTAAACTGCTCAATTCCGATGGATTGGTTTTACAATCTCTTTATGAACTTTTTGAATCATCAAAGTGGTAGTTGTGTAGTCAATGGAGGGACAGAAAGCTCTCAGATCTCATAAAAAATATCTTAATTTGTGTGCCGAAGATGAACGAAAGTCTTATGGGTTTGGAACGACATGAGGGTGAGTAATTAATGACAGATTTTTTTGGGTGAACTATCCCTTTAATATATTTGTGGAAACAAATCTCTTTTTTCGGGATCTCTGATGAATTCAAAAGAACAGCAAAAACTTACTGATTGCAGACTTTTGAATGCTACACTCTAAAATAAAGGAAAACCCACTTTTGGAACCTGTCTTTTCATTTAATTTACAATCACAGGTGACTGCAGTTGTTACAACTTACCCTGATGCAATAAGTGCCCGTGACTGTGCCATGGCGATTCTCTGCAGGGCGGGGCGGCTAAGGCCTGCCAGACTACTGCGCGGTGGCACCGGGGCGGCACAAGCTGCTGATGCCGTAGACACAGGACCCAGAACACGAGCAGACGGCGTGGGAGCACAAGTGGTCACTGTGGATATAAGGGCGTTGGAGGGTGTAGGTGCTGTAGGGTTGGACGCAGAGGTCGTGTAGGGTATTGCAGAAGGAGGCGGGGGTGGCGGTACAGCAGGTGGAGGAGGACGGTTAGAGGATATCGACAGGGCAGCAGTGGCTGAACCCAGCAGAGAGAGGGAGTGTCCGAAGCCTCCGCTAGCACCCGAGGTGGAGTTCCTATGTGGCGAGAGGACTCTGGAAAGGGAAGGAGGGTGAGGCAGGGTTAGAGAGTAAGAGTGTCCCCTTGATGGCGCCTTTGGGCTCGGAGGCTTGGGTACCGGCGGGGGTTTCCGCCCGAGAGTTTGTGCCATGCTAGGGGTCTTGACGCCCAAGACTAGCATACACTGCTGGCAGGAACATGGTTGACCAAGTGAAGTGATAGCAGAAGCTGGGAGAGCTCCACTGGGATAGGCACTGCCATTCCCTCCACTAACCCCTGAAACGCCCACTCCCAAGAGTCCACCACTTCCAGCGGACGACCACGCGTGTGGCTTAGGCAGCGGGCCGGAGACGAGCGGGTAGGGCAGGTCTGAGCGCCTCTGGATGCGCCGGCGCCGTTGCGTCTGGCCATTGATCTGCGTCATACTCTGCAGGTCTATAAGGTAGCAGAAGCCCAACGGCGTTAAGTCCAGCCAGGGCTGCTGCCGATCCCGAGCCGCCTGGATGGCGATGCTGACCTCTGTGTCGTACGGCGTCCATGAGCCCGAGTCATTCTCCCATTCCCACACCCAACCCTGCCCCGGGGCCGACCGCGGGTCGTAGAAACTTCGCCGCACGGGTCTCAGTGTACCTGTAAGGAAGAGCAGAGAGGTTAGTTTAGCAAAACTACCGGCATCGTGCACTTTAAAATGCCCACAAAAATATTTGACGAGCACAGTCCTGTTTTGATGTATTTCTTATTAAAAAAAGGAATTTGAACTGGAAGAAACAGGAACCCATAAGACTACCGCTCATCTCCAGTACACAAATGAAGATATTAATAAGCTAATAGGCTGATTACATTTTAATATTTTAATTATGAGCTCTATGCATGTGTGTTGATCAGTGTTATATATGAATAGCCGAAATTAAATCTGTTCATCATTTAAAGCGATTAAACCGCTTGATTCATGTGGAATACTTTTACGATGTCTTTTTATATTTTTTGGTTGTGTGGATTTCCAATGGATAGACTAAATTAAATAAAAAAATATTTTAAAAAAAGTATATCAAAATTATCTTTGTTTGTATTCTGAAGATGAACTGAAGGTTTATAGCTTTGCAATGACATGAGGATGAGAACATGATAACAGAATTTTTATTTCTGGGTGATTTACTTAGCCAATGGTCTATTATCAAAAATGTCATTAATAATTATATAATTATTTAAAATATTTAAAAATATTATATTACTAAATTACAATTAATTAATGTAGTAGTACATAAAAAATAAATATTATAGCCCATCACAGATGACTCATGATTGTTTTTACCTTCTATTTCTAGAGGCACATGTTATTTATAATTTAAAGGGAAAGGGGCTCTCAACTCTAAGAACTTATTATTGGACAACAAAAAAATATATGCGTGTACAAGATGAGCCATCTATATTAATTGATCCACCTGGGAGAGAAAGAATGCAAACCTCACATGTACATATCTTAGTGATGCACTGAAAAAAAATTCAGCCAAAATAGTTTGTGTCGTGACATTTAATTTGTGCTTCTCCAATGATGTGTTTTGACTGTGTCAGTGTTTATTTTGTGTACGCAATGAGGAAAAGCTACAACAGGCAAATACCAGTACTAGTGTTTATGCACTTCAACATGACGAAAAATGTATGCTATATGTAAAGTTTGTTCAGCTGAAATATCGAGAGGTGTCTGGTTGCCGAAGAACTTTACTATAACTGGTTTAATTTATCACCTGAGAACATGACACCCTGTGAACAGCATAAAGAGTTCAATTAACCAACTACACAAATTTAATCGTTTTGCAGCAAAACTATGCATTAGTACTTCAGTACAATTAGTCTCAAGAATTTGACAGTGCATAAACTGCAACACAAAGGTTATCCATCAGACCCCCCTTTATGACCTCGCTCTACTACCATTCATTTTTCCATCTCCTCCTCCCTCGTGTTTTTGGAGCGATGGGCCGCTACCCTTCGTCGACCCTATTCTCTCCATTCCTCCATCTTCCCATGAAGTCTAGTCAGTCTTGCACAATGGCCTTTGTCAGGATGGGTGATAGAGACTCCCAAAATTCTGACAGCCAACAATCCACCCCTTTGTTTCGGCTTCACGTTGCCCCTTGTTATAGGTTCAACCAATCCCTTCATTCTCGCCAGCAAAGCACTCATGTGCATTGACAAAAATCATTAGGAGTTCATGGCAGAGCCACTTGAACTCCACATTGCATGAGACATAAACAAGTGTGAATTAAAAACATGAAGCTTTAAACTATATCAGTGATCTGACTGGAGAAAAATGAAGAGGTTGTTGTTGCTGAAATGAAGGTTTTGAGGCCCAGCCCAACCTTTTTCATACCACGGTGAGCTTTCAAGACATCTGCAGACCTTTGCCTTCAAGTCATCACAATACAGATCTGAGTTCATTGGCGCATTTGTTTGATCTCAGAGCAAAGGCACCTTATTAATAAAACACAATAGATGAGCAAGAAGATAAAAAACCATGTAGGATATCGTTCTCTCACCGGTATCTTGCCGAAACTGGTGCATAGACTGCAGGTCAATGATATACGGCGATAGACGCGAGTCGACCTGGCCCAGCACCACGCTCCCGGCGCCGCGAGGGTCGCTGCGGATCACCGCCTCGATATGATGGGACACCGCCGGGCTGTAGGGTCGCCAGCGCCCGTGCTCGTTCAGCCATTCCCAGACGACCACGGCCGAGGCTAACAACATCTCATACCTACGCGAAGAAAAATAAAGTCACGTCCACAATAATGACGTCTGAATGTGTCTTGACTCAGTTCATTATTTTGCAGCGATTAATTCCCGTGCACAGCACAGGTGCGTTTAGAAGCAAGCGATGCATTTGACCACAAAGGGAATGTTATGCAGCATGCTGTGGCAAGCCATTTGAGCATTTATTCATTTAAACTAACTAGTGTCTACTTTATGTTTCTAGTGCACGTTTTTCGATTACTTGTTGTGAGTAACCTAATAGTGACAAGTAGGCTACCTCTTTCAATTTCACTAAAAGCATTATTTATCGGCTAATTGCCAGTATCAGTACCTATTCCAGCTTTACTTGCATGTATTTACTTAATACTGGTATACCCATTTAAGAGACTATTGGTAACACTTTAGTTTAGGGTAACTAGTAACTTTATAGCATCCATATTACTATGATATTGTCTGTATTAGTACATATAAAGCACATATTAATGCCTTATTCTGCATATTCGACATCCCTTCCTACCCAATACCTAAACTTAACAACTACCTTACTATTAATAAGCAGTAAATAATAGAGTTCAGGCGTAGGTCGTAGTTAATACAAAGTTAATACTGAGAATTGGACCCTAAACTAAAGTGTGACCAATCTTACTATTAATTAATTTAATTTAGTCTCTAATAACTGTGTTTGTCTATTGAACTAAACAAACAAACAAACAAACAAACAGTGTAATAGGTCCAAGCAACAATTGAAATAATATAGTCAGTGAATTGTAAATAATCAAAACCTGAACCATATACACAATATGAATTCAATAGCAAAAAATCTCCAATTTGTTACTATTAAACAATGATTAGCCACTCAGCGATGGTACTATAACAGTAGGCTACTAGTGATACCGAAAAAGAAACAGAAGTACAGAAACAGAAGAAAATAAAAATGTATTAAATGTATCTAATAAAAGTGTAATAAAAGTATTAGTAACAAAATATATATAGACAGTTTAAATGTTATAGACAATAAATGTTAAGACCGCTTGCCACAGAATGTTGTGTTACATGCAAGACATTTTAGTAACGCATTTCTTCCATTGCATCCTTAAAATGTCCATTCTCTGATAAAGAAAAAAGCAAGGCAGATGTTTAATTCTGTTCGTCATCAAAACATTCATTCTCTTTAATATAAAATGGCAGCGGTTCATTTTGTCATGGTGGCTCAGTTACTTGTTTTATCTGTCAATTATAACATGTTCACAACCCATATTTTCCAACTGAACGTGCAAAATCAAAAGGCCCGTTATCTCCCAAATCCGACGAAATAAAGCATGCAAGCACTCACCAATAAGAGATCGTTCGTTTGCATTCAAATCATTGAAGAAGGAGGTAATTCCTTGTGCGAATCCATCTTAACTTGAGCAAAAAAAGTATCCGTGCGATGTAACAATAGTCCCAGATTTTTTTCACAGAGGAAAAGGCAAATCGAATTATTGCATTGTTTTACTTTAATATGCACAGTCGACGCAAAGCGCAGTTAAAGATCTCTTAAGCGGCATGCCTCATTTTACCTACCGCCACGGAAAGACATTTAAATGTTATTCTTATTCTAGTAAGGAATGTGCAGGATTCTTCGATTGTTTGCGTGACTCTGGTTGTGGCCACGCCCACTGGGGCTAAACTGGCCAATGGCGTGGCGATTACGACGCCCACTGACGTTTAACCGACCAATGGTCTGCGCAGGAGTGCAACTTCCGACTCAAGTGTCTCCTCCTAAAATCTTCACAAACGTACGTGCATTTGATGCTTTTCTACAGACATAAAATCTGTAAATTCAGCGACTGTCATCGCAAAGAATTTTAGGATGTCTTGTGTTTACTTGTCCACTATTGTTTTCTTGAAAGAAAGAAAAGTAAGTGGAGATGCCGGGGATTGAACCCGGGACCTCATACATGCGAAGCATGCGCTCTACCACTGAGCTACATCCCCGTCCGTACCGAGAAGAAGGAAATCGAGTCTATGGTTGTAAACGTGTAAATTTCCCTACTGATATGTGTATGTTAGCGGTATTTGTTTCAATAAATTACGTTCTGTATTCTTGTATGGTTTTGTTCAAACCCGGTTCCAGCGAGTTGAGACGAAAAATGTTGACTAGCTGGTTCAGACATGTCTAATAGTAGCCTAATTACACCTGAAACTAAACTCTGCAGGAGTTACAATTTTGATAGTTGGAGAGGCTCATTAGATTACCTTGGTATTCTATGTAATTTACTATTTCTAAGCCATTGAGACTCATTTAAACCTCCATTCTATCTATCTATCTATCTATCTATCTATCTATCTATCTATCTATCTATCTATCTATCTATCTATCTATCTATCTATCTATCTATCTATCTATCTATCAGTCTGTTTGGTTGTCTGTCTTTGCTAGAGCTTTTCAACTAAAACTTAAAAAAATATTACAAACTGAAAACCTTCAAACTTGAAGCTGTTAAAACTACTTCAAAACAGTTCAGGCTAGGCTTTTCAGGCTTTGTCTTGTCACACTTTTTTTAATCTAGTTTACACTATCTATTAGCATATAAGCCCAAATAATAAATCCTGATTAAAACATTTTAGTTGAATGAACTATAAAACTAGTTGAGCAAATATACTTTTTCAAGTTGGAGTCAAGTTTGGACCAACTAAAACATTTTAGTTGAATGAACTATAAAACTAGTTGAGCAAACATACTTTTTTAATTTGGAGTCAAGTTTAAGCCAACTAAAAAATAATAATTGAAGCAACACTTTGAAGAGAGAAATTGAGTGAACGTAAAAATTCTGTGGAACTAGTTACTAAATAATAATTAGTTGAGCCAACCTTAAATTTTTTGTACATTGTACATTCCTTATCATTGTCATCTTGACCCAAGCCATGAACCCTTGCTCAAAATTGTCCAACCCTTGTCCAACCATGATAAGAGATGTGGTTTCACGGATATAACCTCATTCTGGTTGGTGGTTTAGTGCCCTTATGCTACATCATGGCAAATGTAATGTCACAATTCACATTTTAAAGTCACCATGAAATCAGAATGGACAATTCTTATTTTCATGGAATATTGCAGTGTTGAATCTAAATGATTTATCCATGTATACCGGTATATTTAATTCATGTGCCTCTTTAATTAAAATAACTTCCCCTCCCTCTTGCAGCGACATCTCTTCTCTGATGATGTGTTTACTGGCACGAGGGCGGGACAAACCTGTCACTCACATGAGATCGACCAATAGCAAACCACAACCACCCAATCAATTCCTCTTGTACAAATCAAGTTCCGTCATTCGTTTTTTCGTGTCCTGTCCATTTCACTGGGATATAGGCTACACCAAAATAGGGAAGAAAAGACTTCTTTTTCATGTCGACTTGAATTTTCTTTAAAAAAAATATGATTCCTAGTTATTTTGGGGTTTATTATAGGCCTATTCTAAACACGTGCTTGACAGGTTTTGTGAGATTTACACAGTGGCTACAGTATATTAAAATACTCAACAATTCCGACAATCACTTTATTGACATGAAAAATATTCTGTAATGCAAAAATATATACATCTCATAAAAATGTTAACAAGTTTCACAATGTATTTCACACACTGTCAGCATTGGCAGAAAAAAACAGCAGGAAGTGAATAGAACAAACAATTCGCAGAAAGGGTGTGGAAGACCGTTTTACTGACCTTTAAAGTTCAAAACTACTGTACATTTGATACGGAAACTTCTTAGACCTCTACCTTAACCTATCGAAACTTTGCTGGAAAACCTGCAGTACACATTCAACATTGTCTTCTTTCGTCTAATCAATGCTTTATACTTTTTTTTAACAAGTACAAGGCCTTTTAGAATAATTCTTCAGGTCATACATGTGTGTTTTTGCTGCTGATTTTTATAAAGTAAATGTAACAAAAACCTTTATATTTTTAGTAATATTTCAAGATGAACACTTGACTGAAGAAATTTAGGTTTACTTGATTATCCAAACATATACTGTAAAAAATAATCCTGTAAAAAAACGGTAAACTACTGGCAGCTGTGGTTGCCAGCATCATACCGTAACTAAACAGTGTGTTACTGTTTTTGTGTTAGAGCATATAGCTGTTAAATTAAAGTTTTATACTGTAGCTGACAATACGGTATTTAGCTGTTAATTTCAAAAACAGTAACACACCGTATTTTTACGGTATGATGCTGGCAACCACAGCTGCCAGTAGTTTACCGTTTTTTTACAGGATTATTTTTTACAGTGTTTTAGAAAAATATGATCAAATATGATGCTCAGCCAAAAAACAAAAACAAAAACAAAAAACATGCAAATTTTGCTCTATTTGATTTTAAACATTTTGTCTTACGGTTCAATAAACTGTTCCATGGAATTTTTATGTCAGGCTTTGCAGTGTTCAACTGACTCTAAATTTGCATCACTTTTTTTGTGCCGTCCCCTGGGCCAGTCACCTGATTTCCCACCTATTAAATTCGCACGCCATGTTGCTGTGCTTTTCATAACGCAGTCAAGTCATTTCCCTCATTTCCAACTTTGTCCTCCTCAGGCTCAGACCAAATTGCGCTACCTGAAAATGGCGTTAGATCTACGAGCAATCCCACTTTTTCTTCGTTCTTCTTTTCTCCACATTCATGCTCCTCCCCCTCTGCTGCCTCCTCCTTTTCCTCCTCCTTCTGTTTCTTCTTCTCTTCCTCAGCTTCATTCTTCTCACTTTTCTTTTCGTCCGCCTGCGTCTTAGCCCTCTCCCTCAGGTCAACGCTGGAATAGTCACTGGAAGAATCGCCCCCGCCGTCATCATTTTCCTGCTGCTCTCCCTCTGTGTAACTGTCGTTTTGTTTGTCATGACCTCCACCCTCCTCTTCGACACTATCTCCTATGTTCTCCTCGTCCTCACGGGGTTGAGGCCAAATGTGGACACCAAATCTGTTTTCCACAACCCCAACTCCTTGTCTCAATCGATCCCGTAGTCCGCCAGGGGCGAAGACGATGTTCTGGACGGTGTACTGTCCATTTGTGTCCACATTAAGTCTTTTGTAAAAATAGACCAGTGCCAGAGCAAGTATGATTAATACGAAGAGGAGGATAAGGACAGTTGCAGTGCTGTCATAACTCGGTGTATGTGATGCCATGACTAAAAAGAGTGCAAAGAGAACAGGAAGAATTAATGAAATAAATGAATCATTTATTTACACTGCAGGTCAAAAGCTAATAATAGTAAAGACTTTTTAATGTTTTCAATGGTAAAATACTCACCAAGGCTGCATTTATTGGATGAAAAATACAGTACAAACAGTAATATTGTGAAATATTATTATAAGATCTGTTTTCTATTTGAATATATTTTAAAATACAATTTATTCCTGTGATGGAAAAGCTAAATTTTCAGCAGCCATCTCTCCAGTCCTCAAGTTTGGGTTAAGTACGATTTAATATATATATATATATATATATATATAGCCTATATATATATATATATATATAGGCTATATATTAATAGTTTTTTCCCCACCATTAAACTGATCAAAAAGTGACTGTAAAGACATTTACAATGTTACAAACGATTTACATTTCAAATAAATGCTGTTCTTTTCAACTTTCTATTCCTAAAAAAAAATGTATCACGATTACCACAAACATCCTAAGCAGTAAAACCCATTTACAACAATGATAATAGTAATAAGGGGGCATTTACACGACACCATTTTCAAAGTGCAAGTTTTTGAAAACGATTCCGTTCTCGTCTCTGTGTACTGTACACTGTAAAAGCACGAATTTGTGAAAACAGTGACGTCATGTGTTACGTTCAGTAGTTTTTCTTTACAATGTGACATCCAAACTACTGGCCTGACATGAATAATACAGCGTACTTTTCAGTTTTTAGTAGGCTACATGGTGTCATGTAAACGTATCTTAAAAAAGCAGTTTTTTAAAAGCACCATTAACTGATAATAGTTAAGCACCAAATTAGCGATTATTAGAATAATTCATTGAGGATCATGTGACACTGAAGACTGGAGTAAAGGCTGCAAAAAATTCAGCTTTGACATCACATGAATAAATTGCATTTTAAAATATATTAAAATAAATTGTAATAATATTTTACAATATTACAGTTTTTACTGTATTTTGTATTAAATAAATGCAGTCTTGGTGAGCATTTGAGACTTCTTTCAAAAACATTTAAAAAAAAAACTTAATTATTCCAATCTTGTGACCGGTGTAAACAATACATTTATAAAATTCCAAAAGATATATTTATTCAAATAGCCTAAATATAAAAAAATAAATAAAACTTAAATAGAAATACATTATAAAAGTAAATAATAATAATAATAATTTGGAATCAGCACAGGAATATATAGCAATCACAGTCTCCACAGTGTCTTCATAAGCTTTAGCTGGATATTCAGCAACTTGCAGCATGTTTCATAGAGACTGTGATAAACTGTGGCTTTTTGCCCACACAAACACCATCCTCCCGCTCTGTTCTGAAGTGCAGTTGCACGGAAGTAAGCATGCTTGCATTCTTTTTTGAAAAGTTGGCAGGAAATCACTTCGGCTTTTCGTCATTTCTGTGCAAAAGTTTTTTTTTAATATACTTCTCATTGACACACTTACACACCCTAACACTGGTCTTTAATACACGTCTAAATAAATCAGTTTCAAACACTTAATAGCACTTAACAGCAATTCACAAGTTGTGCTAATGCAGCTGTGTAAATACGGACCCAGTGGATGACAGCAATTGTCTTGGCGCATGGGCGAATGTGTAATGTGTCTGCCTGCCAAAACCATGTGCCAAATTACATGAAATGGCAAATGCTCGAAGAAGGGGAAATTAACTAATACATTTTTGCTTTTGAAACAACCTGTAGCCTATTACATGTTTCCTATAACTCACACATAATATGCTATACTTCTTATTTACAATACAGATCGAATACAGAATATATAGATACATAGCCTAGTATATAGTGTTAAAATATGTAAAAAAAAAAAAAAAAAAAAAATATTTTTTAATATACAGTAAATGCTGCTCAAATCAAATTCAGCACATGCCACACACAAAAAAAAAAGTACATTGAAATAACTCACCTTTACTCAACTGTCCTTAAACCCATAGCCCATGCGAGAATAAAATAGAGAATTCAAATTTGTCTTGGCCATATAGGCAGGAAAGAGGGGCGGGGGGAGAGAGAGAGAGAGAGAGAGAGAGAGAGAGAGAGAGAGAGAGAGAGAGAGAGAGAGAGAGAGAGAGAGAGAGAGAGAGAGAGAGAGAGAGAGAGAGAGAGAGAGAGAGAGAGAGAGAGAGAGACGCGATTAAAAAGTATCAGGTTTTTATGCAATAAGGTCATGACAAGAGTCTTGATTTGCAAAATATCAATTCTAAACAATGATGATTTAAAACCCCAAAATATATATATTTTTTATTAATGGGAAAATTAAAGCAATTTGTAGTGGGCAGTTTTGAGGTAAAAGTAATAAAGAAATATGCATAGGAATTAAAAAATAATGCATTTGGCTTGTTTTCTTGTTTAACATCATGATACATGATTAGTTGATTAGAAACTCGTAGTTAAAAATATGCACATTTTATAGTGAAAATAAAATATTCAGATGAAAGCATAGAATAACTTATATAAGGAGTCCACACAGGAAGAGCTCAGTGGAACACAGTTTCCTTTAGCTAGATTGTAAGATGAAACACGAGTCTCTCTCTCAGACCACATCCTGTTGTAAAGCTCGAGCTTAAAGATGCTATGAACCATGAAAGCATGAACGCTTCACTGCTTGTGTAGTGCAGATAATGCTGCAAAAGCAGAGTGTGGTCGTAACACAACAACACGAAAAAGCACATTTTTTAAAACGCCTCAGTTCTTACAGTTGAGGGCTGCGATCAAGATGCAGGCAAAATCTGCCTCAAATACACAACAAGAGATCATGTTTCTTAGCCAGAGCTGGTCAAATATTCCTTAAATGAGTTTTCTAATGTCACTGTATGCTTTTTCAGTTTTGAAATTCACCCTGATTAACCGAACTACTTCCTAGTTTACATGGGAAAATCACTGTTCGGCACTGCTAAGCTAGTTTACTTTCAGTTCTAAAAGTAGCACCAAAAATGTTCGTTTTGACCTCTGACCAGCTGGTACAATCTGTAAGTGCTTGTAATGCGATAAATAATAAAACCAAATGATACACAGTAGATAAGGGGGAATGTCATTTATTAAAAAGAACAGATTAAGTTAGCACTTAAGTTTTAAGTAAATGGGTACTTAGATCATTTACAACATATACAACATTTAAAGCTACATAAAGTCATTCACAGAGGAGGATGAGTCGTTTCCATCATCCCTGATTGTAGTGCCCATGATAAAACAAATACAAAAACACCACCATCTAAACCTCTAAATCAATGTCACATGATTCTACTAGTGTTTTTCATATTCAATCAAACAGGAATGAAGCACAGTTATTCATCAAGAGACTCAAGAATCTCAACAAACCTGCCAAGAACAAGTCCAGGTCTCTCCAAATCAAAGGAAATAAATAAGAGATTTTATTTTCATGACAGTTAAGCACGTTTTGCATTACCATAATGAAAAGAAATATTCTCATTGTTGTATTTGATGCACTGCCTTAAATTTAGTCTGGTTTAAATGTAAAAGAAAATGTATTACAGTTCCTTTATTTAGTGTAATATGGAAAATTATTACTGTAAAATCAGTTAATTCCCAAAAATAGGAATTGAAAGAGAAAAAAATATCCCAATAGGTAAACAATCACAAAATGCAGAATGTGTGCAAAAAAAAAAAAAAAAATGTTGAAAATATCAAAAAAATATTTCTTATTATCCTTTTGATTTTGGTGTGAAAGGTGACCTGGGAAACTTTTCATCCTAGAAGATCTTCATCTGTGTTTTCTGACACTCTTCTTCATTATATCGATAGCTCACAAATTCCTTCAACAACAAGTTTCTATCACATGCTACACACATTTCCACACATGAAACTCTAACCACATCCAAAATAAATGCTACAAGTGTTAAGACGTACAATGGAAGAAAGAAACCCAAGAACAGTGCTGGTCAATGCATGTTTATAAGCACCATCAAACTTTAGCGGAAGAAAGGAATTAATTCAGCATGTTGGATTAATGCATTTCCTGAAGGTTTCATGCTTCAAACTACTTTCATTAAGTAGAAGCATTCATAAATGCTTTCTTAATGCACACTACACGATAATACCAAGTCTGCTTTTCATTTAAAGTCTGCATGTTCATGCAAATATTGACCCAACCAAATTCTGACTTCAGAGTCTGTACTTAGTAGTAAGTACCTGATGTAACAGCCCTAGTAAAGCACAAAATGAGCAGCATTTAGGATATTATATATCAGTGCATCAATAGCCAAAAGTGTACCAATAAAGCTCAATCATTTCTTTGTATTACTATGTCACAGTAACTGAACTACATTTCCCATAACTCTTCAGTTTTTGAATGTGGGTAAGGCTATGTGTTGCGATACGTTTGTAGTTTCCTTCACACTTCTCCGTCCTCAATACGGGCGAGTTGCCTTTCCAGAACGTCGATCCTGTGACCCTGAGCCAGAACCAGAGCCCGCAAAGCCCGCACCTCCGTCAGAATATCAGAAAGTTGGTCCTCCTGTGCAAGAAAGAAAAAAACAACAAAAATGGGACATTAACATTTAGGCTTTAAAGTGCCCCTATTATCCTTTTTTTCCCAGTATTACCTTTCCATGCAGTGTGTAAATACAGGTGTTTGTGAATGTAAAAGGTCTGCAAAGTTTTAAAGATCAAAGTGCACGACAAAAAAAGCTATTGTCTCCTTAAAGAAAGAATAGATTCTGAACTGCCGAAACGAGCCGTCAGCAACTAATTTGCATAATGCCAGTCTATGGTCTTCATTGGTTGTCCATGAATAACGTCTACTTTGACCCTCAAACACTGTAGTTGTAGCTGAGACTGGAAGAGTTTGGTTCATGTTGTCGACATGTAGAGAAGACGCTGTTTTCAGCGCTGCGAAAGTAAATACTCTTTGCATGCATTTCGTAAAGGATGAGGACTTGGGCTCGAAATGATCCGGTAAACCTAACGCCATTGTTCCTGTTCTTTATATAAAGAGCTGAGGAAGATCCGGAGCTGAAGTTCAGATATGGTAATGGCTGTTTCATTTCCGACTTGTGCTGTAAGCAGTAGACCAATCACAACAGACTGAGCCATCTGACCAATCAGAGCAGAGTAGACCAATCACAACAGACTGGGCCATCTGACCAATCAGAGCAGAGTAGACCAATCACAACAGACTGGGCCATCTGACCAATCAGAGCAGAGTAGACCAATCACAACAGACTGGGCCATCTGACCAATCAGAGCAGAGTAGACCAATCACAACTAGGGGTGTAAATCGGAGCCTTAATGACGATTCGATACGATACCGATTTCTTAAGCCAACGATTCGATTTTTTTCCATACTTCAGAATTTCCCGCGATACGATTCGATACTAGATATTTTTAGTATTGAATATTGCAAAAGATGCTTTCCAACAGGTTTTATCATAGTTTTTGTCCAACTCCATTGACTTGACTTGGACAAAAACTACGATTAAACCTGTTGGAAAGCATCTTTTGCTGCGATTTTTGTGTGAGCATATCAGTGAACACCACAGACCACTCGGTGAGTTTAACGTCTTTGTAAACTAAAGTTTAATGCGTTTTATGAAGGATTGTTCCAGTGCACCTATTCAACCATTGTGGAGGTGGGGGGGTGCAACCACAGAAACCGAAAATTCTCGGGCCAGCAGACATGTGTCCAAATTTCAATCTTAACCGTTCTATTTCATCAGAAACGATCTTAAAACAGGGCTTTAAGTGTAAAATACCGAACTTGTCCTTTAAGTTTCAAATAAATCAACAACAAAAAAAAAATAATTAGCCTTTTATTGAAAATACAGAAACAGTATTTGTGGCTAGCAGGACGAGGGACGTGAGAGAACGTCGCGAGGCCGGTGGCGGGAGTGTTAATGAACGTCACCTGTGAGACGCACCGGTTCATTAACACTTACACCACCGGCCTCGTGCCGTTCTCTCACGTCCCTCATCCTGCTCGCCACAGTATTCTATTCACATAATGTGTGTGTTACACTATAGCAGTCTTTCTTTTTGCAAACGGCAACATCTCTTACCACTGCTCCATCTGTTTTCCTGAAGCCAAAATACTTCCACACCCATGACTTGACGCCGACTGGAGTGTGTAACATTTCACTTTCATTGGCAGCTCGCGCTGACGGTTCCATCTCTCTTGAAAGTCAGACTCAACAATGTGCGTGACCATAGATAGACTGTGAAACCTAAGTAACGCGTGTGAAGTAGAAGACAATAATGAGGTTAGCGCCACCCGCAGCTTAGGAGTAGGTTGTACGTATGTCGGAGTGGATGCTGAAAATACACAGGCGAACAGACAGGCGGCAAAATAAACACATTAATCGATACTCTTGCGGACGCATGCGGCTGTATAATCGATGGATCGATACGAATCGATTAATATTTACACCCCTAGTCACAACAGACTGGCCAATCAGAGCAGAGTAGACAAATCACAACAGACTGGCCAGACAGAGAGAGATAGTGTGTGTGTGAATTACCTGGGTCTGTGTAGCGTCTCTCTCTACTAACAATGAAGCTTTGAGTTTAATTACTTCAAATACAGCTATTCTAAAACCCTCATTGCTAATTAATACAATGACGCAATCAGATTAAAAGTATTCTGACATACCATGTTATAAATATATTTATACCATTGTGTGTCAGAAACCGATTCTGATTAGCTGGAAGCAGGCCCGTCGCCAAGGGGGGGCATTAGGGGACCGTGGCCCTCTAATCATATGGTCATCGAGCAAACTTACTATTGAGAGCAAAAAAACGTTTCCACGTATTCCATAACGAAATGTCGTCAGCATCATTTAGCACACAGGTGCACTAATCTCTGTAACTTTAAATAACACATTGTCTTCAGAAATATGAAAATTAGTCGGAGCGTGTAAGGCTCTGCGCAAGGCTTACCTTCCCCTGGCCAAGCGGGTTTGTCGAATTTTCTGATTCATTTGCCTGCTAAAAACAGCCTACTGTTTCCACGTAAAAAAAAGGTAATTTTTCTCAGAATTGCATGATATAAAATCAAAATGGCAAGTTATAAAGTCAGAGTTGAGTGATATACAGTCACATTTGCGTGTTATAAAATCAGAATTGTGAGAAAAACTCTGAATTGAGAGAAATCCATGTGAGAATTGTGAGATGAAAAGTCGCAATTATCTTTTAATTTTTTTTTTATTCCGGGGCGAAAACAAGCTTCCATATACTTCTGATTGCTTTTAGAGGGAAAAGCTGTACATAAATGCTGGTCTAGGATCAGTTTTTTTCTCCGTAATAAAAGAATATTGGCTAAACTCCGGTGTTTTGAGCGGTGAGTGGATTAGTTCTACGCGCGTGCAAATCCTCTCGTTATAATAAGGAGTTAGGCTATGCAAATAAGGCATTATTGTGTATCAACTTTACTGATAGCCTAGGAACTTTGTGAGATCGCGATGAAGTTGAATAACCGCTTTTTAAAGATAATAAAATAGGCGTTCTTTGCGAGCTTTCTGCCATGTCAAATCCTGCATATAGCCTAGTAAATGTTTTTAAAGGGGAAGCGCATCCTCATGGTGTTGGTTCACCCTCCGCCTATGATCAGAAACTTAATATTTTGTGTTTTGGTGTTGTTTAAATATAGAATTTGGTCTATTTCAGTTATATTAGACTAAATAGAGGAGGTCTGTATTGTAGATCATAAAAAGTGTGCCCCCCCATGAAAATGAAATGCCCCCCCATTCTATATGTTCTGGCGACGGCCCTGGCTGGAAGGTGTGTGTTCAAACCAAGCGGCAACCTTCCAGTCTCTCTCTTGAAACCGACACGGAAGTGACTTAAACTGGATTTCATCGACTGGCCGCTAGAGACTGGCTGCAAAAGAGAGTCAATCCCATAGACCCCCCATGTTTATATGCCCAACTTTACAGCAGGGAAAAATATGTTTACAACCTGGTGCAAAAAAGTGTTTTTGGTCTACATAGCTAATTTTGCCCTTCATGAAAACTGTGAGGGGGGTGATTTTTTTTTTAACTCATCCGTTTAAATTATAATAAGCCTTAAAGTTCTGCATAATTAAGGGCGTGGCCACTTGAGTGACAGTTGGATTCCCGCTGCTGTCACTACCAGCCGTTTGTCTGCTGTCTGTTAGCCGTCACGTCACCTCAGCTAATCCCGCCTTTTTGCCCATTTTGGGTTATCCGGTGATGCGCCGCCAAGATGGCGACGGCCGGCCGGCTCCGCCGACTTTGGGCTTAAAAAACGCTCTTCAGAAACCAATGGGTGACATCACGGACACTATGTCCATATTTTATTTAAGTCTATGGTTCAAATCGTTCAATTGTACAGGTAGTTCCAGTCAGTTTAATCACAATTCTATATTAAAGGATAATTCCGGTATTTAACACTTTGAGTCTATTTTCTAGTTTGTTTTGGATGAACTAGAGTGGTGGACTTAGAAATGTTGACGATGGGTCCTGTCTCGACTTTTTGACTATTTTAGAATCGCCTCTGAGCGCTTCAGAGTGGCTGTCTATGGGCATGCTCAAACACGTCCTTAAAACAACCCTTAACGTTGGTTTTCAAAACTGTGCAACTCACCGAGTGGTTAGTGGTGTTCGTTGATGATTAAAAACAAATATATCGGCGCAATGTATGCTTTCAATCCGTGTTATTTGCTATAGTGGAACTATTTTTTTCAGATACCTCACAACCGCGTATAAACTTCCGCTCGCTATTTGAGTCTGAAGCATTAGCACACTCCCGGCCACTTGATGGCGACAACCACTTTGCCGCAGTTGCTCAGCTCACGCTAGCCTTCTGAGAGACGGAAAACCGAGCGAAAAGACTACAACCAAATGTAAACAGACCCCTTTCCGTTTCCGGTAGCGCAGTAATATCAACGAGCACTGAGTCCTCCAGCAGACATCAATACGATTTTAAAAAATGGCAAATAAAACACGACAGAAACTGTATTTCGCTACGCTACTTGTTTTGGAACATCAACGAACACCACTAACCACTCGGTGAGTTGCACAGTTTTGAAAACGAACGTTAAGGGTTGTTTTAAGGACGTGTTTGAGCATGCCCATAGACAGCCACTCTGAAGCGCTCAGAGGCGATTCTAAAATAGTCAAAAAGTCGAGACAGGACCCATCGTCAAAATTTCTAAGTCCACCACTCTAGTTCATCCAAAACAAACTAGAAAATAGACTCAAAGTGTTAAATACCGGAATTATCCTTTAATGCACTGCTTTCAGTGAAGCACACACACACACACACATAATGTACAATAATGAGACGAGTCCAGCTCAGCCGACCCAGTCTCCTCATTTCTCTGAACCTTGTCACTCACCTCTTTCTTTACTCTCTCTATCCCACCATCTACATCCCTTCCTCCTCGCCCGTGGCCCGGAGCCTCGCTCTCCATCTCAACCGCCATAGGGTTTGCTGGCGCAGTAGTGCTGGTGGGACTAGTGTTGGTCTGAGAGAGCAGTTTGGGTCGACCCCGCAGCGTGCCGGCTTTGGTTGGAGGGGCCATGTAGCCTCCGCTGAGGGAAACCAGGACTGGAGGGGCATCTTGTCCTGCTATCCAATCTTCCGCCAATAGAGCGGGTTCTAATCCCGCCGTATCCGGGTACAGATCCCCTTGAAACAGGTCGGACTGATAGTGGGTGGGGGAAAAGAAGAGTTTAATTTAGAGAGATGGTGCAGTTTGATAAACATGCCAATTAATAGTTTGCATATGGGCAGTTGAACATGGGTTTTCTTCCTTCCTCTTTGACACATTGACTCTAAAAATACAGCAGTGGGGGCAGTACCAAGAATTCATAAAATACCAGCTAAGAATGATAAATTCAAATAGGTTTCCTGTTTTATTTTATTTTCACATTGATTTCACCTAAAAAAATTATTTACTCACCCTCATGTTGCTTTTTCTTCTGAAGACCACAAAAGAAGATATTTTGAAGATTGTTGGGAACCAAACAGTTTCGGTTACTGGTAACTTTCATTGTACTGATCAAAAACATTGAGCCATTTCTCAAAATATCTTCTTTTATGGTCCAAAGAAGAAAGCAAGTTCAGCAGGTTTGGAATGACATAAGCGTGAGGAAATTATTTCTGGGTGTATTTCTGATACTATTTCTATCTCTTTAAATATAGCAAAGGGAGGGAAATGAGAGGTTTGTCTATTTTTACAAACAGAGTAAATTCATTTTATTCGGTAACTAAGAGCATTTGTAAATTAAGCTCTAAATGGTTTAATCAGGGCTGCCAACTTTTGAGTTTAGCTTGGAGTGAGATTTATGGAAATATTGGGGGGGGGGGGGGGAATAAAAAAAGTGTCTGATTGTCAAAACATTTGGTAAATAAACAGAATGTTATTAAGTTCAGTGACAACATGTTACAATATTTACATGGTACAATGACTGGTAGGCTATTTTTTATTATTGCTTGACACAAATTTCATGATTTCAATTCAAATTCTTTTGATTTGATTCCGATCTTGATTGAATATAGATTCATTTGGATAAATATTAGCCTGCGTAGAGATACATGTTAATTTTTCTCAAGAAAAAAAAAAAAATCACACCTAATGCTGTAAACATACAGAAAGCTGTCATTAAAGGTTAAAAATAACAACTCAAATTAAATATGATGCGGTTTTTAATTTATTTTATTTTAATGCTATAAGTTCAATTATAATAAATATGTAATATAGTGCACATATTTAGCAAAATACTCCTCTCTATAACTAAACTAGCCAACTAACGTGCTATGGTCATTAAAGGGCTTTTTTCTGAGGTAAATGTTAGTGACAGGCTATATTGTTCTCCAGCTGTTTGGGTGAAAAACACTGATTGATTGATATTATGTATGAGGCATTTACATTTGGCTAAGTTGTGTAATGCATCTTTCAACATACCTGTTCATTCGTGTTTATTTACGAGTAAGAGATGATCGGTTCACGTGCCGCTTGGACACGTGAGGTGCTGCCTACAGCGATCTGTCACGTCACATTTACAAGCGCCAAAACGGTATTTATTGTTTGAATTTCATAATAAAATTGACAGAATCTGAGAGCTGAGAAAAGTAACCAGCTCTGTCTTGTCTGTTGGTGTCGGTGTTGGTGTCGATTTCTTTCTGCGTGAGAAAATGGATGTGTGGCGTGAGAAAATGGATGTGTGGCGTGAGATGGTGTGAAAACTAAGTAGCCTATCAATTGCGTGAGAGTTGGCAGCTGATCTATTTTTAAAAGTGACAAATAAATATTACACATATTTTACACATTTTCTTTGTGCAGTTTTGTCAAGCTTCAAATTTAAAATTTCTTAAAAATAAAAATAAAATAAAAACATCAAAAGAGATTTCTACTATGAAGTATCAGGATAGATTAGTGTTTAGACTGTATCACCTAAATATATATTATTCAAATACCAGTCAGCATTGGGTCTGCTTGGTGCATTTCTGGCCTCATGACATTATATGTACAAACATGCATGAACATTAGGGCTGTCAATCTTCCTCTATAATACTATTCGAATTCCATTCCTTATTTTATTTAATATTCGAATATTAAATGCTCAAATTCATCCTATTATTAATATTTACGACATTACTCAGGCTTATGGATCGCCAATGCCAATAGCATGTGGTTGTTGTTACACGTTCTGTCCACTAGAGGGATATCTAACATTACAATAAACATTTTATTCGTGCTGAATATGGTTGAAGCGCTACCGATGGTTTTCGGCTAATATCTCCGCTAAAACACCACCAAAAATTCTGAAACTTATATCGTTCTTTTCAGTTCGACTAGACGGTTCCAACGAGTTTGGTGCTCACCGAATCCGTTGAGTTTTCACCAAGATATTTGCGCTTCAAGGGCGCTTTTTTACGTTGTTAAACATTTACCATTTTTGACAGTATTGTTATGATGATACAGCGTGGATAACGTGCACAATTGTGTTACGATTCAAAAACGTTAGCCTATTGTTCATCAGACGAAACAAAAGCATTTAATTTTCACATGTAAGTCAAGGTGGCGAGAAAGGCAAGATTCCATATAAAAAAAAATAATGAATGGGAATAGGAGCAGGCTTCACTCAATGTCAATGGTTAAACTTAAACTTTAAGAATGCTGGCCTGATGATTAGAATATATAACGTTAAACAGGAAAGAGGCCGCACTATGCATAAATTGTTTTATTTGCACAAACGCGTTTCGGCGCGTGCCTTCTTGAAACGCGTTTGTGCAAATAAAACAATTTATGCATAGTGCGGCCTCTTTCCTGTTTATATATATAAAAAAAATTAAATATACATAAAAAAACAATATTCGAATAGTAACTTCAGCATTCGAATAGTATTGATTTTTTTAATATTCGAATTATATTCGAATTTCGGAATTAGTTCCAACAGCCCTAATGAACATCAACACTAAAATACATTTTATTATTAAGCCAAGTGTCCTGCACATTAACCTAACTGCAAATGTGAAACATATAATTTAAAACATACCTAAAACACTGAATAAATAGCATTAGTTGCCTGTCCCTACTCTCCAACACTACTACATTTTAACATAAAATATGATTAAAATCCTTCAGAAATATTTTTTCTTTTGCAATGTTGCGTACCCTCATAGCCCATCATAGCCCAATGCTTTAAAAAATAAATAAAAAGATTTGTATTTGATAAAAATACACATTTTAGTCGTGTCTCCAGGTTGTCAGTCACTCCTGTTACCCTAAGACATCCCCCCCTCTGAAAAACGGGAACATTTCCCAAAGGCACATCTTCAACAGGATATTGCATCATCTGAATCTTCTGAAGGCTATTTGAAGACCTAAAATATGTGTTCTTAATTTATTTTCTGTATATTTGATGATATTGTAACTACGCCTGGGAAGTTCGTTTATTTTAATAATAAACATAATTTTGGGGGGAGGTCTAAATCACTAGAATTTGCTCAATGCCCTGTTAGCATGTGGCTATATTGTATGTATTTGCTAATCCTAAAAACTCAGTCCTGTTATACAAAAAGCAAAAAAGCAACAGGACCGAGTAATAGTAACAGGAGTGAGTAGTGTCCTCTGCTGTGTTGATTTATTAGTGTGAATATTAAGCACACTAATCTAGATAAATTTGAAACCGCATCTTTTTCTCTATGTTAGCCTTCCATCTGCACTGAATGTTTTTGTAAAGTGCTCTCTCAAGTGGATACATTTGAAAATACAATTTTCACGTTGTAGTGTCCTGTGTTGTTGTGTCTACTATTCACTTTATAGCTGTTGTGCCTGCTATTTTTACTTCATTATTTCACTAAATTTAGAAACAAGTGAGGTGCAGCTGAGCTCACTAGTTCAACAGGTTTCACTATTAGTGAGGACATTAACACCTCACAAGTGTAGTCACACATGGACACGCATTCCTGTTACCCAGTGTTCATTCCTGCTGCTATATCGTTTTTTCAATAAAAAAAATTTATTGTGTTTGGTCCATTATTTGTCCAATCGTTTAACAAATCGCATTATTAAAAAAATGGATAAACTGAGTCACCTTTCGGAAAAATGAACCTTGTGTGCATATATAGTGGTTTTTATGAAAAATATTAATTATTTGAACATGAAACCAACGGTTTCTTTAAAATAAACATCTCCTTGAGGGAAAAAACAAAGTAATTAGTTGACATGTTTGTAAACATGTTTTTTTTTTAACGCTTTTGGTAACAGGACTGAGAAAAATGCATCCGTCTTCTACTTAAAAAACCTTGTAAAAATGAAATGAAGTTACTTGAGATGAACAAGTACATATTTTGAATAGTTAAATATACATGTTATTAGATTCAGTTTAAAAAAAAAGTTATTTTCAGGAGTATAATAAGGCCATGAGCATATCATCACCATTTGAACATATATATTTTTAACAAATTGCAGTATGTATGGCTGATAGAGAAACCTAAGCATCGCTGTGCAATTATTTTTCTACACACAAAGCAAGAGAGCATTTACAATATGGTATTTTTCAGAGAACTTCCTGTAACACTTAACTTTCCAAGCTTTCAAAGCATTTAAAAAAACAGAAATTCAACACTTCTATCAGAACAAAGTTCAACTCAAAGCTCTTGTAGATGACAAAATGGAATAACTAATTAGTAGCCAAAGGTTACTTACTAACTTTCCTTTCTGACTTGCTGTAAACACAGATTCAAAACTGAACGCATGGATGCATGCAGACTGAACCTACCTTCCGTGGCACAGTCATAGATATGGGCTCAACCTTTCTCTCATGAAGCTTATAGAACCTGATGGAACAAGATGAAGAACAGTGGAGATAAATGCAAGCACTTGAGAGAGATGCTGTATAAGCTCAAAAATGAAAATGATTTTTAGCGAATGATACGGTAACACTACAATATAGTTAACATTAGTTAACTATGAATGAACAATACTTTTTCAGCATTTATCAATCTTATAGTTAATATTAATTTCAACATTTACTAATACGTTATTTAAATCAAATGTTGTATTTGTTAACATTAGTTAATGCATTGTGAACTAACATGAACAAACAATGAACAGCTGGATTTTTATGAACTAACATTAAGAAAGATTAATAAATACTGTAACAACTAATGTTAACTAATGAACCTTATTGTAAAGTGTTATCAATAATAGCCTACTTGTTCCAGTTTGTTACTCAGTTACTGAACAGCTTCTTAAAAATGAGTAAGAACAGTGAAATGTAAACTCAGAATATTAAGCAAACATGCAATAATAAAATATGTTATAATAACACAAATATACTTTATGTATTTAATCTCACTTTATTAACCAATGTCTTTGCTGCTCACCTTCGATTATCCAATACTAATAAGCAAAAATTATTTTAGATAAACATCACATTTGTGTTTTTGTTTTGTTATTAAGAAGTCCAAGTGAGAAAAAGTAATTCAAAACTAACGTGGCGCATTACTTTCCATAAAAAGTAACCAAGTAACGTAGTTCGTTTTTAGGGAGTAACAAAATATTTGAACACATTAATTTTAAAAATGACTTTCCCTAACATATTTTAAAATGTTACAAAAGATTTAAAATAAATATAGTTATTTTGAACTTTCTATTAATCAAAGAATCCTAAAAAAAAAATTGTATCACGGTTTTACATTAAGCAGCATAGCTGTTTTCAACACTGATAATAATAAGAAAAGTTTCTTGAGCATCAAATCAGCATATTAGAATGATTTCTGAAGGATCATGTGACACTGAAGACTGGAGTAATGATGCTGAAAATTCAGCTTTATCATCACAGGAATGAATCACATTACATAACAACCCTCATTTTCTTTCTATGTTGCCGTCTGAATATAAAAAAAATAAAAAAAATGTCTAGGTTCCATGGAAGAAAGAATGGAATCACATGAGGGTAAGAAAACATTAAAAAAAGTCTAACATCCCGGACAAATAACCAGTCAAACAACTTTGGCACCAAACAAAAGACTGAAGTTGGAGTTGCCACTTATTAAATAGTGTCATTCTTCGATGTCCTGATTCTTTCTGTCTTAAAATCACACAGTAGTTCAGTTCGTACCTTGCTATTTCACACTTGTTGACATCTACTCCTCGTTTGCTTAGAAAACCAGCACCTCTCTGCGGCTCCTTACTGCTGTACAGACTCAGGAAATGAACAAACGGTGACTCATCCGTCACCTCAAAGTAGCGAATGGTACAATCCCCCTGTGAAAGAGAGACGGTCACAGACAGCTGAGCTAGAGCTCGTTGACTACACTGGATTTCAGCAATTACCAGTTCTACTTTTATTACACGGGCCCCTGAGACACACGATCTATGGTATGCATCAAAGTACCAAGGTATTAACATCTGATACCATCACTGTGCCATTTACCAGCACTTAATCAACATGTGCTTACAGACTCAACATCTCGTACGCCACCGTTCAAAAGTTTGGGGTCAGCAAGATATGTTTTTGGTTTTGTTTTTCTGAAAGAAATTAGTACTTTTGTGCATTGAATGTATCAAAAGTGACAGGGAGGACTTTTACAGTGTTACAAAAATTTTCATTTTCCATTTATCAAACAATCCTGAAAAAACGCCACCACAGTTTCTACAAACATATTCGACACCAGCTGTTTTCATTTCACCCTGATAATAATAGTGAATGTTTCTTGAGCAGCAAATCAGTCTATTAAAATGATTTCTGAAGGATCATGTGACACTGAAGACTGGAGTAATGATGCTGAAAATTCAGCTTATATCACAGGAATAAATTACATTTTAAAAATTATTAACCCTCTGGGGTCCAATGTGTTTTTGGGGTCCTTGAGATGTTTTGACATACTCTGACATTTGTGCTTTTTTCAGTTGCTTATAAACATATTACTGGCAAAGGTGTAATTACACTCTATTTAGCACACACAGGGCTACCATAATGTGTTATCAACATGTATGTACATTTTTGTATTTTTGAGAGAATATTGTTTATGCGTGGTTATTGAAAAAATAAAAACTTAAAGTTTCTGAAATAAGGCCACAAAACACATACTAAATATCTGTCCACAAGACTTTTGACTAATGGATGTTGTCGCTTAGAGTTTTTTCTTCAAAATGATCTGAAAATCATCCTGCCTTATCATTCACATATAACAATAGATTGGTTTAAATTTAAAAATGACACTTTTTGTTTGGAAAGGCAATATGCGCAGGGGTGTGACCTGCTGTGATTCACACCTGAGAAGACAATGGGCCCGCATAATGAGCGCATAATGGGGCTGCATACTAATGACCCTTTCATTCAGGTGTGTCACTGAGCCACAAGAATGCAATGACAATATATATATACATATACATATATATATGTATATATATATATATATATATGCCTATATAATACAAAATTGGTTCACAGTTCCAATTATTTATTTATTTTTCAAATTGTGCTTGCAAATTGTATAATATCAAATGTAAAAATTTCTAGTAATTGTGCAGTTAATTATCATACTATTTTTACAGAAAGTTTGGGAATGTATCCCAAATGTGTCACTAATAAAACACAATACAAATAATTTAAAGAGGAGGCTTATATTGAGCTTTTAAGATTTACCTAAGATTTATTTATATGTAGCCTACATATATTTTTGCTATTTTAATAAAAAGGTTACAATTACAACAACAATTAACATTTTAACTATATTTCAAATGTAATCTTTCTTTGTATTATATACTAAAGTATACATTTTATATACATATTTCACAGTTGCGGATTAATTAGTTTGAATATAGCCTACAATCGAACCGACACTATATAATAACATCTTAGCAAACAAGCTTATTTGATGTGGCAGTATTTTACAGTAAAAACGACATCTTGTCTTTCATATGTAACATATCGTTTTTATGATTAGGACATATAAATGTTAATTTGCAGTTTAATACGTTGCTTATACAAAAATATTTTATTTCAACATATTTCAGTCGATTTTTACTCATCTCAGTATTGGAATATAGTTAGGTAAAAGCTGTTCATTCATTCACACACAAAAACGCGATTCAAACAGTCTTTTTGTTTACAGACACTATTCCATATCGCGATTAGCACAAAGCACTTGAAAATAAAGAATACCTATTTCCTCGGCTGGATCTGTTGCTCCTCCAAATGAAACTACCTGTAGCCTACTTCTGAGGTAATTTTTTCCAGGATAATTATTAAGATAGTACTATTATTCCTCACAGCGTCGTAAATCTGAGTCTCTTTCGGTGGTTATCCAGCTGATGGGGGCGTGGATCGCCTCAGAGCAATTGTGTTTGAATAGAGCGCGCGCTCCGTGGGCGTGGTCAAATTAACTTTAATGAGCTGAGACGAGAACGACTATCATCTCTCTTTTCGTACAGATTACATAAAATGAGAAAAACATTTTTTTATATAAATTACTTCATTTAAAAGAAGATAATTCAGGCTTCATGCCTGTGTGTGTGCCTGTATACCTGTTTGACTGAGTATTTGCAGAGTTACAGATGATTTTTCGGACGCGTTTCAGAATGGACTTCACTGACAGAGAGAACGCAGAACGCGCATCATGTTTATTTTTCTTTATTAGGCGAAAAGCACAACACTTTGTTTTTATTATGAGGTTCCACAAAAAAAATACAAACTTAACAGGATCGAATGATGTACATCACTTATATGTAAGATCAAAATTAACAGAGTAATTTGAGTCTCTTTTGCACTGATAAGGAAAAAAGTGAGCTGGTATCGCCGGCGAGACCGCCGACCCCAGAGAGTTAAAATAGATTTTTTTTTTGATCAAATAAGCCCCTGAGATTTTTATTTTATTTAAAAAAATAACCTTACAGACTCCAAACTTATAAAACATAGCTTATTTTATAATATGTTTACTGTATGTAAGGAAAACTCCCTGAGTCAGTGATTGGACACATTTACTGTAAACAGCACAGTTTATATGTCTGTTAGAGCTAGTGTTGTCAAACCGACTTCGGTACCAAGTCGATACTGAAATTTTAAAAATGTGCACTTTGAGCGTTGTTGAGCGGAATCGTAAACACTCTGGAATTGCCATTGTACTCAAGCGCTCATCAAATATGTCTGTGATTGGCTACAATGATCAGCGCTTCAAAACATGTTGTAAATATACATCAATGACGCTCTTCAGCGAGCGCTTACACAGATACACACGGGAGCGTTTGAAGGCAGGTGTCTATCGGCGGACCGGTCCGCTGGCGTGTGCTCTCAACCGCTCCTGTGCTTGGATCATTGTAGCCAATCACAGACATATCCGATGAGCTCGTGAACACAATGGCCAATCAGACGTGTTTATGATTCCGCTCAACAGCGCACATTTTTAAAATTTCAGTACCGACTTAGTGAAACCTGTCATGCAGCAGTTACATCTGGGTAATCTTACCTTCCCACACAAGTAAACCATGTTGGTGTCTGGGTCATAGAATGGAAGCAGAACTCCATTACTGGTGTCCATTTCCTGTGTAACCATTGGCTCAGACAGATCTCTCTGAAATGCACAAACAGAACAGGTTATCAAAAAAACATATCATTACCAAAACATATCAATAACTGAACCAGACAGGCGACATCTGATAGAGGTAGGTAAGCTCATCTGATTGATTGATTGATTGATTGATTGATGATTTCATGGCAACTAAAATAATTAGTCAGTGTCTGATTATTGATGCATGTGTCCTGTGGCCAGTTGCATAAACATACAGTAGCCGCTAGGGGTGGAACGGTACACAAAAGTCACGGTTCGGTTCATACCTCGGTTCAGACGTCACGGTTCGGTACGATTTCGGTACAATGGAGTGAATAGCAAAACAAAAATATAGAAGGCTTTTTATATAAATGTCTTAAGCCTTGTATTTTTTAAATAAGTTTTATTAATAAAGGCATTTAACCAGTTTATTTGTAGTGCACTGACAGTAGTTTTATATAATTAGTTTATTAATTAAATTATTAAAAAGACGAAAAGACCTTGAGATATGTTTGGTAATTGTACCTGAATGAATTTAAAATTAATTTGCTATTTCAGATCAATATATTTGTTTCCTTCATTTTAATTAACCCTAACTTTATTCTCATCTGAATTATAAATAATTGATTTCCGTATAAAATAATACTACCACTAAAAACTTTTGTCAACAGTTGTAGGTTACAGTTTGATAAGAGTTTAGAGTGTGACAAAAGCACAATGTTGTGTTTTATTGCGAGTGTACACAAATATAAGTAAACAATTTGCAGTTTTAATGATGTCCTGTATGAAAAAAAAATGACGGAGTATGTTTTTATGTTTCCACTGTTTGATCGCCCGTGCCTCTCACACACACACGCACACAGTTCGATCTCTCTCTCTCTCTCTCTCTCTCTCTGCCTCTCACACACACACACACACACACACACACTGTTAATCGCGCCCCTCTCTCTCTCTCTCGCGCACACACACACACTCCAGCATTGCAATCTTGATCGCAGCCTGTTCATTGCTGCGTTCACAGTCACACCAAAAGCGAATAGAGCGAAATTTATCGCTATTTAAGAGTTGTTTTTTTTTTGTACCGTGTATTCTCCGTGCAAATTCGTGCACCGAACCGTGACGCCCGCAACGTTTCGGTTCAATACGAATACATGTACCGTTCCACCCCTAGTAGCCGCTAAGTTAAGACTGTAGCTGAGACCCAATTCAGAGGCTGCATCCTTCGAAGGCCGCTTTCGAAAGCCGATTGCATCACCGCGGCACGACGAAGGCTGTCGCAATTCGAAGGCTCCTCCAAATGCATCCTTCGTTTCTCGAGCCACGAAGGATACACCAGATGGATCCTTCGCGGCCTAGTCTACCGCAGAATTTATTGCATTCCGGTGATGAAAGGATTTTTTTTTTTTTGCTTTACTGCTTCAATTTTTACAGTAAAGTGACAGTAAAGACATTTAATGCATCCTTGCCAATGAAATTATTAATTTCATTTAAAAATAATCTTAAAGATGCATTGTGTAATATTTAGGAGGATCTGTTGACAGAAATGCAATATCATATACATAACTAAGTTTTCAGTGGTGTATAAAGACCTTATGAACCGTTGTGTTTTTTTACCTTAGAATGAGCAGTTTCTATCTACATACACCGCAGGTCCCCTTACATTGAAATGTTTCTACAGTGGCTCTAAACGGACAGACTACTACAGAGCGCATTTCGTCACTATGTCGTTTTTCGAGCAAAAAAGCTAGCTAAAGTCAGCGAATAAAACACTGACACAATGATGAACAAGTAACAATAATATTCGCAATAACATCGTTTAACTGAATAATTAAAGGGGTGATGAACTGAGAAATCAAATTTTCCTTGAGCTTTTGACATCTAAGAGGTCATCATATTATAAGAATATCCTATCCAAGTTTCAGAACTGAAAACGTCCTTGTTAGTCCAATAAAAGCTTTTATTGACATCAGGCTCAGCAAACGACTCGTTTTTCAAAGTGGGGAACTATGACGACACCACCCCCGCAGAAGAAGATCAACGCCTACTTTAACACGGACGGTTTAGCCCCGCCCACCGATTCGCGCATTACACGAAACTCATTATAATATGCAAAACTGTTATCCACTCACAGCAGTGGGCGTTTACTTCCAAGTCTTCAATGCGAGACGCCCATAAAAACCGAGCGTTTTTGAGCTAGGCTCAAAACTAGGGTAGAAAATAGCCTATTACTTTAATAGTCATTTTGATGTTTTTGAATTTAAAAACCAAGCGAACGTCATAAGTTGACCTCAGACAACAATATAAAAAAAATTAAAAAGCCAGTTCATGACCCCTTTAAGTAAACCTAATTTCTTCATCTTTGTAAAGAAACCTCATTGCTTAACTGGCTGCTCTCTGCTGTCTCAGACGACATCTTTTCCTGTCGGCCAAAGTAACTTATGTTGGTTGCCATTCGCAACCTCACCACTAGATGCCACTAAAAATTACACACTGCACCTTTAATAATCCCAAGCTTGTGAATGGTAGTGTATATTATTGATTATTAATTACCCATAAAGCTTACAGTAGGAAGATCAATCAAGTTTCTATTAACAGATTCAAGCTTCACCACAGGCTCTAAAGGATAAAAAGTTCTTGCTGACCAATGAACCAATGATGTTCCTCTAAAAAAAAATGCTCTTACTGTGTCCCAGAGGGCAAGCTGTCTCTCACTCATGCGACTGAAGCCGGTTGTCAGGATTTTCCCATCGGCCAGAAAGACGGCCCTCATTGGCCTGGTGCCCTCATGAGCCTTCTCCCGCACCTGAGTGTGACATCGTCAAATGACAAGAAAAATAACATATTTGTGCATAAACACTGATCTGAAAACACTGACACATTCATGAGTGACCCGATGCAGAAAACAAGGACAGCTCCAGGGCAAAGTCTAAGCTAACTGGAGACTTTTCATGTTTAGAGGCAACCACAAAATTGTTGTTTTATTATTGATTTATAAAGTTATTTATTAAATTATTGATTTATAAAGTGCTAATTCAATAATATTCTATTCATACATAAATCAACATATACTGCAGTCACATGTGACACTTCCAATGAATATGAATGTTATTTTCACACTATTAAAGGTAGGGTAGGCAATTTCGGAGAGGCTAACAATAGCAAGCTTTGAGAGAATAAAGAGCAGCTGCTTAATAAACATTGTTAGAATAATTATATTAGTCCTCAGGTGCACTTAATGCCCATGTTTATTTTGAACACCTGTATCATCTCGGCCTATTAGGAATATTCTAACTAATCACACTGAAATATCCTGTATCTACACTACCGTTCAAAAGTTTTGTGGTCAGTAACACTGTTATTGAAAGACATTAATCATTTTATTCAGCAAGGATGCATTCAATTGATCAAAGGTGACTAAACTCATATATAATGTTACAAAAGATTTATATTTAAAATAAATGATGTTGTTTTGAACTGCAAATAAGCATATGACAATAATTTCTGAAGGATCATGTGACACTGAAGACTGAAGTAATGATGCTGAAAATTCAGCTTTACATCACAGCAATAAATGATATATTGACCCTCTGATGCACAAGCTATGCAAACCCCTTCTAATGCACAACATGGGTCTAAAAAGACCAGTATTCATTTCCTAAGTTATTTCATGCATGGCTTTCATCTTTTGAAATCACTTTATTTCAGCATTTAATATTCCTTGATCTATGAATTTATGATTTGTGAATATTCAAAATATCTTGTTTTCAATTATCACAAATTCATATTTTAATATATTTCCTAGGTTTTGTTTTAATACATCAAGTTTACACACATGGGTCAAAAACGACCCATCTATGCAAGCGTGATAAAACAAAAGAATAAAGAAAACCTTTTGTTAAAATAACCAATTTCACAGTTATTTAGATCAACACATTTACTGTAACACTTGAAATATGTTTATTGGCCACTTTGTCACACATATAACAGACATATAACAGATAACACTGAAATTAAACTGTAGTGTAGTGCAGCTGCAGTGAATTGTGGTGAATGTGACTGGATGAAAAAAAAACCTGACAAAATAAAATCACACGGGTACAGCGCCATCTTAAATTGCCATCTCAGTGCTTACATGTCTCACAAAAGACAACTACACGTTAGTGCTCCTTGCACGCGGGCCTGGTGCACTCTTCGATTGGCCCTCCTGCTGATGTCCTCCTATGGCCGGGTGGTCGCTGCATTTTTTTTTTTTTTATTGTTACATTTATATAGCGCTTTTGTCTGAACTCAAAGGGCTTTACATGGAAGGGGGAATCTCTTCAACCACCACCAATGTGCAGCATCCATAGTGCATCCATACCAGAACGCCACCACACACCAGCTTACTGGTGGAGAGGAGAAGCCAATCAGTGAAAGAAAGAAATGTGTATAGCCAATCAGTGGCCAATGGGCAAATTTGGCCAGGATGCCGGGGTTAAACCCCTACTTTTTTTTCCGAACTGGGGTTTTTTGGAGGTGCCCTACAAGCGCCTCTTCATATGGGGCATGACAAGCTCCTCGACCATGCAGCCTCCTTGATGAATAGCCGTCTTGCATTGGTCACACCACCATGTCATCAGGGTGTTGTGCAGTGAAGTTGGTGTAGGCATTGAGGGTGGCAACATCCAGCACATTGCAGTATTGAATAATTTCTGGTTTCTTAACACTGTTATCATCCAATTTTATTCATCATGCATGGTGCTCAGGAGGACAACTGCTTTTCCCTTCTTCGACACATAGCTTACCATAGTCATGTGACCATTGAATCCAAATTCTGAGCTATGCTTCTCCCTCAGTTTGGATGGCTTCATCATGACAGGCGGTATGTCTGGCTTGTTCTGGGGAAGAGTCCACTGACCGACGTAAAGGGTGACCGATAGCCAGGGACGTGCACAGGGGGGTTGCTCAGGTTGCCCGGGCAACTGCCCATATGCCCTTCTCACTCAAGTTGCCCTTCCGAGAAAAAAATTAAATCGTACAATGGATGCAGAATTTTACATAGGCTTAGATTTAAAAAAAAAAATCGCAAAGCCTCATTCACTTCCATTCGGGCACCGAAAGTGAAAGTCAGTATGAAGGGCAAACGCTGCATGCGACCATAGACTGCACGCAAATTACTTAAGGCCACGCCTCCATCTCGTGTCATAGTCATAGCGCGCCGTCATGTGTATACAACATCCACGACAAAATGAAGCGAAACTTCACGAAAAGAGGAAGAAGAAAAAAAACATGAGAGTGAATTGCGGGAACAACAATCAGGTAAACTTGTGTTCTCTCCTCTCTAAGTTTGATGTCAGCAAAGTTTGATGTTTTTCGGTCTTGCTAACCTAGCTGGGCAGGCAGTGCATCTCTTGCATGGGCGTAGATTACGCGGGGGACGGGGGGGACGTGTCCCCCCCACTTTTTATAAAATGTAAATTCGTCCCCCGCACTTTTTCATAGGGCAAATGTGTCTATGACAAGCTGAGGTTTTCGCGGGTGTGTATAGCCTGCCCTACATCGAGATTTAAAATCCAAAGAAAGGATAGTCTATCTACATACGTGACTTTCACGCTTCCATAGTAATCAGTCACTCGTGCGACACGCCCATGCTCGCAGCCGCGCCGAATCCATCAGTTTCATAGAGTTCAAAACGGCAAAAAAACTCTTCACTCCTTTTTCACGAAAAAGTCAAGCACTGTAAGTTGTTATGTGGTATCGGAATTGTGTTGCACAATGATGAATAACTCTGTCTATTTCTCTTGTTGAATAATTAACAAGTTTTGTTGTAAATTGAAAATATTCACTATACCCGGATTACCCGCACAAACGTGCACTATTTTCAATCTTTTTTTATTCGTAATGTCTTTTATTTTCACAGATATGTTATCAAAGCCGTTCAAATTAGAATAAACATGGTGATTGTTAATGCTGAATGTGTATGTTCATGCATTAACAGCCACGATCTGCTTGAATCAGGCAGTAACATGTGTAGACTATGATGTTTACCATAATTCGGTAACACTTTACAATTAGATAAAAAAGTTTGTAGACAAACTTGAAGTTCTCTTAAAAAAGCCTAACTAGAAAGTTTGAAGTATTTTTAAAAGCTTGACGTTTGAAGATTTTCAATTGGAAAGTTTTAGTTTAGTAAGACAGACTTTAGGCTATTAAGGAAATGTTATTTTGCCAAAAGAAGAACTTTTATTTTAAGTAAATGTTATTTTTAAATCAGCCTACTTCAGTGTGATATTTAACCATATTATCATGCTTAACAGTAACACTGACAATTTGAATAATTGTAATGCGATGATCAGATATCTAAATCAGAGAATATCATATGTTTGGGCGGTTGACGGGTGGATTATTTATTTTTAACAGTGGATTCGGGGGACTCAAAGTGCACCAGATTAATGAATTTATTTTTAAAATGTACAAAATTTTCTTCCGGGGGAGCATGCCCCCGGACCCCCCTAGAAGTACCGAGATTCATCTACAAAAATACTGTGGGAAAAACAGTAGGCTATATGATGGTCTACGAAAAATAACAATGTTATTATCTAATTAAAATACATTGTCAGGATTTTAGCACCTCCGCCTCGTTTTAAGCCAGGAAAACCCCTGCAATATAAAGTACTGAACATCTACATTTCTTTCTTTCTGGTTTTTTGCTTTAAAAATAAATAGCATATTAAGCCACTTAACCTGTCAACAAAAGTCTGAAAAAAAAATGGTATTACACTTGACATTCTGTCCCCCTCACTTTTGAAATGATGGCTACGCCCCTGATCTCTTGCATCACTTTGTGCCTGACAAAAGTGAGAGTAAAATACAATTATTTATTACGTTTGATTTTGATAAACGACAAAGTGCAACGGTGTTTGTTTACTGCAGCTCGGAAAACATAACCGCGTCGCGTGTGTTATCGTGCGTTCAAATGCGCGTGCACGAAATGAAACTCGCATTTTTCAAGCAGAAATATGTGGAGACCAGACATACTGTACAATACATGCACGTGAATGATGGCACTCCCAATCAAAGTACACATTATACTTTTAAAACAAGACACTGATTATCTAGTCTCAGTGTAGTTAAACAACTGTACTAATTATGCTAATACTAATTACTGTACTCTGTTACTCTGTAATTAGTACTGTTTAGAGTACAGTACTAATTACTGTACTCTAAACAACTGCACTAATTATGCAAGATAGAAAGCAATGTATTGACAATTTGACATTGATTGACTATTGATAGGCTATATTGAATTTAAAATGTTGATTAGCTGGACATACTGGTCAATATGGATGCACATCCCTCAGTAAATAATAACCATAAATCAATAATTGCTTCAACATGCATAATAAAAAAATAAAAAATCATACTGATGCCGAAAATGGCTGTAGAAAGAACCAAAGTTAATCCCAAAAGCCAAAGCTCAGGGTTATAATTTATTATATTTATGTTTACGTTAATATTCACTTACTTAATAATATTCATTTATTATCTTAACATTCTATAGAAAATACTCTATTCAATAAATATTGTGTGTTTGAACCTCATTCTGTTCTATATTGTTGTTTTTATTCTTTGACTGTTTTGTTTAAAGGAGGGAGGATTGTATGGGAGCACTGAAGTGTCAGGTGTGACTGTGGCAATGGCAAATGGTTTACATAGCTTACGACATCACAGGTCAGGTAGAGGCCCCTTAGCAGAATTTTGCTTAGGGCCCCAGGGAGGTCAGGAACGGCACTGGGTTTAGCAGTCGATTCTGTTCCTTACCGGAATTCCTGTTCCCTTTACGCAATCATACTACAAATCATGCGTAGTTGCCCAGATGAGCAAAAAGCACAATTGAATGTACGGGAAGCCAAAAGGTTAAAAAAGGATTGTAGCCTATTTTTTCCGAAATCTAAGCTTTTTTTTATTTATTTTTTATTAGAAGCGAGTTTTTCCCCATCTGTCAATTCAATCCAGATTATTTATTTAAAAAAAAAAAAAAAAATAATAATAATAATTAAAAAACAATAAACAATAATATTAGCAACTCTTTTTCTCATGTGTATTTTGGTGACATTTAACATATTGTTAATACATTTTGTATACTGTTTACAAAGTTGTATATCATAAACCTGTCATCTTTGACGTTTGCAATCTTTATAAAAAATAATAAGACCATAATATGAGGCATTGCGTTTGGACATAAACACGATCAGATAAGGCAATGGGCAAAATTCAACTGAATATATTCCTTCATATAGCCCGTGAGTTTTGGGGGTAGTGCCCTTTTTTCAGGTCAGAGCAACTGCCCCACAAAATTCCTGTGCACGTCCCTGCCGATAGCATTGATTTATGAAAAATAAAAATGACGAAATATGGAGATACAAGGTTTCCGCCTGTCAGCGACAATATATACTTGTATATACTGTATAATAACGTTCTATTTCAACTTTTATTTTGTTGACCTAGCTAACATTAGATAGAATAGAATATGTCAACAGCAAGCTAATAGTATTGGACATGTTTCTCTTTCTCACTAGTAATGGATTTCAAGGTCAAGGTAACGTTCGCCTAAACGTTCAAAAATTATATCCAGTTGTCTTTCACAAAATATCAAATATTTTCTGTGACAAAAAAATTATAAAATAAGACTTACATGCATGAAATATACAAAAGCAGGGCGTGTTGAGTTGTGAAATGTGTGGCACAGGTGAATAGTTTTCTGCAGTAAATATGTTCCTACTATTTACAAATATCAAATGTTCGATTGGTCATTTTTGACCCATGTATGTAAAATTGATGTAGAAATACAAAAACTGTGTCTGCTTATAAAGTAAGAAAGGAAAAATAAACATAATGATTTGTGGAAATCGAAAACAAGATATTTAATGTACACCTGGATTAATAAATGATAAAAATACATTTCTTTCAAAGATTCAGCAAAGAAATACTCAGCCGTGATTGAAATAACATAGGGAATGAATACGGGTCATTTTAGACCCAAGTTGTGCATTAGAAGGGTAGTGACGCAAAAAAGTAAGAAAGGAAAAATTTTAATAAGGATTTGTAATGATCTAAAACAAGTTAATTGAGGAATACCTTGAATACTGAATGATGAAATTAATTTCTTGCAAAGATATAGAAATGAAAACTCAGTCGGGTCACTTAGACCCATGTTGTGCATCAAAGGGTTAAAATAGAAAACAGCTATTTTTCAATTGTAATAATATTTCACAATATTACTATTTTTACTGTATTTTTGATCAAATAAATGGAACCCTGGTGAGAATAAGAGATTTCTTTCCAAAACAATCATACAGAACCCAATCTTTTGAATCGGTCTGTGTTACATTGCTTTATAAACCCCCGGTTGGGAAACCTTGATGCAGAAATTTGAGGATGCAGGAATGAACCGGCTGACCTTAAGGACAGTTCCCCGCCGGGGATCAATGACTCGTAAGGCTTTGTCTTTACAGGTGGTGCACAGGACGCTGCCCTCTCGGTTCCAGCTCACGCTGTATATCAGGTCAGGATGGGCGTCACTCAGCTGGTACACCATCTCCCCGGTGCCCACATCCCACACACAGAGGACATTATCACATCCTAGAACACGGGCACACAAGATCAAAGGGTTACACTTTATTTCGATGGTCCACTTTAGACATTCTAGGGATGTCAAAAGTACTGGTACTACTAAAAAAAAAAGTTGATGGTACCAGCATTTCTGCAGTTCCGGTAGTACTGGGTATATTCGGTACATGCTGATAGACGCTGCTTTCAAATACTCTCATTCGTGTTTGTTTGAGCGCTCTCTGAGCATCTATTTACAGCGTGCTTTTACCAGTGTTGAGCATTGTAATGAGTCACAGTCATATCTGTTAAACGTGTGAATGCAGTGGCCAATCAGAGGTGCTATTCAGTAAGTTAGTCAGAATCCGCTGAAAACGCATGAGGTTTTGTCTTGTTAAATGTTCGCCGCATGCTCCTGAATCTTTTCATTATAGCCAAAAAAGTGTAAATGCAATATAAACAGGAGATTCACTTGAAGAAAGCTTTTTTTATATATTTAATAATGGGAGTTTTCACGAGAGTGCAGAATTTAGTGAGCTTGAACTTTAGAGATTGATAGTTTTAGTGATTATAAATGGCTTTCTGTTTATTACCCATTCACTATCTCAATACAAGTGTAGTTTTTATGCTGCTCAGTACATGGAAAGGGTTTCTGGACTGACAACCATATTTAAATGCGCCATTGAATCGTAAACTGCGATGATTGACAGTGACAAACAACGGACGAGACAAAACAGGACACGATTTATTAAAGTACTTAATTCAGCAGTTCTTGCTCTGGTCCCGAAATTGGTACAGAGACATGCCAACTAACTCTCATTAGAGTATTAGTAGACTGTTAGGTTAGGGTTCAGGTAGTAGAATAAGTTGACATGTAGTTGCAAAGTTACATATGTCTGTATTGGGAGCATCAAAATAAAGTGTTAGCCAATATTAAGCAGACGGTCCACTACTCTAATGATTGTTAGTTGAGATGTAGTTGCAGAGTTACTTATAGTAAGTAGAATGTCTACAGTGGACCATCAAAATTAGGGATGCACCGATCCACATTTTTTCACTTCCGATCCGATCCCGATACCTGAATTTGGATATCGGCCGATACCGATACTTTTCCGATCCCAGAGCTGTGTTTGCTTTAATATTATTATTATCATTATTGTTGATTTTATATGATGCTGAAATAAACTCCTCTCTACAGGCAAGTATGATATGTACGTATGTATGTATGCATGTATGTCAATATATATATATATATATATATATATATATATATATATATATTAAATAGATAAACAAAAGATAGACAATTAAACAAAGATACACATTATACAGGCCTACACAGTGCTTTAATTTCAGGAAGGTCTACTAACATTATTCAGGTATGGTCTAAAAATAATTATAATAAAGTAATCAAAAGTAAAATAGCACTGCAAAGTTTATCATAGATAGATTTATGCTTATTAAAGCTAAAGTTATTCATTCAAGAGCTGTGAGTGATTTTCTCTTTGCCTTTTGTTGTTTGATTCTCAGTAATGGAGCAATCGTCAGCATGTTTATTAGACTGCTTCCCCTTTAAGAACGAGTGCACCATATTTTCTCCCAACTATTTCCATAACTACGTCCATTTTAGACAAACTGTTTAAGTGAATCTCCAAGCCGGTCATTTTGACATTTTTGTGTAGGCTACATTTGATCGTTTAGACGTGCATATGAAGCCCAAAGTATAATGTGCTTGTCTCGTTGCGGTCTGTTTCGGAGCGCGCGACGCGGGAACAGCTTCTCTTGCGCAGATTTTTGTGCTTTTAATAGCTTTTTTTATTATTAAAAGCGTCCCGCAATTTAGCAACAGTAGAGACTGCATTTTACAACAATCACCGATCATGCTGATGGGCTGTCGTGTTGTGCGCGCTGTGGCACCGCGTGAGAGATCTCTCTCTCTCTTTCTCTTCTGGACTGCGAATAGCAAACATGCATCACAGACAAATGGTTTAATTAATACGGCTTTGCAAACATTGCATTTTGCTGTCTTGCTCTGCTGCGGTGTTTCCAGAGTGAAGTATTTCCACCATAGGATTTCCACACAGCGAACATGTTGGCAGCTCAAAGCTATCCTGCTAGCTGGCTGCAAACTGCGGAATGGATTTCCTGAGGGGGGGTCTCTGTGTCTCATTGAGCCGTGCCTCCGTTCAGGATATCCATTCCACAGTTTGCAGCCAGCTAGCAGACTAGCCGGCGGGCCGCGGGAATCACTTTTGGAGTCGTTTCAGCAGACTACGTTAAAGCGCAGACATGGCTCATGGATATCGGATATCTCCGCAGGTTGGATCGGGAAAATCCGATACGTGAATTACGCTGGTATCGGTCCCGATACCGATACTGGATCGGATCGGCCCCATCCCTAATCAAAATAAAGTGTTACCGATCAAAGATGGCCAAAAGATCAGCAAAAGAACATTTAACCAGTATAAGAGCTAAGATTTGCATCTCAGATATTTACATGCTAATGCAAATCAAACCCAAAGCTGCCTTTCTCAGTCTGGTTGTGCACAAACCTTTAAATCAACATGTGCATGAAGAGGTTTAGCTTTATATATGTTACTTCTGTAGAAGTGTAGATGTGTAGTAGACATATCAATTATCTTAATTATATGGAAATAAAACAATATATTGACTTTTAAAACCACTTTTTGTCATGCTTATTCATGTCTGCCTGTAAGAGTGTAATGTCTTCAATGATCTTCATTTGGTGGCTTTTCTCAACAAATATTGATATATGCAATTAATTGAGATTCACTTAATTACAGAATCAGCATATCATCATGCAATTCATTTTTAATCGATTGACAGCTCTATTGTCTTTTTTAGTACTTTGAAGGTGCACAAAACCATCAACAAACTCCAACATCCAAAAATAGGGTTTGAGAAAAGATATAAAGCAGGTTTAAGACACCAGAATTAGAGCACACTCCAGAAATAGAGCGTGCCAGAACAGACTTAATCCAAGCACCGAGAGCCGCAAAGAATATATAGACAAAGGAAGTGCTTACCTGCAGTCAACAGGATGTTGAGGGCCGAAGGGTGCCAGGCTAAGATGCCCACTCTTTTACTGTGGCCCTCGAGGGTCACAGCAGCTTCAGACATGGGAGACGTAAGACCCCCGTCGGGAATCTGCCAAACCTGTTGTGCACAAACACAGTGTGTCTCTTTTTACAGATACAAGAAAAACGATCTTCTGTGTAAAAGTTAAGTTCTTCTCTGTCACATGATCCTTCAGAAATCATTCGAATACACTGATTTGCTGCTCAAGAAACATTTACTATTATTATCAAAGTGAAACAAATACAGATGTGGTGTTTAATTTGTTTGTAGAAACATCAGGATTCCTTGACAAAATAGAAAAAGTCTTTATTGTAATTTCTTATTATTAGTAATGTAATGTAATGTAATCTTTATTTCGAACAATTTAAAATGAAATTGATTTGAATAATGTTGAAAACAGTTGTGCTGCTCAATATTTCTATGTAAAATTGTGATACACTACCATTCTAAAGTTTAATACATTTATACAGAAATTACACATTGAATTGATCAAAAAGACAGTTATATTGTGACAAAAGATTTCTATTTCATATATATATGGTGTTCCTTTGAACTTTTTATTAACAAAATAAAATTATAATGAAATTGAAATCAGCATATTACAATGATTTCTGAAGGATCATGATGTGACCCTGAAAACTGGAATAATGGAATAATATAAAGATAATATATGATATATTAATATATGACATTATATTGCATAAAATATATTCAAATCCATTTAATTAAAGAATCCTGAAAAAATAAAATCACGATTTCCACAAAAATATTAAGCAGCAAAAACATTTTCAACTTTGATAATAATGAGAAGAACCACTGTTAAAAATTGAGCAGAAAATCAGCATATTAAAATGATTTATGAAGGATCATGATGCTGAAAATTCAGCTTTGGCATCACAGGAATGGATTAAAAAAAAGTTATTTTAAATTATAATCATATTTTATAATAATACTGTTGTAGATTGTTTTCAAAAACATAAAAAACTAATTATTGCAAACTTTTGATTGGCAATATAAGTATATTATATGGGAAAATGTGTACAATATTTGTACATAGATTTTTACAAACTGTTTGGATCAAAAACACAATTTTAAGTAATATTAAAAATGATTGAAAAATAATTCGATAAATATTGAAAAACGTACCAAACACTTTTCATTCAACAAAAATGACAATATGCACCATGTGAATCTTCATGTCTTAATAATGCAATGCAATGCAACCTTATTCACCACTCATGAGGTGTGGGTTTTGTGGAAGGGAGTAAAACAAACCTTGACAGTGCAGTCCTCTGAGGCACTGGCAATAACGTTGTCGTCATGTGGGCACCACTGCACATCCAGCACTGGAGCGGCGTGTCCACACACAGTCGGGGTGTTCTGGTCCACTCTCCCGCTCTAGTGGATAGAGATGTGAAAACAATGTGAGCTTAACCAGTTTTATGGAAATGTTGATTTGATTATGCAGACAACTGTAAATCCTCATTGTTTTTGCATATCGCAGAGAGAGTGCATGCCAACCTTGGCGAGCGGGAACACAAGAAAGGCTCCGCCTCCTCCAGCCTCGATGACAACAGCAATGAACTTCGGATTGGCAGCACAGAGCGGACCGTCCCACGTCACGCGTGACACTCTGACATCATCAAGGCAATGCTCAGCCTTCCAGGCCTGTGCGAAAACATGCCTGAACTTACTCTGCCTGACAACACCCCTCCTGAAGGACATGACTGTGGGCAGGAGAGCGGAACACAGTCAGATGCCATTAAACCAATCATGGAATAGTATTTTATGAAGCACAAATAAATCATGTTAACATGTTAAAATAAGTCAAAATGAACGTAAAGGAAAGCAAAAGACCAACTGCACTTTGGTAAGAAAAATAAATGCAAGAAAAAAGTCTGATCACAATTCAATATGCAAATTTGCAATCACATCAATAGGTTAGGTCAGCTTCAATTTTAAAGGGGTCATGACATGAGAAATTAAATTTGCCTTGATCTTTTGACTTATGAGGTTTTTGCACCATTAAAACATCCTGAAAGTTTCAGAAGAGCTTAAAACCTCCTCCTTATTATATACTAAGCATTTATTTAGTCAAGCTCCAAAAATGGCTTGTTTTGATATTGCGGGATCTGTGACGTCACACTGGCAAATATATTTGCATATGACAGCCTCCAGAGCAAGACATAGACAAATATTAAAGCTATAGGGCTAGTCACCTTAATTTATACAGCACTTTATACAATAGAGATTGTTTCAAAGCAGTTTTACAGTGATAAACAGGGAAATTATGCATTTCAGCTGAAGTCAGTTCTGTGTTGATTCAGTTCTATTGTAAAGATCATCAATTATTTAATTTGTTCATTTCATCTATAAAGCAGTGACGTTAGCCAGGGTTGAATAATCATATTTCCTCACATACTGTACATTTGTACTAACATTATAAGTGAACCTCAAGGAACATTTGGGTAGTTGAACACAAGATGTCAGTAGTGGGGCATGTTGTCACACCAGCCTTTTAAAAAAGATTTAAATAGTAAACATATTAGGAAAAATTATACAATTCATGTAACAGCAAAGAAGGTAACACAGCAATATCAACTACGATACATGTGCATAAATATAAATACCCTGATCTGTATTTGGCCATAATCTCAAAATTGTCACCAATTAGGCTAATATGGGCCATCACGTAAAATATGATTTCTACTTGTTCTGTTCTATTGAGCACTAGGTTATTACCGTAGGTCAGATAGGCTTAAGTATTGAGGTAAAAGTGAGAGCTCCTCTTGTCCAGTGCAACTCTATACGCCTGCAGCTCTCACGTGTCTGAGACTGAACACGACACAGCTAAAGTCACAAACCACAAACCATCAACATTTAAGGTCTGATGTTTGGTTACCTTCCATAGACTATTCACAGCAGCGCCATCTTTGATTTTTAACAGGAATGAAAGCGAGGCGGTGAGGGGTAGACGTGCATCTCTTCAGTGGGTTGTACTGTTATTTAATGTGTTTTTGGATTGTTCTGCTGATGAAACACTGCAAAAATATCTTTCCAAGACATTTCAGTTGGACAAAACAATCCAGACAACATGAGTGTGGAGAATTATAAGTGATCTAGGAGCTTTATAGAGTGGCTGCCATTGAAAACAGTACGTTTATCCCTCACAGCCTCGCTTTCATACCTGTCATGGCGCTGCTCTGAATCTAATTACACATTCACATTCTAATGAGATATATTGACTATATATTTGGATAAATGAACCCTCCTTAAACTCTTTTGGTCTTTAATGTGATCAAACTAGAATCAATAGAGACATGCCAAACGGTAAAACTACCCGTAAACAGCTCACTATAAATGGCTTACAACTTTGTAAATCCTAAAGCTCTGACATGTGAACTGTGGTCTAAAGGTTGCTTTCCAGGAACGGGTTTTCATGGGACATTCCTATGCATCTTTTCCCAATATCCTGCATCCAATGCAAATTCTGCAATTTACAGGTTAATGACATTACACTATTTTCGACTTAATACAAATCATGTGATGCTTTGGAGTGTAAGAGAATACTGCAGAATGGCTTGCTTCCCACAAATGAAAAGTTATTTAAAGAGGAATGATCAGATGCTATTTTTTAACAAAACAATTCTCCTGCCCAAACTGCAAACACAACCAAGAAGTGGCTTCAGAAGAAGTCCATCAGGCTCGTGTTTTGGCCTGGTTAGAGTCCAGATTTGAACCCTATAGTGAATATTTGGTCTCACGTTAAACTCAAACGAACTGGGAGACATTTTTCAACTACTTATAAACTGTTTGAAGCCATTAATATTGAGTGGAAAACTTCTTCCTGTTAAAAGCAGGAAGAAAAGCAAGTTTACCCACAAGGCTTAAACATTAACAGAAAACAAAGGGGAATGCTATTCATGCTAAGATACTTTATCTACAGTATTTGTACAATTCTTGCTAATTTTCCTTCCAGTGATTGATGGTTAAGAAGACCATTAAAAAAACACTAAATATTTTGCCATTTTTGACTTGGCAGTGTCTCCTCAAAAAAACTGGATGAGAAAATAATCGATATTACAAAATGTGAAATTAAAAAGTGTAAAAGTCACTCGGTTTTTTTTCTTTCCTCCCCTGAGGCCATTGACTAAAGACATTCAGTTTGATGTGTGCGGTGGGTTTAGTCAGGGTTTAGTCAGTGGGGGGTTGCGAAATGAGAATGAATGAGGGTAAGTCACGTGAGAAGAGGCAATGCCTCCATCAAGTTATGATTGGATATGATTGGTTCACGTGATAAATCCCGCCTCTTGTTTTCGTGCGCGTTCTCGAATTGGCCTGAATGAAGAAGATGGTGACATTAATTGGGAATAATAATTAAAATCTAAGTAAACAACTCATACACTTTTAGATATCACCGCTTTATATCACGCCAAAATCAAACTTGAAATGGCCTGAAAAAATGATGACTGCCGGGCTTTTAGTGAAGTTAAAGGTACATTTTCGTGACCAGTGTTTACAAGCTTGATGACTGCTTAAAATAAGTTGACTATTAAAAAGAAAAGCTGAGTATTAGTTCACAAATAATATTGTTTAAATTGTTACTGCTAGTTATAATTTAGGAATACATGAAAAAATGCGTAAAAATACGAACTTTATAATACTGGTTTTTAATAAATAGAACATTACATTGTTAGTGTAAAATACAAAATAGAATTGTCTTTGGTCTCTCTTTTTCATGTCATGTTAATTTAAGCAGTAAATTTTATTGTAAAAGTTAGGGACATAACTATACATTTGATATAGCTATAATAGGCCTAAAAATGTGAGGACTTTGCCTCCTTTTTTTAAACCTCACCGCACACATACATACATGGGGCTGATACAAGTAACTAGGGGTTGTGAACACAATGCAGATAAATGCAGATGACAAGCCACAACCGCAAAAATGCACTAACATATGACATATGAACTAGTTACATTCATTCGTACCTCTGTTTAGGGGTTTCCTTCTTCTTCTTTGTTTTCTTCCCCTTCTTAGAAAAACCTGCAGAAATTAATAACGCGATTCCGGGTATAAAAATATGATATATATATAAATGCAATGATCTATATAAACCACACTAATCCTTTGAGTGTGTTATCGCCGGGATATTCTGCATGGTCAGGTGAAACATATCCAGTCAATTTGAGCAGGCATCGACAAATTAATCCATATTATCAGGGAAATAAATGCACAATTGTCTGTTTTCAAAAGATATACAAAGCTGAAAGAAAACGGTACAGTTCAGGATGTTAAAATAAATCAGGAAGAGCGTCGACACCGGTGAAGGAGAAAAGATGATGGGTGGTAAATTCCTTAGCGAATGTGCTTAGAATTAAAAGAAGGGATGTGTGAAGCTCGCCATGGTGAGGAGTAAACAAAATGGCCGGCGATACGCCTTTTTGACGTAATAAAAGTCCCTTTCTGAGCGCTTTGTGACCATTTATGATTTTATTATTAATAACCGAATGAACTACGTATTAGAAAAAGGTTAATCAGTGTCTATGTATTCTGCATGTTCTCCACTATTTTATTTTGTGAGGGAAACTGCATGCAAAAAAAATATTTTCATACATTTTTTTCAAGGCTCTTTCTTCCATTTTCTTCCACTTTCAGAGGCAGTCTTTTCGTAAACATGAGGGACTTTTAATTGCAATGCAGTGCTATGCAGAATGACAGTCAGGTTTAAATTCAAAATAAAAGTCCAAGTCCTGCACTAACAGCCAAGCATCGTTCGTTCGTGATGGGAAATCCCATACCATACATTTTAAAGGGACTGTTCTCATGCAGTGGAAAAAACACCACTGACAAGAAAGAGCAGTTTACTTTTGACATTAAACAAGGTCTCAGGTTTCAAATTTGGAAAGTTTTATTACGAAATTCAAGCAACAAATACCGTTTTGGTGCTCTTAAAGTCCCAATGAAATCCAAATGTATTTTTTTTCGCTTTTACTATAAATATGTTAGTCTTACTGTTATCTATAAGCTAGTGTGCTCCAAAATAATGACAAAATTCGCATTTAGAAGATAAAACCATTTAAAACGCTCACTTCCGCCAATATGAATCAATGATTTGATGACATCACTCTGCACTTCAGCTTCTCATCAAATTTTCTGTCCAATCAAAAATGTTCTCTAGAATCAAAAGCGCTCCGCCCCCCTACATTATAAACGCTGAATCTGCGGATAAAATTGACTATTTATTATTTTCTAAATGGTGAATGGCACATAGTGCACTAGGGGATAGGGAACGATTCAGACAGTGTAAATATGTTGGTTTCACGTTAGTGTCATGCAAACCGCTGCAGCGTCCACACAGTCTGCTCCGGTCCAGAGACACGATAGCATAGAGCGGATCATATGTGGATATGAAACATATCAAACCTATTTGAATTCTGCCCCGAATGCTGCATTTTAAAGCGATATGTAGAAGATTAGGATAAACTGTTAGAGTATAGGGGGGAAATCACAGCCGAGCTTAGATATAAACTAAACTAAACACTATTGGCTATTTTTTTTAAAGGGGAGGAGCTGTTTGATATTACCTGCCCTGTTACTAACATACTAAATTAATATACAAGGTTCCATTCTTTCTTTCTAATTTTTTTTTTTAAAGGTGATGGCTAATCTCAAAGTATCCACTGTTTTATTGCAGTGTTTTGGTGGAAATTATGGTTATTATGGTCCATTTTTCTAGATGAATCACCACACCTCAGATTGTGCTGTTCAGGTGTAGGCTGAAAAGTACCCAACAATGATGTCCCGATTCAACATTGTGTTTTCTGAAATTAATCTAACATGGATACATGCAGTATAATTATAGGGTTGATTTAATAACCGGTCATTAACGCCAACCTCATACAATGTAGTGAACTGAATACACCAAAGTTACTTACCATCAAGACCCATTTATGGCTTTATATTTTGTTAGATAGAAAGGTCACAGGAGTACCTCAGGAGCTTGCGGTAACACTACCTGCTTATTAAAACTAATTACATTTAAAGCTTTAGTACATAATGAAGTATAAATGTTGTAAACAAAGACAGTGTCACTCCTGCAATGATAGTGACATTTTGTGAACACGCAGGAGTCATTCTTAAAATATGGTAATGCAGTACTTCATAATACTATTCATGCACTGGGCAGTTTCCAGTCAAAATACACAATAGACGCATAAAAAAATATTTCAAAAACACCATTTGATATCTTTTGGGATTACAGACATTACGGTCAAAAAGTCACAGTGAAGGATGACCAAAACAGTTCATGTAGTAATTCAAGTGAAGCCTTATGTTGCAATAATAATAAAAAAAGATCGTAATTCCATTCCCTGGTCACACAGTGAAGCTCAACTCCGGTGGTCTCGAGTTAATCTGTACCTGAAACACACGCTGTGCCCCATAATGCTCAGTCGTCCCAGTTTCAGAATACACACCGGATTATGCAACTATCTGAGGAACTATGTGAGTAATGCTGGTATTGTTTTTCAGGTTTGAGTTTGGTTAGATGATGATGGCCTGATAGTTCTGTCCATGTTTTTGCCACCTTGGGAATGTACTCATATACAAGTTCATATATCCATTTTTATGGGTTAGTTATTGTCAAGACAGCCCTTGGAAGAGTGAATTTACATAATAGCACATTCTCCTGTAACATCAACTGAGTTTAAATGGCGTTAAATTCAGCTCTCTTCTAACGCAAGACGCTTCCATACAAACACTCTAAACGATCTGAGCTTTGTGCATAGTTGGGCTATGCGGTGAGAGGAAAAGTGTTGTTTTGGCCGGGAGCAGGATGTTATTGGGTTTCGACTTGGGCCGTAGTGTGCCATTAGTGCGCTCAAAATGGTTGGATAGCGCCTCCGATATCTGTGAACTCGCCGTCTCGCTGCTGCCGTTTTCAAAAGCGTCGTGCTCCATTAAACCTCTGTGCACTCCTGAATCCGCAGGGCTAACAGAATCTTCTTCCTCTTCGTCTGTAAGAGTCGGGTAGGTGGATACCATAGGCGAGTGATGCCCTCTGCTGCTTCCTCCTGATTGCGGCCTCCCCTCTGCAGGGAGAATGGCACTGCCGTTCCGAGATCGGACCATTTCAACGGCCTGGTCCATTGAATAAGAAGAGGGGTGGAGAGGAGGGAGAAGCTGGGTTTCCTGTATAGCAAAATTGCAAATAGTAATTAGGTGCAATTTTACATGCACATGTATTTGCAGAACTCTGTTAGCATTACTAAACAGTTCAAAAATACTAAAGCAATAAGTGCTAGATGTATCGGATCATATATAATAATAAATAAATAAAAACGTTTTTATTATTATTAGAGTATTTTTATGGAATTTAGGGTAAAATGCTATAAATGGCTTAATATAGTTATGGTACATTTTGGTGTCCTGTTACTGTTTTTAAAGATTTAAAGTCATGTATTAGATGTTGTAGATAAAATAGTATCGGTGGGTTCACACCTGCCTTGTTTGGTTCGATTGAATCGAACTCTAGTTCGTTTCCCCCCTTGGTGCGGACCTTTTGGGCAGGTGTGAATGCAGCAATCGAACTCGGGTGCGGACCAAACAACCGAACCGAGACCCAGCTGAAGAGGTGGTCTCGGTACGGTTCCAAACGAACTCTGGTACGGTTCGTTTACGGTGTGAACATGAACCGACCCAACTGCAAGAAAGCACTGCACCTTTGAGTTAACAGGCTTCCGTAGTCGGAGTTGCGTTATGGCATACCTGTCAACACTCCCGTTTTTCCCGGGTTTCTCCCGTTTTTTAGCCCTATCTCCCGGACCCCTCCCGGTTTGTTATTTTTCCCGGGAAACTCCCGTAATTTGCATGGCCCAAACTCCTTTATGAATAATCGGACCAATATGTTTGCTAATGTTGACCAGTTGCCAGATTGTATTAAATGCATTATATTCACACAATCCACAGACCATTTACAATTTCAACCCGTTTGTCACCTCAACCTGGCAACCTATAACCCAGTTGCGCAGTCGCGGAAAGTTTAACCCGAAAGCGAGCCGATAGACATGATGGCAGGTGAAGGTGGTGTCCCCGCAATGAAACTGAAGTACAGTTTGTAACGCGTTGCTTCAGGAAGATTAGGGGTAGCTCACAACTGAAGTTATTGCATGCAGAGGCCAGACAGACACACGGAGGCGATTGACATCTCACAACTCGCACTTTATTCCCAAATCGAACTCGTGTAGCCTAACTGTCTGTCACACGTTCTACCGTCCACATCGTTACTTAATAAACAAAATAAGATAAAAATTAGCATCAAACAGAAATTACCCACATACATGGGGTGTTCGCATGCATAGACAGTAAAAGGGGTGTTCGACGCGCACAATACAGACTGCCGACATTTCAACAGGGAGCGCAAAGCTCTTAAAGGGGCCACACCTTATTTCCAGTCGTTACAAGTTGTACATTTACCACAACCCCCAAAAACAGACCACTGGGAATGTTTAAAAATAGCTCAAAATATGATCGGAGTGGGACTTTAAGCCTTTTTTGCACTTCCTGATTTCCCTACTTGAGAATCCTTGTCCAATGAATGGACGACCTTAGCACACGTGTGGTTTTGTTTACAAATTTTGGTTCAATTGCAAAAAGAGCAGTGTGAAAGCAAACCGTACCAAAAAAAACATCAAAAAAAAAAAAATTATTTAGGCCGGACCAAAGCAAGTGAACTATCAGACTTTCCTGGTGTGAATACACTAACATAAAATTAACAAATCATGAAAAAAGGCTAGTTTTAACCATACCAAATTTAGGGTGGTGGGTGGCTAATACCAAGGTACCACAGGTTTTACTGTAGTAACAGTTCTCCAACAATTCATTTTATTTTCTCATTTCAGTTTTTCTACAATTGCATTGTTGACTTTTTTTTGTTAAAACTTGTTACCAAAGTTATTGTAAGAAAAACGTATAAAATGTTGTTAATCTACACAATTCAAAAGTTTGGCGTCGGAGGAAGGTATTGGACGGGATTTGGAGTTGAAACAAAAAATGACCTCATGTAAAAGTGAAAATGTCTATTTATCTAAATGTAATTTAAGATTATTTTAACCATCTGAGGTGCATGAACATTTTCTTCATGAAGGTTAAGCACATTTACTGACCATTTTCTAAATGTTTTTTTTTTTTTTAACAAATTGAAGCTCTATTTGTGGAAAGTGGCATACATCAACCACCAGAGACAGCCTTTGCACTTCAGAGGCCGTTTCAAAGAAAAAGTCAGCGAGTGAGTCATCGAAGCGTTCAGTCAAAGAAACGATTTGTTCAAAACGGCTGATTCATTCAGGGACAAAGCAAGTGACTGTCTGTATCCGAAAACTTAGGAAGCTGGCTTGTTGCCTCGCTGGCCTGTTTGCGCACAAACATGCCTCACATAACTGATTTCAGGCTTTTGAAAGCATAACTTCTGAGGCAGCATAATGGTTTAATGATCTACAACAAAATAGAGCGAGCTTTGATGATAACTAAGCGAATATTTAATTACTACAATATTAATTTTATGACATAAAAAGTGGAAAAGTTGCTAAAAAACGTACATTTACACTCTCAAACACTATATTTATTTTTAACTGTCATGGAATGGAGCGCACAGGATTGTGGGATATCAAAGGCAGCGAAGGATACATCTATGCAGCCTCCAACAATCAATCAGACGAAGGCATTGCAGGAGACAGGAAGTGAAGCTTACACTTCTGATATGCCTTGATGCCTTCCTAACTTTGAAAGCATCCTCTGAAAGCAGCAGTTTTAATATTTCAGCCACTGTCTTAACTAGCGAGTCGTTGAATCATTTATTAGACCGATTTGTAAAAAAAATAGTTTGCGGATTCCTACAGTAACGAAACATCACTGTGTTGCTTGGAGACGCAATGGCTCTAATACTGTGGATTTGTTTTGAACTTTCATTTGGCAAAATAGAGCAAAAACGGACAAATGTAAGTCACCTAATATTACCTTCTTGTTTATTGAACTGTATAAAATCAATATCACATTTGCAAATGTGCTCATATTCGGGACAAACAGCACTCTTGCTCGTGTGGTATTGCTTATAGATATTAAAAACAAGAACTTAGAGCAATTTTTTCCACCATATCTTAGATTTTGGGTGCATTTGTATTAATTTTGGCTGCATTTTTGCTCAAAGCCCCCATTAATTTCCGCCCCTGGTCTGTGTGTTGCATGACGTCCGGGGAACGGGGCTCTTTCACGGGTGCAAGCGGAGGTCCCTTCTGTTACGAGGCCCGTTTCAAGTGAAACTACTGTCAACCGCACATGCAGACTCATGAAACGCATCTCATACCTGTGACATGTTACTGTCCTCGTCATAAGACTCCATCATCATCATTCGAGTGGATTCTCTGTCAGATCTCTCGATCAGTTTGTTTTGACCTCGTCTGGACGAGTTAAAAATTGCAGGGCGACCGAGTGAGTCCACCGTGGAACGTTCCAGCGTGGAACGACTATCCCTGGAGCGAGGACGATCCTGTGAAAGGATCCGTTTTATGAGAGGAAAACAAAACACAAGCAATAAACTTGTGACGTCAATTAAGACTATTGTTCTGCCTATATATATACACTGTAAAAAATAATCCTGTAAAAAAAACGGTAAACTACTGGCAGCTGTGGTTGCCAGCATCATACCGTAACTAAACGGTGTGTTACTGTTTTTGTGTTAGAGCATATAGCTGTTAAATTAAAGTTTTATACTGTAGCTGACAATACGGTATTTAGCTGTTTATTTCAAAAACAGTAACACACCGTATTTTTACGGTATGATGCTGACAACCACAGCTGCCAGTAGTTTACCGTTTTTTTACAGGATTATTTTTTACAGTTTATATATCATATCAAACAACTGCAGAGTGTGATTGGTAACTTGTGACTTTTTAAAACATGAAAAGAGAGACGAACCAGTGAGGAGAGACTTGTGCGTATCGTCCCTTCAACTCTTAAAGGATGATTTTCCTCCTTTTAAAAGAAGACAGACAGCAAAATGAGAGGAAGGGTGATACATCCTTGTTTACATATATACATTTGCCCCAAAGGGTAATTAGATACTTAAGCGAGATGTAAATTGAGCATTAAATCAGCTAATTAAAATTATTTCTGAAGGATCATGTGATACTGAAGACTAATAGTAATAATGCTGAAAATTAAGCTTGCCTTCACAAAAATAAATTAAATGTAAAATATACTAAACTAGAAAACAGCTATTTTAATATGTAACCATATTGCTGTTTTACTGTATTTTTTATTAAATAAATGCACTCTTGGTGAGCATAGGAAATATAATCCCAAACCAAATGATCAATAAAGATGTTTTTTAAAAAGTCGTCAAGCCACCTTCCTTTATATAGCGCTTAGATGGTTTCAAAAGTGTGTGTATATGGATTTATTACCGAGTATCTGTTGTCTGTGCTGCTCGAGTTCACTCTTCTAAACGAGGCTTGTCTTGACAGAGTGCTGATTTCCTCCCTTATAAAGAAAGTGAGACAGCCAGATTGAAGTACAGGAACTCTCATATTCAGACCAGTCGTGTAAACTATTCCGTGTTCAGAAAGAAAGACTTCTTACTTTTTTTCATTCAGCTCTATGGCCAGCTGTTTATTCTTGCGTTTATAGTGGCGGTTTACAGAAATGATTATTACGATAAGAGTGAGAACAACCGCTGCAGCAACACCGGCAATAATGATCATCATCATGTAGTTCACTGATGTTTCCTTAAGAGGCAACTCTGAAAGAAACATGAAAAAAAAAAAAAAAAAGTATATTCAATTATATGTATTCACATTCCATGAATGAAGGTTGGGAATGACATAAGACTGAGTAAATTATGACAGTATTTGGATGAACTATTCCTTTATTTGCATATACGAGACACGCAGTTGCATAATATTTTCACTAGGTGACAGCACTGTGCATTGCACTTCAACATGAGTGAAGGGTTTTCAGCAGGATACACACCTAATATAGTTATTGAAATCTCAGCTTTTCCAGATCCCACCAGATTGGTGGTGGTGCAGATGTAATCCCCTTGATCTGTCTGGAGAAGGGGCCTGGAAAAGCTCAGAGTGCCACCGTCCACCGTCACACCCTCTGGTAGAGCTTCACCTTTCCTGTGTACACAAAGAAATACAATTCAATCCCCAAATAAAAACCAGGCATTGAAAACAACAGAATGCTTTGGACACCTATACTGAAGGATTCAGCACATACAGTAAATGATTAATGCTTAATTATTTCATAAATATCAACTTAAAAAAATGTCCTTGTATCACTTTCAGTTCACCAGCAATTTTATTTTTCCATAATACTTTTGTCCATCATATTGTCGGTGAAAATAAAGCCATCATAAAAGTGAAGTTGCGATAGTCTTTTCTTAACTATTGTGACGTATCAAAGTGTAGATGTGTAGATTTTGTCCATCAGGAATTGATTGGATCATTAGATTGTTGTGGTTTGCTATTGGTCGATCTCATGTGAGTGACAGGTTGCCCCGCCCTAACGCCAGTAAACACATCATCAGAGAAGAGAAGAGATGTCTATGTAAGAGGGAGGGGAAGTTATTTTAATTAAAAATGACAAGGGCACATGGATTTTTTTTTAAAAATTATGTGTTAGGTAAATCATTATAAATACTGTAATTTTCCATTAAAAAATAATAACTACATTTTTTATTTCAAGATGACATCAACTGAATTCATACAGTGGAATAAAGCAGTAGTTCAATTCAATAGTTTTATAGCACTTTTCACAATGCATATTGTGTATCACAATACATATTTCAAAGCAGCTTTACAGAAAATGCTCGTTTCAATAAGGAAGTATTAATACAGCAATAATATAATAAATATCATGTGGTTAGTTAACATCGTGTATTCAGTTAAGAACACACAAACTAATGTGTTAGGCAGCGATTACAACTGGTTTTGCTTCAGGATTAAGTTTTTTACATTGGACATGATGAAGTGACGGCTCGACAAGATGCGAAACTCCGCGAAGATGCAAATTTAATGTAGTCGGTGTTGTTTTTTTGTCATACACTTTAAAAGGTTTTTCGAAGTTGTAAATAAAACAGATTTTTGGAGCATGTTTTACAAGAAAATACTTGGCACTTAATTTCGGTGGTCCACTTTAGACATTCTACGAACTATAAGTAACTTAAAGTGCAACTACATGTCAATTAACTCTCATTCATTTGCAGGTAAACATTCATGGCCCCAAACATGACTCAAAACAAAACAAACTGTGATTGGTTGCTTTACGTGTCAGTCAGACGGCCTCTGGGTGGTCCTTGACCAATGAAAGCTGCGATGAAGTCCAGAGCTTCTGCCATCGTCAGTCTAAAGCTCTGGCTACGCGAGACTTGCCTATATTAAAGGTGCTCTAAGCGATGTTGAGTGACGTCACTTCTTGTTGACGTTCGAAGTATTGTCAAACAAAACGGAGGCTAGCTAGACCCTCCCTCCTCATCCGCGCACTAACCCCACCCCCAAATCCTTCTTGTCAGTTATTGGCTGGAACAGTGTGTGTTATGTTTCGTGGTGCGGGTTGGCCCAGTTTGTTTTTATTGCCGTTTGTGGAGCCTGGGCTGTCTACAGAGACCGCGTTTCTTTACAGTGTGTTCAGGGGACAGCCAGCTAGCGGATAGTGAGGAGATGTTTGCTGTATGTGACAAAAAATGTTTTGCCCTAAAAAACACGTGACATCGCTTAGAGCACCTTTAAGCGACACAATCAGATGACGACTTTGAAAATCCTGAAGGGTTTCCAGTTAAGTGTGCCTCATGCATCAGACGCTCAGCCAGTGGTCAGTCTGAAGCTGAGATATTAATTACGGTCCACTAAAACTCTAATGACAGCTAGTTGACATGTAGTTGCAAAGGTACTTATAGAATGTCTAATGTGGACCATCTAAATAAAGTGTTCCCAATACTAATAAGTCTTTCTAACTTGTCAAAAATGTGTAATTATTTTAAAAATGTATTAGCAGTGAAAATTCTTTCTAGATCAATTTCTTTTCAGTGTAGTTTGTCAAGCAAATGTTTGCATCCACCTTATTTAGTTTGATATGAAATGGGAAGCGATTTCCCCACTTTTTAAAAAGTTAATGAGCCTTTATTTAGCCAATACACATGGACACACTCAGGGTTTCTGTGGACAATAAGAACTTTGTCCACAGTTTATACCAGGAACTATACGTATGTTACAGTATGCTTTTATAGAGCACAGTGTGTTTTGCATGAGGACAGTAGTAATACTCATCATATTCCTAGGCTATGACACACATACATGCAGGCAAATTTTCCCGACATCATCGTCACAAATTCACTCCATCTCCCCCACCAGCCTCGTCTCACCCCCGCGCTCTCTCCCTCCGTGTGAAAATGCACTCTTGTCTGTTTGCCGCACAAGTTGCAACACGACACCAGGCCACAGTTACTTCATTTACTTTGCATTCACACCGAGCTGCCCGAGAACAGGTTTCCCCACTGAAGGCGGAGAAGAGGAGGAGAAAACCAGAGAATGTTTGTTTCAGGAATTGCGTGATCATCTAAACGTCGGTGTCTACACCCCCTTAGTCACTCGTAGCGAAAAATGCCAAAAAATAGGTGTGATTGTGACTAATTTTACCTCAGACTTGTTCACGAATGCAAAAACAACTGTTGTGTATTTCAGTGACCTCTCGGTGTCAGTATTACTTCCTAGCAACCTTCCTATCTGATCGACTAGATTATAGATTCGCTCATGAATTTAGGCCATAACCTTCTCGTCCACACCTACAGATTACTCTGGCATGCTGATAGAGAAGCCAACCGAAACAGAATTAAACTGACAAGACAGGCTGTCAGGAAGACAAACAAACAGACTGATAGATACAGGTGAAAGACATGTAGACAGAAAGTCTTACCTCGTCCAGTTGAATCGGTGAGGTTTTGGATTTCCTTCGCCATTGCACTGTAGCGTCGCACCTTGCATTTCAGCATGCCAGCTGTCCTCGTAGCCAGATATCAGTGCATTCGGAGGGTCTGTTCGCACACATGAACACACATACACAAAAAAAGGTCTCACAATTAGGTGTGTCTAATTCACTTTTCAGCCTCTTGTTTGAACTTGTGATGAACTTCCCGTTTGACCAATAAGTTCACCTGATCCTTTCTGTTGTTGACACAGTACAAACCCTAATACTGGCATTATGAAACACGCATATGTTTGAATTATCGCAATTGTGTGCAATTAAATTAAAGGAATGGGTTCCAAACCCACATTTCTTTTATTTTTTTTCTGTGGAACACAAAAGGAGAAAATTTGAAATGATGTCCTGGTTGTTGTTGTTTTTTTTTTTCTCCGTGCAATTATACAATTAAAGAATGAGGACCGCAGCTTTAAAGCTTATTATAAATGATTTGTCCATGCACATCAATTTTTTCAAATTCATGTGCCCTCGTAAGCTTTAAAGGTGCATTGCGCAACTTTTCATGTTAAAAATACCTGTTTTTCTATCCTATACATGCTTAAAGAACTGCCTGATGGGCTGAATGAGCCCTTCTCTGCGCACTGAGATTGCCTCTATAATCCTGTAAAATACAGTAAAATATATAAGAGGGATTCGGGCTCGAATTTGGCCGTGACGTCATGCGCGTTCACGCTCACCAGGCTATGTCTCGCAGGTTTGTGTATTCGCCGGCGCCGCCATTCTCCGCATCAGCGAAAACAACTCGTGCGTCAAAGGTAGAAGATGGATTCAAAGAGACCGGCTTGTAGTCCATTCCAAACCCCAAAGCAAACTCCACGTAAAGTAAAGAAAAGAAAAATTTTGTCTAGTGCCACCAAAAGGTCAAAATTGGAGTCAGACAGGCGTCGGAGTAAGACGAGAGTCAACCTCGGGAAGGCATTCAACAAATGGAGAGATCTCCGGTCTGCTCTAGGGCTCAAACGAGATCCTCAGTTGGCTTTTTTCTTGATAAAACGGTAAGATATAGCCCAGTCTCTAATGTTTGTTAGGCCAATCTATGTATGACAACAAATGACGATGCGTAAAATGTGTAATGCTTTAGCGTAAGCTAGATCCATGTACAATCAGAATTGGTTGCAGTTTCGCTTGTCGCCAGAGGGGGCGTAGTTCTGCAAAAACTCAGAGACTTGTGTTTTGCACCTTTAATTAAAATAACTTTCCCTCCCTCTTGCACAGCGACGTCTCTTCTTTTCTCTGATGAGGGCGGGGCAACCTGTCACTCACATGAGATCCACCAATAGCAAACCACAACCATCCAATCAACTTCCGATGGACAAAATCAAGTCCCGCCCTAAGGTATTTTGGTGCACATATTATAAGGTGAGGACCACACACATGTAACTGATCATTTCTTATTCAAGTGAGATGTTAACTGATGCAACCAGATCGTTGAATCAGAATCGTCTAGTTTGTGAATGAATCATTCAGATGAACTGAATGTTCAGACTCAACACCCCCCCCCCCCCCCCCCCCCAAAAAAAACCCCCCAAACCCACCAACCGGGATATTCTCAAGTATTCTCCTTTTGAGTTCCACATAAGTAAGAATGTCAAGTGGGTTTCTAAAGACACGATGGTGAGTCAATGACAGGATTTTTATTCTAGGTGAACTATTGCTACTAAGTTTTCCTACAGTCACCCAAAGCAAAAATGTTTTAATGACTGTAGCTCAAGTAGTGATGAATCAGAGAATAACAATGTTGTCATAGTATCGATTAAGACAATAAACAGATGTCCACAGGTCAAAACACATATAAAGGAAATTACATCTGTAGACATAAAAAGGTGAAACGAAAGTTTCATCATATTTAAATTTCACAAGCGCAGTAAACAGGAAAGGAGTTTTAGGTTCACATTGTAAAATTCACAATCATTCTGAGTCACATACAGACAGCGATGTAATAAAGATTGATGTGTGAAACAGTATATCAATCATTCTGCAGTAAGGACAACAATAAAGTTATTTTAAAGTAAATGTACTATACACAGCTTGTGTGTATAACCTGGCAAGTGGTTTGCACTGGTACGTAAAAAGTGATTGGACATCAAAATATTTTTTTTAAGGAATGCCTAAATGAATAAACGTTGAATAAACAGCAGCACAAATGAATACTATTAAAAAAAATCAAATCAAGAACAAATTTAGTAATGTCAGTATAATATTTATTAAAAATTAGGACATTATATTTTAAATAAAGTGATATTAATTTTGAGTTTAGTGGTCATATTAAAAATGTTCTTTTTACTATTATGGGGGAATTTATTTAAATTCAAAGTGATATTAAAATATGATTAAATTATATATATTTAAAAATTGTGTATAGTAGTACATTTATTTGTAAAATACTATTGAAAGTATACATGGAAGTATTAGTACTGAAGTAATACAATTTATGCTGATTTTAATTAAAAATGTATTGTGTTTGAACAGGATGATTTTTTTATTACCGTCTTACGAGACTATGATTTTTTTTATTACAGTAATACAAATTCAAGAGGCTAAAATGTTTATGCAATGACATATTTATGCATTTTTCTTTTGCATTCTTTATGCATTTTTTTCTGTTTTGATTCAAAGATGGAATTGTGACCCAGGCATTTCTTTATAAGAATCTCCCGTTATACAGTAGTTTCAGTATTTACACTTGTGAACATTTTCAGAACAATATAAGAGATTAAGACTTACAGTGCACTGTAAGTTTACTGGAGATCCTCTGGGGGGTGTTTTGAGATGGATGCCAGACCAGACAGTCTAGCTTCCTTCCGTTCATGCTACGGAGAGGGTGGAGGGAAAACTGGATTGAGGCCACCATACCATCCAAACTAAGGTTCTGGCTCTGACCCGAGAGGTCTGTGTCCCAGGAGAGGCCTGCCATTGGCTTAGCCATCGAGCGGCATGTAGCAGCCGGACGGAATGACTGGCCCTCAACCATGACATATTCCTCCAGGGAAGTGATGGGTTTAGCTGTGAAATAAAATGACAAATAAATAAGAGATGGATGGATGGATGGATGGATGGATGGATGGATGGATGGATGGATGGATGGATGGATGGATGGATGGATGGATGGATGGATGGATGGATGGATGGATGGATGGATGGATGGATGGATGGATGGATGGATGGATGGATGGATGGATGGATGGATGGATGGATGGATGGATGGATGGATGGATGGATGGATGGATGGATGGATGGATGGATGGATGGATGGATACAGATGGACGGATGATAGATAGATAGATAGATAGATAGATAGATAGATAGATAGATAGATAGATAGATAGATAGATAGATAGAGATGGACGGATGATAGATAGATATATCATTTCTTTGTGTTTTCATTCGTGTCTTTTGTTATATATTACAGCAGATATTTCACCAGTGTCTGAGTTTTTAAAAAGTATAAAATATCCCTGTTTGCTTTTCTGTTTCTAACAGTGTGCTTGAACACAATCATAAACAATACTTCTGAAAGAGAAAGCAGCATCTATTGTACGATCATATAATCGCAGCAACAATGAACACTTTCATGTTAATACCTCCATCATCACTTCCATTGACAAACACAATACTTGTGTGTTATTCTGAGAACAGTAACTGTATACATGAAAGCAGTGCTAGCCTTGTGGTTAAAGGGTTGTCAGGTATATGAAAGGGACGGTGAATGACATGACAAGAGTTATGTTAAAAAAATCCTCTCTAACTACTGCAGGGTTGCTGCGCATATACATAAGACTCAAATCAATTCAGTCTAATCTAAGGGTACGTGTGCACTACAATTATATGCTTGAAACTGCGTACAGACGACACCATTGTAAAAACGATCCCCATTCACACGGATCCGCAAAAACGACTAAACTGTATTCTGCTGCCAGGCCATTAGATGGCGATGAAACACTACAGACTGAACACGTTATACGCATGTGCATGACGTCATCGTTTTTTTCAGATTCGCGTTTTTGTTGTTTACCCAGAGACTGTTTTCAAAAACTTGCACTTTGAAACTCGTTTTCAAAAGTTTGCGTTTTCAGGCACCCAAAACGCCGTTGTCGTGTAAATGAATGGTCAAAATCCACTGAAATTTTTACGTTTTTAGTTTAAAATGGTGTTTAGTCGAAAACGCGTTTTAGTTGAAAACGCGAATTCCTAAAAACGATGACGTCATGCACATGTATAACGTGTTCAGTCTGTAGTGTTTCATCGCCATCTAATGGCCTGGCAGAAGAATACAGCGTTTTTAGTCGTTTTCGCGACCGGAGTGAATGTCTGAAATCAAAAGTCGGTTTAAAGTGATCTTCCAATGTGCCAATATCAGTGTCGGGTTTAATGCGTTCCCTTTTAAAAAGTAAAGTAAGGGATTACTCTTAATTTTTCTGTAATTTAATTACAGTTAATTCTGATGGGATTGGATTAAATATTGTAAGTCACCGTGATTTTTCATGGACATCATCAAAATATTTTATTGAGACATGGACATCATCAAAATATTTTGTTAATCCTGGAACAACATTCCTGTCCGAAAATGTAGTCCTAACCCTATCCCTTCCCCTAAACCCAACCCTTCCCATAAGTTATCCCTAAAATCAGAGGGAAATGATGGTGAATAACACTGATGTAGAAGCACCTAACCCTGGTTGTAAGCCTAAACTTGACAGAAACTGTAAACTTGTCCCTCAAATCTGATTGGTTGATTGAAATGTTGTTCCAGGATCAGCAAAGATGTTGATCCAGACAATAGAAAAATTCTATATGAAAGAATATTGGATTTAACATCAACATTTTTAACACCTAATGTTAAATATACGTTTTTAATGTAACCTTCTTCGTTTAAATACTTTGGTAAGTTGCATAATTTATGCAACTTTATATTATTTATTTGAAAGAATTAACCCTTGTGCATCAATTAAAAAAATTTACACATTACATAGAGGACAAAAATGTCCATGTCGAAAAACTGTCACAGACTTAAGTTTGGTATCATTTTAAAGAAGACCCTTGGCAGATTATTGCTGAAGTAAAAAAATAATAATAAGTAAATCGAAAAAAAAAGTTATACAGTTATAAGTTTATGAAAATTATTTATGAAAATTATTTGATATAAAATATATATTTTATAAAACAAGCTGAACTCTAAAACGGCAAGAAAATCAAAGCCATAAATCTAAATAAGTTGTGTTCCAAATTTGAGGTTGATATCTCAAAAAATGAGCTTTCTGTAAGAGTTTGTTTGGGCGCAGTAACAGATTTCCCCCATTGGTTGCCAGCAAAACTCCACTGGTCACACAGTGATTGGATTTGTTATTTGCAGTTGAGTTTCTCTCTCTCAAAATTACAAACACACACATTTTTTTTTATAACACACATACTAACCACACTCAGACATCCATACCAACACGCCCACACAATTATCGTTGCACAATTTATCCAATTGCCTCTATAATATGCCGAGGCAGAAAACAGGAATAAAGCGATATTTGTTTTATAGGCCAAACCTGGCAAAATGGCACCATCTGATAAAAATTTAAAAATTTGAAGCCTTTCCAACAGAATGAAAGCCTGTTAACAAAGATTGCATCATTTTATTGTTAAATAAACCTGGGATTAAAAAATGCAGTTTTAATTGGTTTCAATGGGGACATTTTTGTCCAAAAGGCGCTGAGAGGGAGTATTTTGTGTACCTAGTGCAAATTTTTTATTTTTATTTTAAATGGCAGTGAAATAGAAAAATTCCAATAAAAATACACACCTGTGCCAAATTTTATGCAGTTAGCATTAACACAGGCTAAGTGATCAAAAACACAAAACTGAAAAGGACAAAAATGTCCATAAGGATGCACAAGGGTTTTAAAAGAGCAGTTTCATGTCTATCCTTGTGTTGTTTAAGAATAGACATCTTGTTAATGTCCCCCTGTGGTGACAAATCAAGCTTTTAATGTTGTTTATATGTCTATGTGGTGATTTTAATTTGCTCGACAATAAGTCAACACCATTGCTGAGTATTTTCTCTTTAAAACTGCAGTGAACCAAAGATGGTTCTAGTGTTTCTGACGTCACAAACTACCTTGTAACCAATCATGTCAACATGTGATCGTCAAATAATGGATCTCTGAGCTGGTGTGAGTGAGTGGAGGCGGGGCTAATTAGCATATTCATAGAACCACGTACACTAAATGAGGCAAGGGTGTAGTTACATTCAAGCTATTTTAAGGCACGAAGGAATTATTTCAAGGAAAAAAAACTTTTAAATATGTCATTTTGGTGATCAAAGGTGAGTTTTAAGGGGGATATACAATTATTGACTACAGGGGGACTTTTAGTAATGCAATACTGTTTAGACAGAGTGATTAGTAAATTAATCCAATTCTTGAAGATGTAATTAGTAGCTAGTAATTAATTACTTTTAGTTTTGCATGACACAAGTTTGTTGTCTTTTGTTTGCCCATAGCACTGATTAAATGTACTTACTCCACACTGTGAGGGAAATCACCGTCTCAAAGTTTCCAGAGGGGAAGGTGGCGACTTTGCAGGTGTATTTGCCCTCATCTGCAGAACTTGTGCGCATAATAATCAGAGCAGAGTCTGCTATTGGGTTGTTGGTCTCGAATCGCACACGCCCTGAATATGCAGGGTTTTCTGTGAGAGAGAAACAGAAAGAGAATTAAATGTGTTTGTCACATCCACCATATGACAGTAAGATTTGGCTTTGCGACAGTTTTGTTACACACATCAAAGAATGATGCACAAAAAATAAATAAAAAATTATTGAAAATTAAAATTAAAGAATCAATATTCTGCTCTGTTAGCTCCTGTATTATAAATTGTTGTAAAATGCATGTTTCTTTACAAAAGTGAATTGTAAGTCACTTTAAAAAAAAAAAAAAAAACATTTCCTTAATGATTCAATGTAAATGAATGCAAGCTGAGTACAGAAATGAAAGTAAGTACTGAATTATACAGTACAGGAATAGTTACATTGCTAGATTCAAGGAAGAGCAGAACTGTAATGCTATTTAGCAAAATAAGTTCTTGAAATGGCCATGAGCTCCCTATAGAGAAGATTGTTATAGCTACACTTTTAAAAATACACTTTTTGCAGTGATGCCATTAAAAATAATAAAATAAATCGGTTCCCCAAAGAACCTTTCAGTGAACAGTCCTTAAAAGAACCATTTTTTCTTAGTTTTGAGAACATTTTATAAACTAAAGCCTTTTTTCCCAATATAAAAAATTGTTTGTGCAATGGAAAGATTCCTTGGACGTTAAAGGTTCTTCATGGAAACGCAAATGCCAATGAAGAATCTTTATCTATAAGAGTGTAGAGATATATATTATTTAAACCCATGTTCTCAGAGTAAACTTTTAAACGTATATATTTTGAAACAAGTAACCTATGAACACCCTGATGCACCATTGTAATTTTAATGAAAAAGGATATTTAGAAAAAAAGTTTTCTTTGGTGATAATGATATTAGTAAAAGGAAAGGGTCTATTAATTGTTAGCAAAAAAGTCTAACAATTTAAGTTTTGATATGTAAAAGACAAAAAGAAAGGTTTGTTTTACCTGTCTGTCCTTCACTGAAATGAACAGTGATGATCTGTTCTTCAGCTCCATTTGAGTTCTGCCGAATCCACGTCACCTGCACCACCTGAGTCTCACTGTCCGACACATTGAATCGACAGGGTAACCGTGTTTCCTCCTCTCCCAAAGACTGCAGATCCCAGGGGCTCTTCGAGGGCTCAAGAAACGGTTCTTGTTCTCCACTTACACAGGCTGCTAAAAGAGAGGAAGATAGAGTAGCGGCGTTAGACATGATCAGATGCTTTAACACAATTCTGCCAACAGCAACAGGATAAAAGAAACAAACTGGATGAGCCATGCTGAAAGTTGTTTGATAAACATATTATATATAATTATACTTTCATTGGATAGCACATCATTTGAATTATGTTTTAACCATAAACAGTGCGAGATTTGGTGGAACAGCAGTGATTATACAGTGATACACACACACACAGGCCGCTTTATTAGGTACACCTGTCCAACTTTCGGTTTCGGATTCAGCCTAGGTCAAGGCGATCCGCTGAAGTTGAAACTGAGCATCAGAATGGGGAAGAAAGGTGATTTAAGTGACTTTGAACATGGCATGGTTGTTAGTGTCAGACGGGCTGGTCTGAGTATTTCAGAAACTGCTGATCAACTGGGATTTTCACACACAAGACACAACCATCTCTAGGGTTAACAGGGAATGGTCTGAGAAAGAGAATATATCCAGTGAGCAGCAGTTCTGTGCGGGAAATGCCTTGTTGATGTCAGAGGTCAGAGGAGAATGACCAGACTGGTTCAACAGTAACTCAAATAATCACTCGTCCAACCTTGAAGCAGAAGAGCAACAGCAGCAGAAGACACACACCGGTGACACTCCCGTCAGCTGAGAACAGAAACTGAGGCTAACCTTCACACGGGCTCTCTAAAACTGGACAACTAAAGATTGGAAAAGCGGTGCCTGGTCTGGTGAGTCTGGATTTCTGCTGTGACATTCAGATGGTCGGGTCAGAATTTGGCATAAACAACACGAAATCATGGATCATCCTGCCTTGTATCAATGGTTCAGGCTGCTGGTGGTGTAATGGTGTGAGGGACATTTTCTTGGCACTCTTTTGGGGACCTTAGTACCAATTGAGCATCACAAACGCCACAGCCTACCTGAGGATTATTGCTGATCATGTCCATCCATATATGACCACAGTCTACCCATCTTCTGATGCCTACTTCCAGCAGATCAAACTGGTTTCTTAAACATGACAATGACTTCACTAAACTCAAATGACCTTCACAGTCACCAGATCTCAATCCAATAGAGCAGCTTTGGGATGTGGTGAAACAGGAGATTCACAGATTCAGCAGATAAACCTGCAGTAACTGTGTGATGCTATCATGTCAATATAGACCAAAATCTCAGAGGAATGTTTCCAGCACCTCGTTGAACCTGTGCCATGAAGAAATAAGGCAGTTCTGAAGGCAAACATGGGTCCAACCCCCTAGCAAGGTGTACCTAATAAAGTAGCCAGTAGACATGTATATATATGTATATACTTCATACTATTCGATATACGTTTTGAAGTTCAGATTCCTCCCCCTGGCAGTTTTGTTGACTGAGACAACATTCCCGATTAGACGTTCAGCTGTAAAACTATCCATTTAAATGACTTATTATAATATTGCATGTTGTATTACAATGAATTGCTCTGTGTTGCATTTAATGTTTAGAAAAATTCACAACAGCAAGTTCCTCGTAACACTCATAGCTGTGGCATCACATCCTGGGTTTTAAAGGGCTAGACCAAAAAACAATATGCCATTTATCATACAGCTTAATGCGGTTCAAGTAAGGCTTTAAAAAGAATAGAAATAACACCTCTAATAGATATATACCTGCATGAAACATACCTGCAGTAAAAGGAAAGTTGGGCCACATTGGCTGAGGTCATCTGTTACCTTCAATACGGTGGTAACATGAACCTTTCATTTTTTAACACTCTATTGAACTGGCACAGAGAACAGAGAGGAGAAGCAGACATGGGAATCGATATGGATTACAAAAATAAGAGAAAGGAAGAGGGGTGAGAGACAGACAGATGTCTGGAAGAGTGTGGACCACAGGTAGATATGCTGCTCAACTCGTTATGTGTCTCAGGGCTAATTGCTTTTGGGTGGCAGACAAGCACAAGCAAACACTCAACTCAACACATATCCAAAGACCATCCAAAGGTGAGTGGACATAAGCTGAACTACTTACAAGCTGATTTTACTTTTAAATACAAAAGCCAGTTCTGTCAAATTGCATCTTACATAAACGTTTGTTATATAATATAGCTATGTGTGTGTGTGTGTGTGTGTGTGTGTTTGTGTGTCTGTGTGTTTATATATATATATGTGTGTGTGTGTGTGTGTGTGTGTGTGTGTGTGTGTGTGTGGATAATAGATATACAGTATATACATATACACACATAGGCTATATATATTTATATACGCATACATATACAGTATGTGTAGATATACACACACACGCACACATACACAATATAAACACAAACTTTTATGTAAGATGTGATTAATCGATTTGACAGCACTAATATTTTAATAAAATAATATACTAAAATAAAAATGTGTATATTATATATATATATATATATATATTCATTATAATATATATATATATATATATATATATATATATATATATATATATAAATGATTAATATTAAATAAATAAATAGTTCAGACAATGATGTCATGCAGACATCATGTTGATTGGGCTTATGTATGGATAAGAAATACATTGTTTATTGTTATTTGCAGTTTGATATGTACTCAGGGTTGAAAAGTGAAAAATAAAAAAGGTCTATTAACTCCACACTTAATAGCTTCTCGGTTCAGGGCCGGGATTGGCCTGTAATCCCTTTAAATCTTTAGTTTCTGAGTCACTGAACTTTGTGTCGTAGCCCAGATCCTTGACCAGTTTGCGAAGACTAGAGTATTACATCAATGGACAACATAATGACAAAAGCCTCCCAGACAACAACATGACATGTTTCGGAGTCAGCATCCTTATAGTGGGTGTTATTTGTTGCCTAATACTAGCCTTAAATCAGACCTAATTCATTTGACTGATATTTTGATAACACTTTAGATTAGGGAACACATATTAACTAGGAGTAAACTCCTGCTTATTAATAGTTGGGTAGTTGTTAAGTTTAGGAATGGGATAGGATTAAGGGATGTTGAATATAAGGGATGCAGCCATATAAGCAACTAATGTGAATATGAATATGTTCCCAAATCTAAAGTGATGACGATATTTCTACTAATATTAACAGTTTATTCATCTGTAATCGGTTCTTAAATATTAGGTCAACTGATATATTATATCATTTAATGGATTTCTAAAGAATAACACATAACAATGGTATGCACTGCTAATAGCCTATTTAATGTTTTTTTTTATTACTTTTATTTTTATTATTTTAACAGCTAATTATTTTCTAGCAATCATCTAGATGACAAAATAATGTAGCATGCTTTATGTATAATAGCATTATAATGATCATTTAGCAATTATTGTGTCCAAAAGGCAGAAATAATGTCAGACAATAATGACCAAAATGCTCATAAAATATAATATTAGCCTATGTATGAATAAGTAATATATTATGTGTATTGTTATTTACAGCTCAATATCCACCAAGCGTTGAGAAATCGGTCATATAGGACTGTTTGCAAAGAGAAACAGATAATTAAGCGCCTTGCAATAATTAAAAACGGATTCTGTCTGGTTCTGAATGACAGAAAATAATGACCAATGGATCATAAAAAACATTATTGATCTCAAATGTCAAAATGATTGGTTGACTGGAATGTTGTTCAAGGTCCTAACCCTAAACTCTTAACATCAGAGGGCAATAACTCATGATGACTGAAATGTTGTTCAAGGCCCAGCAAAAGATGGTGATGTTGGGAAATGTCTCAAACCATGTCGCACAGACGCTAGGATCTGCCCACACTGACGCTATAGTGAGCATTGCAAACGAACCTGTCCTTCCTATCAGAAGTAGGGCGAGTGCTTGGAAATAGCACGGGCGTCAGTTTAATGTCGGGAATTTGTCGTGTCGCGTCGCGTCGCATCCAGAGCATTATTTGAATGGGTTCTTCTCTTTGCTTTTGTCGCGTCGCGCCACCCGCCTCTGGTGTAGACACGGTGTTAATGTATTAAGGTTTCACATGCTCAGACGCATTGACCCTGAATTAACACACACACAGCTGTATGAATAGCTCATACACACCGGGAAAACACTCAAAAATGTAAGTTACGTTGACAACACCCTCAGATTCATCACACCCTTATTCTCACAACTTCATCAGCCCAGAAAACACTCCTTAACACTCTGCGAAGCCTTTATCACACAGTGTGTGTGCGCGCGTGAGCAGGGAGCGCCTGTCTGTCAAACTGAATCACACTTAGTTTGTCACAAGAACCAGTTCTTCCTGTAATATTAGACAACCGTAACGTGTTGTGAAGTTCTTTTCCAATAAGTTTAACTCCAAATCCTGCAACACGTTTTTAAATATTTTACAGTTGCACCCGCAATGTATAGGATAGCTTATATGAAATGGCTCACCTGAGTTCCAGAAGATCATCGCAGCAAGAATATATGAAACTGTCTTCATATCGTCCTCCAGTTCAGACTTTCACCTGAGCCCAAGTTATCAGTTTGGCGATCTCAATGTGATGGTCATTATTAAAAGACCAAAACAGTGTCTCTGTCAAGAGCTAGTTGTATTCCCAATCAATCCAATCGATCATAGATGTTGGAGAAGAGGAGAGGAGACTCCCATATATTATGAAGATCACGTTGTGGAGATCCAGTGCAGAAAAACAAAATCACTCTGTGTTTAGCATCTGAGATATATCGACTAATTCATTTGAAGTAGCCTACAAAAAAAGAGGAAACGATATCAATTAATAGAATGTTTATGGATTGCGTAAATCCTCCATGCGTAAATCCTCAAGTGAGCGAACAAAAGTTTTTACTCCAGTTTAAGGTGTTTTCGTATTATTTTAAGATCTACGACATGTTGGGGGGAAACAGAGTATTTCCATTGTTCTTCTGCCGTTCTGCTTGAGAATGCGTGAAATAGCTGTGAGAGAGAAGATCTCTCAGGAAAGGCACCTGTTGGAGAAGGCAGTTCTGCATTGCGCAGTCGCGCACATGTTGTTACGCGCAACTCAACTTTCCAGTTTTTAATCCGGGTGTTTCTTCCCAATCGGATGATTCAATCTAGCTGGTTTAATATTCTCTAATTGCTTAATCGCTTGGGACCTTTAATCGTCGAGCTCACGTGGATATCTGGAGATTATTGCCCTAATGTTTTGTGAAAAACGGTTTAGTCTGAAAAAGACCAGTGACTTGCAGACACCAGTCCTATTACACCGTTGATTTTTTTTTTATATATATAGAATGCTTTAAAAAAAAATCTAAATAAATATTGATCCTATTAAAAACTGTCTTATACAAGATCTTTCAGAACATATATATAGCCTATATAACTTAGTTGTTTTTCCCTTAAAGTGAATGATCCTAATGCCCTTTTATTGGTTCAGTAGCAAGACATTGTTCTAAAACATTTACCCCTGATTTTACAGGCAAGGTTTAAGCCTAATCCCAGACTAAAATGCATGTTTGAACTGTTTAACTGAAAGCAACTTGCACAGGCATATCTTAAAATATGTCAGTGCCATTGTTTTGTCTCAAGATGCACACCAGTAATGTTTTTCAAAACCTAATATCCCAATTAAAGGCCTAATCCTGGTTTAATCTAAACCTTGTCTGTGAAACCAGACCGTAGTGTTTCCTAGTATCCAATAAGATTTTAGGAATCAAACCATGCTGGATGAGCTAGACAGCATATCTGATTAATTTTTGCAAGTGTAGTGACATAATTTGAATGTGTCCTAAATGGCTACATGTTTTTTTATCTTGGATCTAACCTGAACTGTCATGTACTGTATCTGGTTGCATTCCTGTCCTGATGGAAAGCAAGCACCAAAACTGTAAACCTGTTCTCCCTCCTGAAAACAGTTAAAGCCCCGGGCATTTTTGCTGTGTTCAACGGAATAGCGTTCCAAACAAGGGTTTGAGTTGAAAAAGAGTTATTTACGATAAAGAAAGCTCTCATAAAGAAAATACACTGTGATTATCATATCGGTCTATGAATGCATAAGATTAAGTGATCTAAATGTCCACAAGTTTCATTGATGCGGTCTCTTTAATTTAATTTTAATTAATTAAAGGTTTAACAACACATTAATACTAATATACAATGTTTTGCTATCTGTAATGCTGTCAATATTGTGAAACAGTTATTTAATGGAAAAAAAAATCTAAGAAAATATCAGAAACAAATATTTAAATAAAGAAATCAAGATTTATTGTGAAAAGAATTAGAGATAAAACTGAACTGAATCAAGAATTGTAAGAGTCTAATATGATAAAATTTTTTCTTTTTGTTTAATTAAACTAAGCTTATATATAGTTATATAGTATAGTTATATAGTTATTTGATGAAACCAAGTGTATGTGTATAGTGACATCTAGGGGACAATGAGTAGTTTTCAAATATAATATCGCTTCAACAAATGTGAAGCATGTTACACACTTATGTATTAGAGTGATTCACAATAATCAATATTTTAACATTTAACTCTACATTAATGTCCTCTACATTAAGGTCTATTAGCTACAGTGTTAGAAGTAAGGTGATCAGATTACTTTTTCCATGTAACAAGTAACGCATTACTTTCAAATTTACAACAATATCAGTTACTTTTTTGTCATCTATTGACTGCCAGCTCTCCTGTCCACGTGTTGAGAGAAATAAGGGCTGCGCTGCGTAAACATGATGGTTACTGTACACGTCTCTCGACATGTGGACAGGACAGGTGTCAGTTAATAAATGGCAAAAAAGTAATTTGGATATTTTGTTGTAAATTAAAAAAAAAAAAAAGTAATCTGATCACATAACTATCATGTGACCATGCATTTACTCATCTCACTTGCACAAAAACAGATTCAGTATTCTTCAAAATACTCAAACCTGCAATAATTAACTATGTTAAGTAATACAAATATACTTTATGTATTTAATCTCACTTTATTAAGTAATTTCTTTGCAGAATGGCAGCACAGCGGAAAGGTTTGTTTCCTCTAATTTGCATTTCCTTTAGGCTGAGACTTATTCATTTCACTTTTGTAAAAGGGCCGTTACATTTGCCAAAAGTAGAACTTTTATTATTATTATTATAATTTTTTTTAAAAAAGCCCAATCCAGGTGAGAAAAAGTAACACAAAAAAATGAATGTAACTGATTACTTTCCATGAAAAGTGATGCAATCAGTTACACAATATTTAACACATTATTTTCAAAAGTAACTTTCCCCAGCACTGATTAGCTCATATAATCTTAAAATACATTTTTGATGCAGATTATCACAATACTCACAATAGATCAAATATAGTATGCATGTAGACCATCACTACATTCATATGTATTAAGAATTCAACTAAACATTTTCATTTGAAATGTCTGAGACTGAAAAAGGAACATTCCGTATCAAATTTGCCTCAACAAGAACATCCACAATCACAGTGAGATTTCATTAAACTTAAACTGAACAAAACTGGCAAAAATAGACTGAATATCAAGTTTCGCCCTACCTGTTATATTCCTCTCACTGGAATCTGATTGGTTTAACAGAGTTTTGTGTACCTCCCTTTTGCTGTCTGATTGGTCTTTTGTCTTTTCTGGGATTGGGTGGCTTACATCTGAGTCTTGCCTGTCCGAGCTTGTTCTCTTGGCCCACAAATCCCACTGTGGCAGAACATCAAAAACAGCAAATACGCAGATTCTGTTTCTCAGATAATCAAAAAACAATATTTAGTGATTTTTATCCTTTTCATTATAGAAATGCGATTTAAGATAACATAGCAAATCTACACTTCTCTACATCATCTGGTCAAAGGTATTAAATGTTTACAATGAATAAAAGGCGCATTGTTCTAAAAACAAGTGATATTGTAATTGTTTATTTCTTTTCACAATATCTACACATCATTGTTTGTTGCTTGTTTGTTAATGGAAAAGATTGAAAAAAAGGTCCTTTTTAATTTTTTAATTTTAGTTTTTTTTTTCTCTCATGAAATGAAATGTCCAAACCTTTGCATAAAGCATCTCAAACCTCAAATTGAGATGTTAAACTAAAAGGAAAAACATCAGAAAAACAAACAATTAAAAATTAGCAAAAAAAAAGATGAAATGGCATAAATATGTTACGTCTCTCTATGCTGTGTTTCGCTCGCTGGAATCTGATTGGTTTAGCAGAGGTTTGTGCTCTTCTTGTTTGCTATCTGATTGGTCCTTTGAGTCCGTTCCCTTTTCTGAGGTTGTCTGCTCTGTGTCTGAGTCTTCATCAGAGTCTTCCTCATCATTGCACTCTCCGAGCTTGTCCTCTTGGCCTACTGGCACAGCTCCCTTCCTCTGTGGCAAAACCGTAAAGAAAGCTTCCTGCCAGTCTCGTTTCTCCAGGAATGCTAGGATGATTTCAAAAACTGCAGCAAGAGGGAAAATGATTGTTTAATTCGCAGCAGGAAACTTAAAAGTAGTATATAACTATGGAAGTTTCCACCGCAGAATCATTTTTTTAACAATTCTGACTTTTTTTCCTCGCAATCGTGAGTTCATTTATATCTCGCAATTGGGACTTTACCGTTTATATCTCAATTCTGAGAAAAAAAGTCGTCTCACAATTCTGACTTTATAACAGAAGAAAAAAAAGTCAGAATTGCGGGATATAAACTCTCAATTGAGTTATGTATGAATTGCAAGAAAAAAATTCTGAATTATGAGATAAAAAGACACAATTACTTTTTTTTCGTGGAAGAAACCTCCATACAATACAGAAGTGGCATTTGAATGGATACCTGTTTACACCTGGCATTAAGTGTTTTCGTCAATCCGATCACAAGTAGACGAAGCTAAATACAGGTGTAAACAGCGTTTTGAGCTTTGTCCACTTTTGACCACTTCCAGAGGTAGTCGAAAACGCATTTGACCGGATTGGTTTCGAAGTGTAAACGCTCATGTGGTCGAATGTGTTCAAAAACCCACAAAAGACCGTCTACTCTCCGCTTACTGAACTAATGTGTAAATATTATGAGAAGCGCCCTGACGGGATTTAAACTTTGGCTGGAGACCCAAGTTTGGTTTGAAGATGAAAATGTACCAAGCACAATGTTCTCTCACCATTCCTGATTTCTAACACTTATTCACAGTGTTCGGCTGATCTTGCGGCTGTCAGAGCAGAAACGAAAGCTGCTGCTCTCGGTGTGTTTCTCTTTCGTCTCCTTTCGCGTTCATATGTAAATTGCGTGAGTTTATATCGTCCATTAGATTGAAAGATCAGAAAAAGCCTGTACATTTACCCTACCCTCGAAAAAATCCGGACAGAAGTGTTTAAAAGTGGACAAAAGAGACGGATTAAAACACCAGGTGTAAACGGGAATGTGTCTCCCTCGTCTACTTGTGATCCGATCGACCAAACGCATCTTAATACCAGGTGTAAACAGGGCCTAAAGAGAATGTAAGAAAGGGCATCTCACCATGATTGACAGCCAGCACCTTGCGGCTATTCATCTTGACGAAACTGCCCAGCGGAAGCTGAGCGTGAGCAATGCCAAGCTCTTGGGCTCGACCAAATGTGATTCCCTGTAATAAAGCATTTGAATTCCCCAAAACCAAGAGCTTGTTATGACTTTAAGGTAAAAAAAATTAAACATTATGACAATTGTCACCCTATAGTCATCTCAGAATAAAATCTCCTTGCAAGCAGGGCCTGTGAAATTACTTTCTGTGACTTCCCATGTTCTTGTTTACACGAATAATCATTTCACTGACTTAGGGAAGATTTCCATTTTCAGTTCTAATTGCGCTTTTCCACTGCATAGTACGGTACGGTTCGGCTCGGTACGGTTCGACTCGGCGCGGAACGGTTCGGCTCGCTTCGCTTTTCCACTGCGTGGTACGACTCGACTCGGTACGGCACGGCTCGGTTCGCTTTGGCTCGGTTGCTTTTCCACTGCAGTAGTACCGCTTCAGTGGGTGGGACTGATCGTTATAGTTGCGCAACTCCTCGGCAACCAACGAGAGGAACGTCTGCACCTCGTCCACTGACCACGATTCAGCCATTTCTTTTTTTGAAGTTTTCATCTTCTTTTTTCAAGCAAATACTTTAAAAACAGGTACTACAGCGTTGGCTGTTGTCTACTGCTGGCTATTTAAATCTAGCGGGTTAGTGTCTCGTGTCGCAAATACAATGACGCTGGTAGTGACGATTCTGTCTGTCTGACCAATCAGTGATCTGCAGTGTTTTGACGTCACATTTTAGTACCGGTACGGTACGCTTGGAACCTCAACAGATCAGGTACCATTTAAAGCGAGCCGAAGCGAGCCGTACCGTACCGTACCATGCAGTGGAAATGCGCCATAAGTGAGCCGTACCGAACCGAGCCGTACCGTACTATGCAGTGGAAAAGCGCCAAAGCGTGCCGTACCAAACCGAACCGTACCGTACTATGCAGTGGAAAAGCGCCAAAGCGTGCCGTACCGAACCGAACCGTACCGTACTATGCAGTGGAAAAGCGCCAAAGCGTGCCGTACCGAACCGAACCGTACCGTACTATGCAGTGGAAAAGCGCCATAACTGTAACAAGCCACTCACCTTATGGTGGTTGTGGTCCACCAGACCTCCAATCACATAGGCTTTGGCTTCATCCAGCTCTTCCAGCACATTGGGTGAATCAGACGTGAGGTAGACAAGGTCGTCCTTGCTTAGGATTTCATGAAACGCTTCAGGCTTGACATGGACATCCTACACCACATTTAAATTTCCATTTGTTAAAGGCGTCGCTTTCTATTATCCAACATTCATACATCAAATCTGCGCCTGTTGTGATTCGGTTTGTATTCCCACAGCATGAAGGTAAGATCTTACGGATTTATGAATGAGCTGCTCGTTTTAAAATCTTCCCGGTCTACTGACATTCGTTGCGATATCCGCTTCAAACATTACAATGCTCATGATCACTTTCGTTAACTCTACACTTAAAGGAGAACTCCGGTGCAAAATGAACCTTTGGTCTAATTACACATTGTTACCTAGTCAACCGTTATCTGAGATTTGTTTTCATGATTATTGAATGTGAATAGTTTTATCTCTAAAAACAGTTTACCCTATAAAGCTAGTATAACGCTAGTATATGGGGCATAGAGTAATGACAAATAAAAATCGCTTGTTAATACCACTAACAAGGCTCAAAATAGCCCCACACTAACACGGTAGCATAATGAGGGTCCCTACCTTCAAACCGAAGCATTGAGAACTTTGTCAGTGTCCAGACAGTTTAATAAGAAGATATTTTATACATACAGTCAACTTCGCGTATACAGGCAGAAGCCATCTTTGATGGCATCTTTGATGAAGTTGTGATAAGGTGAGCGCGAACAGTAGGCTTGGATCGGCGTTCGTAGATCGACTGGTAAAGGCTGTTTTTCAAAGATGGCTTCTGCCTGTATACGCAAAGTTGACTGTATGTATAAAATACCTTCTTATTAAACTGTCTGGACTCTGACAAAGTTCTCAATGCTTCGGTTTGAAGGTAGGGACCCTCATAATGCTACCGTTTTAGTGTGGGGCTATTTTGAGCCTTGTTAGTGGTATTAACAAGCGATTTTTATTTGTCATTACTCTATGCCCTATATACTAGCGTTATACTAGCTTTATAGGCTAAACTGTTTTTAGAGATAAAACTATTCACATTCGATAATCATGAAAACAAATCTCAGATAACGGTTGACTAGGTAACAATGTGTAATTAGACCAAAGGTTCATTTTGCGCCGGCGTTCTCCTTTAAGTAAATCCGCTTCACCAGCTAATTACTCTTTGACAGCGATGACAGAAATATACAGAGCGATCGCAAAAACTGAAGTTCAAAGACAAAATTCGAAAGATGGCCGTGCTTTTGTTTCTCTGACGCATAAGGTCTATGGCTAATCCCCTTTCAGGCAAAATTCGCATTGAAAATCATGATTTGTGCACAGTTAATGCGTTTTCTTGTGTGGGTGACAGGTGGGTTTAAAAATATACAAAAGACTGTCAACACAAGAACTCTTCTGACCACAGAAGAGTTTTGAGCATTTGAAAAAGCCCTATTCGTGTGAGACTAGTTTTCATGAAGGATGTTAGAGAAAATCGTGTTTCACAGGTGTACTTTGTGATTTTAATCCAGTCCGATGTGCCATGTCTGTGTTTTTCTCACACAACCTCAATAAAAATTCCGGGTTAAAATCACCGACAAACTCAACGGTCCTCTGAGAAATCTAACCCCGTCCGAATGCAAACTGTTATTTGCTGATGTTGTATTATCATAAAGCTTCTCCTCATGTGTTTTTTGTCCAACCTGAGCTATTGTTTGCACAACAATCTTTCGCATTCTTTCATTTAATTTCAATGATATTGGTATCTGATGAAAAAATTAAATAATAAAATAAACAAATAGAGCCCAATCGTGGAAACTGTGAAGATATTTTAATATCAGTGTCAGGTAAGTTACCTGTCTAGATGACTATGCTCACTTTTGTGGGTTTATTATAAACGTCCACTTCTATATACTCATGTGAAGTTTATTTAAATAGGGTTTTTAATCATAAATCAAAGTTATATCAATAAGTAATTAAAGACATATACGTCATATGTGATGCACGCAAGCACAGCGGATGAGCTTCTGTAACGCCCACGTCTAGAAAACACACAGATGTTAGTCCCATCTGAATCGTACACGACAAGACAAGAATTGTAATCAAACATCATTTAGAAAACTAGCCCTCTCTGAATAGGGCTTTACAGTATAAGGCTATTATAAATCCTGAATCTTGAAAACGCCTGTTGCAGCAGGTATGTATTTTGTAAACACAAGCCAAAAAGGTTTATATTATTTGTTTATATAAAAAAATTTATTTAAATTGTATTTATTTTCAAATGTTTATTATATTGCTAAGACGTCTGCAGCAAACATGAGTTTTGCAACAGCAAATAACATTTACTGTCAGATGACTTTACAAAAGTGTGTAATATTTATTATAAGTAGTGTCATTTCTCATCTTACCTTCCAGTTGACCCAGCCTTTGTTAATTTCATCCATGATTTGCTTCAACTGACCACCATGACTTGTAAGGTAAAACTGTGAATATGAAAAGGCTGTTGAATTTAAAGATCACATTTACTAATATATATATATATATATATATATATATATATATATATATATATATATATATATACAGTATATAGTGTATTTATGAAGGAAACATGCCTGTACAGGATGGAGGGTGCGTCTGTTCTCAGCATAGCACCTCTGAATCTGCTTGTGAAGTTTCTTTACATCCTACACAATAGGAAATAAATTAAATTTGGTTCTTTAAAGTACCTTTCAACAAGACTTTTTGTAGTGCAGCAGCTAGATAGCATTATGAAAGTAAGCAAAGGAAGTTGTAAGATACTCCAGATGTTGCTTACCTTGAGCAGCATGAGGTTATCAAAGCTGCAGTCTATGACCAGTCTGAGAGAGCTGGGCTCTGCCGACCTGCGCAAACGCTTCTTCCCCGTCCACTCCACCCCGTCGTCAGCCTGCGCTTGTCTCTCCAGCTTCCTCTGCTGTTTTCTCTCTTTCCGCTTCTGTCTGTACATTAATATAAAGATACATAGTGTTTAATGATTAAGCTTTGCAGCTAGTAGATACGTTACACTGAACTATTGAAACCAATAATTGTTTTATTTCGAAAGCATATTGTTTTTACTGATGTGAAACATACCCTAAATTATAGCTTGACCACGTATTAGTAGAGCAAACAGTTTTGTCTTGTTTCATCATTTTGAATGGTTACTTGCATAAAAACGTTTTTTAGAAATATAATATAACATATAATACTAATACCAACTGAACTAAAAGTACTATTTCACAAACACTAAAATGGAAATCAATTAAAATTATTCCTCATTCAGAATATGAATAAAAACTGTAAGTGTACATAAATAATACTAAAAAAACACTGCTTACTTGCGAAGTTCTCTCTGTTCTTCCCATTGTTGACTCTTGAGAAGTTTCTTCCTTTGTCTTTTAGACAGTGCTTCAGTTTCTCCAGTCTGTACGGTCTCATTTTCATCCTTTGTAGATTCGTTTTCATTGTTAGCACATTCATGGCTCCTCTCCTGCACTGCAGGTGCATTGGCCATATCGGTGGCCATTTAATCTGAAAATCCTGGAGTAGCAAAAAATGTTGAGTGATTTTTTTTTTTTTTTTTTTTATACAACAGATATGGAAATCTCCAATAGAAAGGTGTAAAAATGACAGAACAATCAATTAAAAATGCATAAGGATGTAGTTGAAAAAAGAAAAATGTCAAATATGTTGCATAAACACTTTCTGGAGCCTTATGTATGCATATTTTACTAGGATAATAAGATGTTTTAAGAGAATGGTTCAATGACTTGAAAGGGCCACTGGTCGAAACCCTGAGCGAATCTTTTAAATGAACTGATTCAAAATATTCGAGTCACTGAGATGATTCGGCATCCCGAGCAGTACTCAAACAAATAATAAATAGCCTACATACACACACCGATGTAACAAAATTGTGGTAAAATTTTGACACAATTGTGGTTACCGTATCCGCGTTTAACCGCGACTATGATGCCTAGAAAAGCTTTCAAACAAAGACGGGAACTTACAACCTTTATGTCACTTTTGTCTGTGGTATCATGAGCTCAGACAGTTATTTTATTGTATAAAGGTAGCCACTGACTTCCATATTATTTGGCATGCAATACATGTTAACTTAAGATATCTACGTTACAATACATGTTAACTTAAGATATCTACGTCTTACGATACAGGTTAACTTAAGATATCTACGTTACAATACATGTTAACTTAAGATATCTACGTCTTACGATACAGGTTAACTTAAGATATCTAACATCAGATGTATTCAGAGTCTGTATGTCAACATGATGCAAAACATCAGGGGGACCATAAAACAAGCATGCCGACATACCTTATAAAACGGCCCATATAATAGTGTTAATTTACATAAAATAGCAGAATTACAGGTATAAAAGAGAAAACTACCTCTAAACTGCTGTCTTTGCAGTAGGGCTGTCATCATGTGCTGTATGTTGCGTCATTTTAAAGCGACTCGCTCAGCGTGGGAACGTCAACAGTTCGCCATGTTGGTGAGGGCAAGTGAAGACATTCAGGCATGAGAAATCGACTGTGTGAGCCTAGGTTGATAACATCTGTAGTGAGTTGTTTACATGTGTATTAACCTTTGTATATGCTTAATAATTGTTTTTTAAAACTCCACGTTTTTCTGGATGTGTAAGAATGGTCTTGAATCTGCCATGAGTCATCATAAATTGTATATTCTATATACTTAAACTAGCAAGTTTAACATTGAGATATGCATACCCGTAATTCCTCAAATAAAGACCGGTATTCAAATAAACGCCGGGCCTCTGATAGTGGCCGGGGGCGTGGTCAATGCGGACAAATAAAGGCCGGTCTCAAATTAAGGCCGGGGAAAAAATAGTGTGAATAGGTACACTTTAAATGAATGTACACTCAAAGACGGACGCGCTCAGCGCTTGTCATATATCACAACTATTAAGTGTTTTTAACCACATGTTTATTTTAGGTTTCAGACATTTAAATAGATATGATTTATAGCAAAACAATAAATTTATAGTTTGTAAAATACACAATGGTGTCTATGGAAGCAGCAATAACAATCCTTTCAAATATATTTGGCGACGTGTTTTATTCATATCAGATACACAGTGTAAGTAACTATAAAGTTTACTCTATTCTTCTCCCAGTTCACCGGCCACTTACTTTCATGTATTTCGGGAGAAACTGAAGAATTCACGCGCTGTAACTTAACAAATAAAACAGGAATCTCCGAACTGCGGTGCCCATCTCACGTTACAGATCAAGATCATTTATAAAGGGTTTTAAACGACAAAACAAACTCACTTACACGGATTTGAGAGTCAGAATAGAAGATAGTTGATGACATGGTAAGCAAGTTTGTTAATATTTAGAAATAAAAGCGCTACATCTGTCATATAGCGCTATTTTGGCTGTGGTGAACACGTGCCAAGCATGACGCGTCACCATGGAAACTTGGCTGGCGGGCGGGCGGGGATCGCGAATTAGAAATAAAGGCCTGCCTCTAATAAAAGCCTGCTTCAAATAAAAGCCGGCTACCATCTGCAGTTCAGGTAAATAAAGGCCCCGGCCTTTATTTGAGGAATTACGGTATATATTGTTAAACTATGAGCCTATACATTTTCAAAAGCAAATGCTTATAGTACTAAAAATCTCTCCGTTACAATTTTAAGAATTATTACAAAAACAGGGTTGGTGTTGAAACCATAACAATAGTTGTTTATAATGCAAATATTGTTTTCTATTTTGTTATTTACTTAAACACTATATATGATGTATGTCTGACAGTATGGCAGGCAAAATATCGGCCTCCCAACATATAATGTAACACCATATTATGTTTCATGCACAGGTGGTCTACTGAAATATTCTGCCATGCACATTACATGGTAACAGTGCTTTTAATGTAGCACTGGCAGGAAAAAAAGGCACACAAAACTAACCGTGAACTTTGCCTGGACATACATTCTCAGAACATTGACAAACGTTCTCTCGAAATATGAGCAAATGTTCTTCCAGTAACGTTAATAAAATGTTTCGTTCATATCTGGTCTTTGATAATGTTCGTCAGCACAAAAAAGTTATTTACACATCATTCATGGAAATGCATTCAGAAGTTCAGTGAATTAAAATGATAAAACTGTTTGTCTTGATTCAGAGCTCATGTCACCCGAGTAGAGTTACAGCTAATATGGAAGTTTACATTCCCATTGCTGTATAGTAATGTGTGACAGACTTTTAACTACCAGACTATCACCTTTCACATTAGCACATTGTAACACATATTAGCATATGGATTTGTTGCTTCCTATATTCATTCTCCCGATATAGGCACTTTACAGAGGATTACAAATAGATTGCTGTCAATGAGCTTAACGTGGAGCTCTTAATATGGTAAAAATACTTTGTACAGCTGGTTTGCTGGACTCATTCTTTAAATGCCATTGTAATAACAACTGATATGGGGTCTAGAATAAACAACTCCCATCTTCAGCACACTGTAAAAAATTATATGGTCAATAAGTTATGACAACAAATGTTTTTACATTGCTTTAACTAAAATTTCACCTTCAAAAAAAAGTTATACAAGATTCAACTATTTGTTTGTAATTTAAGCTAAAATGACTTAAACATCCAAGTTGATTTAACTTAATGTAATTTTTTTGGTACAGTGCACTCATTGGAACATTTAGCAAATTACTTACTCCTACTTTAATTTAAAAATGTAGTTATGTCTTTGGAAAAGTGCATGTTTATTGGACAAGTAGGAAAAGGAAACAAAGAAAAGGAAACAACCACAACAACAAAATGCTGATTTCAAGTAGAATTTTTATTTTTCCTGTAACTTCAAACCAGAGAACATTTCACCCTTTTTGCATCTCTTTGTTTTGAATCTCAGTCTTTATTCTTTCTAAGACGCTATAATGCGTATTCTCATCCAATACGTACGTCGCCCGTCCATCTTCACACATACTTCTAACCATTGTAACATAACTTTGTCCTCATGTCAGTCTCATCATTTATCAAGTGTAGCTCGTAAAACAGTGATTGCTTATGATTAAACAATGGCATTACAGGAACATTCAATGTCATCTTATGACATCAAGTGACTTCTTATTACAAACAAAACCAACATATAGCACATACCAAACAGAAACATTTTCACATATTTACCTTGTTGTCTTATGCATTTCACATATTTATTCTTTTTTTATTATTTAAAAAAAACAAAAACCTTTAAGTAAACTTTTCACTGAATTTAAACACGCCGAAATGATATTCTCATTAATTTGATGACAACGCCACACCAAACTTTGACAAAGGCAGCTTAACGGACTGGCCAGCAGCTCCAACAGCTGAAATAATGAATGAATTCACAAGAATACTAAAACAAGAGTTATTAAAAACTTGCCATGTGCATTAAAAAAAGCAAAACAAAAACAATATAACAGAGGATCTAAATGTAAGGCCTCTGTTATTAAAAGGTTCAGAATAATGTCAGTTATAAAGAATGTTAATTTTGTCAGCTCATCTTAAAAACGTGAAAAAGCGAATAAAACCCATTATAATAAGTGGTGCTGTCTACACTGGATGGTAAACTGATGCCCCGCCCCGTTCTATTTCTGACGTACTTAAATTTGATTCGAAGGACAAATGGATTCGCAACACTCGCTTTGTCGCATCCAGTGTGGACAGCTTCTTCATACATATATAAATACATATATGCCATAATCAGTGGCATCTACCTTCATAATCAGTTACTAGCCAGCACTGTGTATTGATTACTCTTTTCAAAATTAAGGTTCAGTCAAATTTTCTAAACGTTGTCTAAAGCTACATCATGTAAACTGTGTTTTGTATAACAGTTTCTGTATTCAAAATACAAGAAATCCCTTCTAAAATCTTTCATTTCTTCACCTGAAATCAATTCACCTGACCTTGATCCATTATCACTGCAGCCAAAAGCAATGAAACTGCAATACCAAATCAAAATGACTTGGTAAACACATTCTCTCACACACTCATGCTATACTGGTACTGTGAGTAATAGAGGAAATACCATCCCCTAAAACACTCCTTCACCACATCGCCACACATTTGTGTGTGTTTAATGGTGGTCTATTCAATACCAGAAGAAAAAACAACAGCAGTAAAAAAAATTTTTTTTTTTAAATCACAAAAATATACAATATAAAATGTATAATGTAATTTGTTAAGCTCACTGAACACCTCTCAAGGAAGAGTGTTGAGAATCAAGGTCAGGAGAAGAACTTCAGTCAAGGAAAGATGGAAACCAGGAGAAATTTGGTGTGTGTTTTATATAGAGAACCTGTTAATAGCCTTACCATGTATCAATTTAAGTTCCTATTTATATGGTTGATATAATGGATTATATACAGATTGTGCACAAACTTGGCCTATTTTTACATTTAGATTGCATAGTTCACTGAAAAACACTAATAATTTATTAATACTGTAAAATGTAATCTTTAGTAAATCTTAACATGAATATCGATTTTTCGTGCTGTTACATTATGATGCCAAAATTGACTTGTAACATTTAAAATATTAGGTTTTATTTTGCAGTAATTTTTTTAGACAAAAAATAGTTGCCTATAGTAGAGTTCTAATATTGGTCGTTAGCAACCATGCAAAAATTCTTGCCAGAATTTTTATATAATTACATCCTTAGCAGTCATAATTTAAAAGGCTATAGGTAACACTTTAATTAAAACCTTTATGTATTGTAATAATGTACATTTTCATAAATAATTGTAACAGAAACACTTTACAATAAGGTTCCATTTGTTAACATTAGTTACTTACAGCATTTAATAATCTTAGTTAATGTTAATATCTAATGCAGCAAAGGTTGTATCTGTTTATATATGATTTAATGTATCTGAGCTACACTGTAAAAAATTGAAAAGAGTATTTTTACAATAAATTACTGTAGTCCGAAATTTACAGTGAAATTAATGCATGCTGGGCCATTTTTTTCCCACGAATTACTGTTAATCAACAGCAAAATGCATTGCATACAATGCCTTAAAAACAAATTATATATATAGATATACACAGTATATAAAGGCTTTAAGTAAAGTGTTACCAAGTTCTCTTTAACTTATTTAACTGACATCATTCCGAGGGTGCTTAAAGAGATATTTTAGAATAACGTATACAGTAAATGCACATGAATTCAACTACCCCTTGAAGAAAAAAAATCCAATGCAGAAAAATCCATCCACTTTCATAAAGATTTGACAAGCAGACAGAAAAAATGTTATAACGCAAGAACGAAGCAAGTGGGATAATCGCCATGATCAAGCAGGCCACAGATAATAATGGGAGAATTTCATGATGAAGGAGATTCCAAAATACAGTGAATAAATTCAGCAAAAAACAGAACAGACAAGGTGCTGTCACGTGGCTCCTGTGTGAAACAAAACAAGAATAATATTAAAAACTTTAATATTCTTCTGTCAGCCTACAGGTTAGTTATGTAAGTGTTATTTAGTGTCTTTAAAACCATCCGCTGCTTGCTAATAGGATTATTGCTCATGAAAATATGGCAGTTCAGGCGTCTTACATTACTCCCCTGCGCGGGCCGATCGCACGCTGGCTGATTTGTTTGTATAATATCCCTCAGCCAAAGCTTCTGGCCCGCCTCTGGGTCTTTCCCTTTAACATAAGGCCGTCCTATAAAAAGGTGACCTGCCTGCGCCCCAGGAATCTCAGGACTGATATTGAGATTGATATCCAGCAGCAGCTGGCACAACACTGTATCAGCACAAACACATGCCTCAAACTGGCTGACCTTTCTCTCCTCCCACCGCTATGCTAACAATGCCACGCCTCTTCCCTTCTGCCCGCGGGACGCCACGCCACGCTCTTTATAGGGCTCGTCTTATCACCGTCCATACCATACACACATGGTAGCTCTTGAGGAAATAGAACAGTAGTCATGTATTTTTACGGCGGTGCTATTTTATGACTTGAGCGGGAGGTGTTAAGATAAAATCATTTTTATTTATACCCATATAAACAAAATAGTGTAGGTCACACATGGAATTAATGTAAGGCATCTAACTTCTACGTTGAACTCATTTATGCAGCGGTGGACAGTGAATTAGCTTTACTTCGTTACTGTAATTACTCAACAGTGCCTTTTTTAAGTATCAGAGTGTATTTATTTTGGGAAACTTTTACTTTTACTTCTTCACTACATTCATAATTTCACACTTTTTACTCCATTTCATAAAAACTGGGGAAATCGCCACCTGTAACCCAAACCGAGACGCAATATAGCGATGTCGGATTCGTGAACGAGCTGATTCTTTCCAATTAACCTATTGAGTTGGTTCACAAATTACACGGGACAATTCATTCACGAATCGGACTGTTCTTGAGTAAGCAACTCACTGATCCACTCAAAATGTCGTCGTAGCTTGAACAGCGTGAAAAGTAAGTTGCTAATGCCGAATTTGTAAATGAAAGTCATGACTGTAAGTTTTTCGTGAACTAAATCTTTCAAAGTTTCTCGGGGAAAGCAAAACATTTGCAAGAGAATGCAAAAGCATTGACTTATTTTTCCTCTCATTTCATTTTTTTTTTCTTTCTTCACCAAATTCCGTTATAAAGATAATTGTGTGATATAAAATCGCAATTGTGAGAAAAAAAGTCAGAATTGTGTGATATAAAGTCGCAATTGAGTGTTATAAAGTCAGAATTGCGTGAAATAAACTTGCAATTGTGTTATAAAGACAGAATTGGGTGATAAACTCGCAATTGCATGTTATAAAGTCAGAATTGCAAGATAAAAAGTCGCAATTGCGTTATAAAGTCAGAATTGCGAGATAAAAAGTCGCAATTGCGTTATAAAGACAGAAATTGGGTGATAAACTCACAATTGCATGTTATAAAGTCAGAATTGGGTGTTATAAAGTCGCAAATTCCGTTATAAAGATAATTGTGTGATATAAAGTCGCAGTTGCGAGAAAAAAAGTCAGAATTGCGTGATATAAAGTCGCAATTGAGTGTTATAAAGTCAGAATTGCGTGATATAAACTTGCAATTGTGTTATAAAGACAGAATTGGGTGATAAACTCGCAATTGCATGTTATAAAGTCAGAATTGCGAGATAAAAAGTCGCAATTGCGTTATAAAGCCAGAATTGCGAGATAAAAAGTCGCAATTGCGTTATAAAGACAGAAATTGGGTGATAAACTCGCAATTGCATGTTATAAAGTCAGAATTGGGTGTTATAAAGTCGCAAATTCCGTTATAAAGATAATTGTGTGATATAAAGTCGCAGTTGCGAGAAAAAAAGTCAGAATTGCGTGATATAAAGTCGCAATTGAGTGTTATAAAGTCAGAATTGCGTGATATAAACTTGCAATTGTGTTATAAAGACAGAATTGGGTGATAAACTCGCAATTGCATGTTATAAAGTCAGAATTGCGAGATAAAAAGTCGCAATTGCGTTATAAAGCCAGAATTGCGAGATAAAAAGTCGCAATTGCGTTATAAAGACAGAAATTGGGTGATAAACTCGCAATTGCATGTTATAAAGTCAGAATTGGGTGTTATAAAGTCGCAAATTCCGTTATAAAGATAATTGTGTGATATAAAGTCGCAGTTGCGAGAAAAAAAGTCAGAATTGTGTGATATAAAGTCGCAATTGAGTGTTATAAAGTCAGAATTGCGTGATATAAACTTGCAATTGTGTTATAAAGACAGAATTGGGTGATAAACTCGCAATTGCATGTTATAAAGTCAGAATTGCGAGATTAAAAGTCACAATTGCGTTATAAAGCCAGAATTGCAAGATAAAAAGTCGCAATTGCGTTATAAAGTCAGAATTGGGTGATATAAAGTGAGAATTGTGAGATATAAACTCGCAAAACTCGAAATTTTGCGAGTGAACGCAAAGTTTCTTGGGGGGAAATGCTAAACTTTTCGAGAGAAGCATTGAAATCTTTTTCTCTCCCGTCTCCTTTTTTCACTTCACCACATCCCTATAAAGGCTCTGTTATGGAAGCTTGTTTCCGGCACAGAATAAAACATAAATAAGATAATTACGACTTCACAATTCTGACTTTTTTTCTCACAATTGCGAGTTTATATCTCACAATTCTCACTTTATATCACCCAATTCTGACTTTATAATGCAATTGCGACTTTTTATCTCGCAATTCTCACTTTATAACACTCAATTGCGACTTTATATCAACCAATTATCTTTATAACGGAATTTGCGACTTTATATCAATACCAAAGTTGTGTGTTCGATTATAGCACACACACTGATAAGACGTTTATACCTTGGATCCACTGCAAGTCTGTAAACCTTCACTGTTAGTTTGGATAGAAGCATCTTAAAAATGCATAAATGTAAATGCAAACCCAGCACTCTAAAAGAACAGGTGGCTTCCGGCTTCCAATGGTTATAAATAACTCATAAACAACCAAAAAAAGACACATTTTCTTCATAATCAGAGCCTCGATTTCTTTCAAGATGGTCATGGGGAGGAAATTCTTACATATTAATTGTTTTATGACTGCTTAAGTTAGGTAATAAGTAAATAAGTTAAGTCAAATGAATTAACATAATGGCAATGATATGTCTACAGGTCTGATCCAAAACTTATTTAGGGCATATATATATATATATATATATATATATAAATTGTTCTTTAGCTTATGAGCATCTAAAAGGAATCGTTCACCCAAAAAATACAGTTCTGTCATCATTTACTCACCGCCATGTTGTTCCAAACTTGCATGACACTTTTTTTATTCTGCAGAACAGAAAAAAAGACTTTTTTTTTTAAACTCTTGTTTTTCTGTCCATTAAGTCAATGGGGTCCAATGTTGTTTTGACAAAAACAGTTCTTTAAAGCAATGACATTCCTAGCAGTATGTATATAAGCTGCCAGCAAAAGCAACGTCATTTTTCATTAAAAAAAATACTAAAGGCTGTCAAAGCTAAATTAGACAGTCTTGAGGCCAGAGCGAAAAGGGTGAAGTGAATCATGAAGTCATCATGACTTTCTTGCCGGAAGTGCAAAAAAGGAAGAAGATCATTTACTTTTAATTTGTATAGTTATTTATTTTACATTTTCTTCAATACAGGTTTCAACAATGTGAGTGAATAATGAAAAAAAATGTTTTTTTGGTGAACAGTCCCTTAAATGTATACCCATATAATTACCATCACTGATGTACAGTATATATTGTACTTGAATAATCCAAGCAGTCTTTAGACATTATTTATCTAAAATGATGTTCAAGAACTATTAAAGGTTTGAAAAGCTATTTAGCATTTTCAGCTCAAGTTAAATCTGAAAAAAAATTATTGAATCTTTTTTGTTTGTTTGTTTACATTGTTGTGTTAATCTATACAAATACTTCCTGAGCTTTTCAAACCTTAAATAACATCATTTCAGGTAGTGTATATACTACTATCTATGCTGTCAGACAGTGTCTGCTTGAATTATTTAAGTATATACTGTACATCTTAAATATCTAAGTATTAACTTACAAAATAGTATTCCACTATACTACAATGTCTTTGCACCTGAACTGTAACAAAACAATGCCAACATATCTCAGGTCTGCGCGATGGCGTGAAGAAATCAAACTGAAAATGTCTTCAAGATCTTGGCAAAGACATTGCCAATCTTGTATTTTATAAGATTATTTAGCATTTTCAGTTTAAGTCAAGTCACCTTTATTTATATCGCGCTTTTTACAATAGAGATTATTTCAAAGCAGCTTTACAGAGATAACAGGACAATAATGGAACAAAGTTTGTTTAGAAGTTTGTTTCTAGCCCTTACTATTATGAAAAACATTCAATGCATGCAAATACAATGAAGAAATAATGAGTTTGCACTTACGCTGCAGGTGAGCGGGACTTTACCGATGCTCCACCACGAAGCTCATGGTGGTGCCGTCGAAGGAGGGGGGAGCGATGATCCTCGGCCCTTGCTGGGAGGTGATGCTGATGACGGGCTGCTTGCTGGTGGTGGGAACATGTTGAGCCACATGGACTGTTTGTGACGACTTCCCCAATGGCATATAGTAAGGGCTCTCCATGTAAGCTCGTTCCTCCTGCTGTCCCATGTCCGGATGGGATTTATCCCCATCATCTGCTTCGGACTGCATGGAGAGCTGGGACTGAATAGTGCGTGCGGGGATCATCGTGGTTGGCATGTATCCCGGGTAAAACATGTAGGTATGGCCATAAGCTCCCGGGCCGAGGGCGAGAGGGGATATCGGAAGTGGGACGGGGGTCATGGGGGGCTGCTGTGGCATGGAGACGTCCACATACTGCCCGGTTTCCGGGTCAAACAGACGCCTGGTGGCCGGTTGCACCGGAGTGTCCACCAAGTAGTAGCTTCCAGTGGTGGGATCCAGCAGCATCTTTCTTTGGGTCGTGTGGAAGTGATCTGTCGGGACGGGGGAGGGTTGAACTGAAGGAGAGAAGCAAATGAGTTGAGGCTGAGCAGCTTGCATCGTGACAGGCATGGGTGTGTGGTAAATAGTGGCGGTAGGGGTATCCGAGGACCGTGTCTCCATGACAAACGATGAACGTTTTGGTGACGGATGGCTTCTGATGTCACTGTGAGCCAGGTAAGACGGCGGACTGGCCGTTTGGGTTTTACCTCCTCCGGGTGGGATTGCATAAACAGCGGATTTGCCCAGCCCGGCTGCGGACGTGGCGTGAGGCTTCACGGGTATGGTCAGGTAGCTCTCCGAATCTGCTGTGGAAGTGAACTGCAGAGGGGCGAACTCAGTCTCACTTCCGTTCGACCTCTCCCGCTCTTCTAGCACGCGCTTCGGATGAGATATCTTCAAGGAAATGGGTAGTTTTGGAGATTTGGGTGTCAAGGCCTTGAAGCTCAAAGATGCCGGTGATGCAACGTGTGTTTGTGGCGTCTTTGAGGTTACAGGCTTCTTTGTTATATCCTTACATGGCGTTCCTGTGAGCGCTTTAGGGCCGTTTCGCTCTTGAGTGGCCGATGATGACTTGTCGTCTTTTTTAGGGGGCGTCTCGATTAGGTTTGAGTTTGAATCTCGCCTTTGCAAACTAACCGCAGGGGAATAGCTTTCCAGTTCCTCTACAGTGTGTTTCTCGCCGGAGATGAGCGAGAGCACGTGGCTGTCTGTTATCGGCCGAGGTTCTTTTTTTCTCTTCCACTCATTCTTGTCAAAAACATACAGTTGCTCCATTGTTTTGACTGCAGCTTGCAATTTTTCCAAAGCGGCTTGGTTGGCCATCTTGGGTTCGGTTTTTTTCTCGCTGGCGTCGCTTGTTTTATCTTGCTTTCTTGTGCTCGTCTCAATCTTTAATCCGGTTGGGACCTCTTGTTTCGGCAGCCTGTTGGCTACAGCAACGTGAGGAGAGGACCTGTCAGCCTCAACTATATCCTCTGGAAATCGTCTCTTGGGGGGGTCTATTAAATCTCCGGATTGCTTTACATTGCTATTTGTATTCACAGACTGGCATTTAATCACTATGGGTGAAAGAGAGGCTGAGTTCAGATAAGGACTCTGCTTTAATGCCTTCTGCTCTCCATCAGAAGTCGAGTAGCTAGATTTGTTGTCGTTGTTGTCTAAAGACACAAAGTGATACGAGCTCTTAACCAATTTACGCACGTCTCTAACCTGGTGAATGGGGGTCTGTAGTTTGCCCTTGTTCTCTCTAATGTCTCTGACTATAAAGTGAGGCACTTTGTCAGAGGACTCACCCTTGAAAGCCGTGGCGAGCGCTTGGCATCTGGTGTCCTCAGCTGTCTTACAGCCCAAATTGGGAGTCAGCAGCTTGGCGATATTGAACGGGTCGCTTTTGTTGTCCCGTACACTCCGCAGACTTATTTTGATTTCGGGCGACTTCGATGTCACAGCGCTGCGCGTCGCGTCTGTCACATAAAGTGTGTTCGAGCGCCACTTTAAAGCTCCGCTTTCTCCTCGATTGCGCGTGGAATAACTCACTTTCGGCGGTGGTTTCCTAAGGTCCCTCTCCGAGGACGGAAGCTGTATGCTTGGCACAAATAAATGTGACATTTTAGTGGGCTTGCCGCTCGCCGAATCGACGCAGAAGTTGGTTTCCCCCGGACACTCGCGTAGCGGTTTCCCCTCAAGAGTTTTGACGTTTTTATGTTCCTTTTGAAACTCTAGCTCGCCGTCCCTCCACGATCTGAACGCGCTATTTTGGCTTCGAAGCAGCGTGCTTTTGGATGCTTCGAATGCTCCTTTTTTAGTATCATTCGCCGACTCTAAATTGGTTTCTGATGCACTCGTCAAAGTCTCCTCATTGCGCCCGTCGTCTTTGGCATCGCTTGAATTGCCGTCTACTATGTCGCCCAGATCGTCCACGCTGACGATCGTGAAGTCGGAATCGGCTTCTGAGAATTTCGAGCTTTGCCTTTGCAGCCCTTTGGAATTTTTCTTGGCCGCTTTCTCGTGCTCGTGCATCGCGAAGCACGGAGAGGGTGCGTGGTGCGCCTCGCATATCTCGCCCCTCTCCATTTTGCGCTCTTGCTCGAACTGCATTTTCTTAGAAATTACATTTTTGAGGAGACTCGAAGCGAATACGGATTTCTTGTGTGTGTCTTCCATGGTTTCACCTGCATTGCAGGATCGCTTGCTTGCCTCGCTCCCTTGGGCGCTTGGCAAGGTGTGTGTAACTTCATCTGTGGAACGTGATCCTCCAGCGCTTTCGTTTACAGACTGGCCGGATTTGACATTGCATCGAAAATTGAGCGTTTCGGTCAGTCTTATGAGGCCACTTTGCCCCTGTGAGAACTTCCCCATGAGCTCAATCTTTTTAGTGGTGGACGATGCGTTTTTGTGGCCGACTAAATTGCCGTTCAGAGCAAATATCTCGACGGGGGGCGCTCGCATGCTGGTCAGCGTCAAGCCTGTTATCCCCTTACCGTCTCTCTTTTTGGCGAAATGGAATTTGGGTGTGGAGCCCTTATGCGGGACCAAGTTTTGATCTCGCCCCTTGCCATACTTTAGGTCAACAAACGTCGACCAGCTGTTTATTCCTAGCCCATGCTCTGAAGCAGAAGACTCACTTGAGGTGCTAAAGTTGATGGCATTGAAATATGGATACGCCAAACTTTTGAACGCCCTGGCAGTGAGATTGCGCACTTCCTTATCGGCGTCATCCAGCTCGCTCACCGCGCTGGACGCACCGCTGGAATACTCGTTCACATCTTTGCTTTTCAATTTGCTGCCAAAGTGCAAGCGCCCTGGCACAGCAATGAAACACTTTGCGTTATCACACGCTTTGTCGCCCTTTGCATCCACTCCTCTCAAAACATAGCGACTTTTGTCTTTTTCGTGATCTTGGATGTTGCGTAGCTCATTTACAGCGCGGGAAGTGGCTTTGATTGATAGGTGAATCTGCCCTGTCGTATTTTGCTTTTTTGACAGGCCCTCATCTGAGCTGGCACATTTGTCCGCGTCACAGAGATTGCTTTCAGGCTCACTGCTGACCACTGCTCCGCTCGTATTAGCCTGATTGCTTTTCACACACGCTTCTTTTGCCCCCATCGTTTCATCACTGTCAAAAGAGGCATAATCGACAAACGAGTAGACCTGGAGATCGTCCTCGAGTTCCCAGCTTGATCCCGTCTCAAAGTCGTAATCCACATCATGGTCCAACTCCAAAAGCTCTATTTCGTGGGTTGTGATATAGTGGGACTCGTCTTCGCGCGTGTCGTGATCCGAAAGCACCACAGTGACCTCATCGTCCGATTCACTTTTGCTGCTCAGATAAACTTCATTGTATTGTTCATTGTTATCGTTTCCTATGCTCTGCGTCTCCAAATTTGGTGATTTAGGCTTTTGCTCCGTCTTTTCGATACAGTCCGTCTTATCAGCTTGAGGTGTTTCCGAAGTTGCTGTTTCAAAAGAGTTCGACTTCTCCCCGCATTCCTCCAGTGCGCATTTATTTTGAGTAGATTCGCGTATTTTTCCAGTGGGAGGTTCATGCTCTCCTTTTGAATCGCTCATGCCACTAATACTTTTAATTATTTCCAGTGGACTCGAGTCTCCAGTAAATGTTACTTTCACTGTTTTGGTATCATCCAGTTTAAGTTCCAGCAGGTCGTTCAGATCCACATAATTTGACTCTTCTTGTGCGCTTATCAGGCGCATGTCCCGTTTGTAAAGCAAGTTCTTATACGAATCGGTGTCTTCCCGGTAAATGAGCGTTTTCTCCGAAGCTGCCATAGGCTTTATTGGTGATGAAGCCGTAGTTTTCTTTTAGGAGAGACACCAGTCCCCAGGAATCCCCACTGCACTGCCCGTTGTCCAATCCTAGTGGAGTTGTGGCTCTGCTCTGCCTTCCTCGCCCACAGTGGAGAGCGTGGCACTCGAGAACGTCATTTCAGACGCGCGCCAGACGTTCACGCGACCTCCTTTCAGTGAGAGAAACGACACTACTCACCCTGCTGTACTTTCTCCTAGAATATGTCATATGCATATTCCCGTAATAATGCTATGGGAGGCGTTTACCCGACGACAAACGGAGACTGACTTCCATGACACAGCCTGTTGTGTTGCGCGCTGTCACTTAAAATGCGTATGCCTGCAAATTTAGAGCTGATGACGAAATGCGAAATCGGCTATTTTAGAACGAGGATGTTATGTTCAGCGTGTTTTGTTACATACTGCAGACAAGGCTGACTCCCCCCCCGACACAACATTTGTGCTAAAAATGAATCCTCCTTAAGCTTCTCGCTCAACAATGCGCGCTTTTGACGTGTCGCCGCCTTAACCCAACAATATGTCACAGCCATATAATCACTCTCCGTCATGTGATGGAAAGGTTGACGCTCTAAATGGAGTTATAGCATGACGAATATGAGAAGGATTCAGTCAGTGATGAGGCAATGGCTAATGCAGTTGAATAGAGTGCGCTGCCAAAGTAAATAGTGGAAGAGTTGGTAAAGAGTTGGTAGTTAGGTTACATTTAGTTATAGTCGTCTCTAACTTCTTATAAAACAATCTCGTTTTTCCAAAATTAGACTATTCCCTGGAAAGTCTCGTTTTAATGCTTAAAACGTGCGTTTTGGAGCAAGGTCAGCACCACAGCGGTGGACAGCGCCTTTGCAGTAGACAATACGTCATTTGTTCATTCCTCGGAAGCAGGATGCACTCTTAACGTAAAATTTACTTTTCAGATTTTATTTGGATTTTTTTTACATTTAAATAAACAATAATGTGATGTTTAACATATTTATTTTCTCTGTTTGCACGAACTTGTCAATTAAATAAAGTGAATCAGAAAAAAATGAGTTGTATCTGTACATTGCGCACGAGGGGTCGTGGCCTCGCATGAATATTTAATTAAGTAGGCATGGGCAACTAATAAGGACTTATATGTACTGTAAATAGCTGTTAGGGGTTAGAGGCCAAAAGTGTTTACATTTCTTTAGCATGACATGCTGCTTTGTGTAAAATTATGCCTATTTTATTTAAAGTCAGTGTTTGAATTCACACAGAGAATTTATATCTAACTTATTAAGAAGCTATTAGAGTATAATAACTTATTTGCATGCATCTTTCCCACGTTTACATCTTTAATGCTAGTATCTGAGCAAAGGTTTTACAATAAAAGCATATTTTGAGTATGTATAGGCTATATATAATAGTTGTATGTTTGTGTAAAACAATGTCGTGTGCTGCAAACAATAAAATTAGTTGAATTTAAAAAAAAAATTTATTTCAACTTATTTTATTTTATTGAACTAAGGCAGGCAAAACAGGAACAGAACAAAGTGAAAATGAAAACAAACCTGAGCTTAACTGTTACAATTAGGCCTACCTTAAGTTTAAATGAATGTACATACCATAAATTTATGTTACTCCATTTTAAGGATTTAAGGATTTTTTTGCTTTGTTTGTGCAGTACATACGCCTGCAGGAGACCTGTAAAGACTTGCAAATGTTTTAGACTGGTATATCATGTTGCATTCCTTCAGCAACTGTAGGCTGAATGAGAAGACCACCATAAAGACAGACTGAGTCTAAGATCTGACCCAGTTTAAAGCACTAAAGATCCTTCATTACCAATTCAGAACCAGCCGCCAACATGTGATATTGTATTAAGCTGTTATGAAGGAATATTTGAGTTATTGTTATTATATATTTCACACATTCTATACCATTTTCCATGTTGTGTTTGTTACATGAGAATAAACAGGCACACACACTCTAAAAAATGCTGGGTTGTTTCAACCCAAATTTGGGTCAAATATGGACAAACCCAAATGTTAGGTTTAAAAATGTAATAAAAAAATTTAAAGTTGAAAGTGAAAGTTGAAGTTGGGTTAAAATTTAAAAGTTAATTTTTAACCCAACATTTGGGTTTGTCCATATTTGACCCAAATTTGGGTTGAAACAACCCAGCATTTTTTATGCACACACACACACACACACACACTCACACAAACGCACACATGTGTACACCAGGCTGCCACAAACAGGGTAAATTTAGTGTGCTATTTAAATGGCTCCTGTCTGCTCAAGTGTGTTCAGATACAGTTACATTCAGTGGCTGTATTAATCCACCAGGTGTTAAATCATGTCATCTATTAATCATCAAATGGCAGTTCACACAGTTCAGAGCTGATTAGTTAGACACACCCGAATACAGCTCATATTCACAGCCAATTTTTCTTGGTTAATATACAGTATAAGTGAACTGTTATGATTGGATTGCAGTGCTGCAGTGTCTTAATCAAGTGCTTCTTCATGATCCGTCCGGACACTCCTTTAATGTGTTTCTGAAAACATACAATACAATTGTACTTGTTTTAAAGCTGTCAGCTCTTAATGTTGGTATAAGACATCTTGTTTATTCCAGCAAGTGACTGAGTTCACAGCAGCAGTGTTAAGGGTTTATCAGGAGGGGTGAGATCTTAGATCAGTATTTCACTGATAACTCTGAGTGTTTGACCATCTGTACCAAGTCATTCATCATTCACCCGTATAGTCTTGGTCAGAGCAGGGGCTTTCCAGCATGTCAATGATAGTGAGAATTAGTGTTCAAGGTAACTAAAGGCCTCTATGGTATGAATTATCATTAGCCTTTCATGCATCCCTTGTAAGAATCTTTAAAAAAAAATTATACTTAAAAAAAGTTTTTTTTTTTTTTTACCCAACCATTGGGTTACGCATTTGGACCAAATGCTTTTAACCCAATACATTGGGTTAAAATAACCCACAGTTGGGAAGGTGCTATACCACCCCATAGTTGGGTTACTCGCAACATTATTAAGTGAGTGGTAACTTAATCTGGTTTATCCATGTTTGAACCACATATTTAAGTCAATTATTCACTCATTCATAATAATATCACTTGCAACCAATCAATGAATCATTCAATCAATAAACAAACAAATAGTATGTTGTTTCTCCACGGGAACCAAAGTCTAATGTTTGTAGTTGACTAGCAAATGATTGGATTTATTAGGAGTGGTCAGCAGTCGCCCTAACGACTCAGTTTAAATTTGGCCCATCTATTGCCCCGTCTGTCAGTGGTCCCTTACTCCCTTTCATAACTATGCAAGTTTTACGCAGTCGGCTCATGGCACATTAGCCTTCCTGCCAGAATGCAGCGGTTGTCTGGAGAACTATATTAAGTCCGGCTTGCAACTGAGACTTTGTTTGCACAGAAACTCTATTCTATGAGGATCCGCATGGAGAAAATGCTTTCTGCCACTGAAAGTGTCTGCGATAGTAAAGTCAACGGTCTAGTTTTCAGTGTCACATTTCACAACTTTTTAGTAGCTGAGAGACGGGGCGCCCGCTGTCCGAATACCTGGAGGTCTTCAAAAACAAATTTACAGCATTAAAGGGTTAACTGGATAACGATCAATCCGTCTAACCTTTCAGCCTTTAGATCTAATGCATAAATCAGGTGGCATATTAAATGCCTGGAAGGCACTTTTAGCAGCTACAACAGCAAGCACTTTTCAAATATATTTAAAGTGTCTATCGCATTGTTGTTGCCTGTTAAATCTGTAGCATTAAAAAGCACATTGGGGATAATCTTCTTGAAAACGAAAATAGATATGACGTTGTGGAGAGTCTGTTAGGCACGCTAGACCTGTGGGTGTTCTTACAGAGAGACGGAAAGATACAGTGAGCTGTCATCAAAACACAACGTGATGGCAGGAATGCTTCCTCTCTGATTATCAGACATTATACACACACACCAACTCTCACACAAACCTTTACACATTTTCATTAAGACATTATTTAGTATATTTATTAAGCTTTTTTCCTTGTGGACTCGTCCCAAAAGGTTTTATCTTAGGCCTTGTTTACACCTGGTATTAAGATGGGTTTTAGTCGATCGGATCACAAGTGGACGAGGGAGACGCATTCCCGTTTACACCTGGTGTTTTAATCCGTCTCTTTTGTCCACTTTCAAACACTTCTGTCCTGATTTCTTCGAGGAGAGGGTCTATGGGCGGGTAAATGTATGGGGTTTTTTTTCCAGATCTTTCGATCTAATAGACAAAATAGGCTCATTCCATTTACATATGAAAGTGAAAGGAGACGACAGACAAACATACAGAGAGCATCAGCTTTCATTTCTGCTCTGATAGTGCGTGTAAGAAATCAGGAATAGTGAGAGAACATTAACACAAGTTCAAAAAGTTTTAGACCCCGTTGTCCATGCACTTGTGACCCAATCGACCAAAACGCATCTTAATGCCAGGTGTAAACAGGGCCTTTGTGGTTCCCAAAATGTTGGCAAAACGACCACACTTGCACACAGATCCAAAGGCCCATTCACAGCAACTACAACGATAAAGAAATAGTTCTAAAAATCGTTCAAAATATAAAAGAATAGCAGAGTCCACACCAGAACTATAACAATAAATGACACAGAGAAACAACATAGTTGGAATCACTTTCAGAACGATTTTCCCGGCATTTAAAGTGACAGACGACAAAACTGTATTACGCGCGATTAGAATTAAAAGAAAGATATTGTGCGCTGGTGTGGATGCTAACATAGTTATAGTTATCTTTATGGTTATAGTTCTTGGTGTGAACAGGCCTTTACTCATGTGTGCTGCAAATATTGCATCTAATCCACTTCAGCTGAGATAAAGTCACTACGGGAAGCAGAAAATGTCCGTTTTCAACTCCTTCCAATCCGGCAGAAGCTTGCGAGATTATACCTGACAGTCAACGTAGCATTGTGTCAGGAAAGTGTGGACTCGGAGGAAGACACTTCAGGCAGCTCCATAGACCACAATGCAACGAGATTGTGACGTCACAAGGACGACTCACGGTGCTCACTCTTAATTTACTCACAACAAGCGATCAAGGGCTTAATTAGGGCGTTTAATTTAAACACATCGCAAGGGTTCTGCAAGACATGGTCACTTGTGCGACGTAAGCATTGTAGTACATCCGAGTGAACGAGACCAGCGCGCCACACCGGTCTCAAGTTTATTTTGTCGTTAAAGTTACATTTACCATTTGCCGGTTCCCGCCTCCTTCTTCCCTAATCAGCGAACCTTGTTACAATGGGTAACTTTGGGTATGTTTACAATACTAAATGTGCTAAAAATGTTATAGTTTTTCCTTTGCATTTAACGTGTATAATCAACAACATTGTCAAAACGAACCCATTCAGACGAATCTGCAAAAACGAAGAAAAAAAAAAGCTGTAGCCTATTATCCATGCCAGGCCAGTAGGTGGCGATGTCACTTTGTAAAGAAACACTGAACATGTGATAC